GATGGCGCCGCAATGGATCTCGCCATCGCTGCCGAGCTCCGTACCGCGCAGGCGATGGCCGAGCTGTCGTGCGCCCTTGAGGACATGGACTTGGACGACGACTTGGTGTGTGCTTTGGACGAGATGGGCATCGAGCCGATTAGCATGATTGATGATGAATAGAAGACGTACATATTCGATGAATCTGTTGCGCTCGGTAGGAGGGTTCTCGGGGTAAACCCCCCTCCCGAGTTCAGCGGTGCCGTCGGATTTTGGCCATTCCTCCATTTGCGTGAATATGCGACAAGTATTTGACGTGATTTGATTGGTTCGTCGTATGGATACACCTTGTGAAACTAAATACTGATGTATAATATTTTGGGGTGATTTGCTATTTTATTCAAGGCGCCGTACGCCAAGTTTCTGATTCAGTACATTTTTGTGGAACGGAGGGAGTACTTCCTCTGTTAGCTATTACTTACTACCACCATTTGAAAACCACCTTTTTTGTACTGTATTAGTGCCACCACTTAATACAATTGGATGATTGAAAAATTAACATATTTCATTGGTCATAACCGCAACTTTTGAATTTCTGGGTCCGACTGTTGAAGGAAGGCATTCGCATCAAAGAGCAGCGACACAGGGCAGGACAAATTCAAAGGAAGGGGGCCCATACGTCGCATGAAATCCTTTCGCGGATGATGCAACTTAAAGTGGTTACCACCACAGTGCTCGAGGATCAATAGCATTACGGACTGTAGGGTGAGAAAGACTTTGGCCAACGTCTCTCCAGTGAGAGTGTCAACGGCCATCACAGTTGACGCAATAATGTTATCAACGGTGCGACTCATCATGCAAAGTTTGTATCGACGCAAAGAATCCAAGGTCAATCACGTTCAAATCCGGACAATTCGGCGGCTGCCGACGCACAACAAACTCCACCCGTCCGTGGAGGCTAGGTAAGTGTAGATGGCCTCTTGTGTGAGGTTGACGTGGCACAGAATATTGTTGCGTCAGTTCAAAACTAGACTGCTGCGTCAATAATTTTGACGAAGCACGATTGACGCAATTTCTGACGCAATACAAACATCAAATGAAACGAATCCACGTGTTCCTTACGTGTTTCGAAACCAAACAGCCTCAACCACGAAAGTCGCAGTGCACACAGAGCACATTCATGAAAAGCGCCGACGACAACGATCTCGAAGCGCTTGTGGGTATTGGCCACTTGTTCAACTTCCGGCTTGTTCCAAGTGTCCGCAACTTTCGAGGCCAGGCCTCTGGCTTTCCCTTGACACGGAGGCGTGGTCCCGCACGACAGCTTGGAGAAGTGATTGAGTGCCGGTGAAGGATGGCATGGCATAATGGATGTGTGCTACGAGTTATTTGATTGGTTGCATCAGTTGTCGAAAAGAAGTGTTTTGTTCGTAACGATTCCACCGAAAGTCCAATTTTCAACAAAAAGGTCAATACAAGGCGCTCGCATCTGTTTACTTCTGTCAGAATGAGCTTCAGGCGCGACGACTTGCGGTGAACGATTCCTTTCTGAGGGCACGGTTGAGGACGAACGTGGTCAACCCGGTGGCTTCGGCGAAGTCTCAAGGTGCTGCGCTGTTGATGAGGGACTTGTTGTATTAGGTCACTTATCTCCTGCGCTGAGTGCTTGGGCTTTGGACCAGCACGGCCGACTTTTGGCGTTGCCAAGTTGCCATCCTTGTAGCGGCTCCATTTTTCTCGCACGGTGCAACGGTTGAGTTGGAATTGCGCCGCAATTGCTTTGATTGTTCCACGTGGAAGCTTCCCATACACATGTATTCTTGCAGGGCGATTGCAACCTCACGCCTCGCACTCGGAGTCAATTCCCGTGTCGGGCTGGGGTGTGCTCATGGAGAGAGATTTGAGATATTTTCTGACTCGTAGACCCGTAGTTTCATTCTAATTTTACTTATTTTTAAGTATGATCTGGTGGCGCTAAGGCGTTGTCAATTTTGACTACCCAATCTTCCACTTGGAGTTTCCTTCCCATGGGCTCTCCCTGCAATTTTTTAATCTCTTTTTTGCGATATTCAGTATCATATTTGGCCCAAATATGAATATTTGGTGTGGCCTGGAGTCGTTGTGGTGGCAGTAATAGCTAACAGAGGAAGTAAAAATATTGACAATAGACGAATTCTGCTAAGTAGAATTCCTTTGGAGAAATCACTGAGAGGCCACTTATCCGACACATCCGTATATAAGTGGTTCGAGAATTTCACTGTCCGAACAGCTCACAGTGAAAACTTTTTCCTTGTGACGTTTTCCATCCGAGTCCTTCCCAAGAACGAGAACGCCAAGCGCAAAGCATCATTCCGGTTCAAATCAGCTTCAGATGTCGATCTTTTGAATGAGATAATACACATTCAGCCATATGACGCTCCTTATGGAGCGGTGAAGTCGCGATGGGACGAGGTTGCCGTGAACATGTGCATGATGTACGGAGATGGATTGACCAGCGTTTCGTGCCGCAAGGGTTTGGACGATCTACTTGACGCGTTCAAGCGCAATACCAATAGCTCTTAGGGACCATCGGGAACCGAAGAAGAGTACAGCGAGCGTGAGCATCTCCTGCAAGACAGTGTTGACTTGGTAAGAGCTTAATGGTACAATGAAGCTGACATGCTGACTCATACACAGATCGATCAATCGCACTCTCGAAAGCGCATGCTAAAAGAAGAGAAGCTTGCCAAGGTCGAAAAGCGCGAGAGTGACGGTGAGAAACTGAGGGATGCTGCGATGCGAGCGGACGCCGAAGAGAAAAAGTCGCTTGATTGCCAAGCGACAGTGATGCAGAGTCGAAGAACACCAAGGAGAAGAAACCGCGAAAGATTCAGAAGGTAACAAGAAGGTAACAGAAACAGGAATCTTTGCAATTCACTTTGATCGTGCATATGAAATCAAGATGTCGGAAATTGAAAGTGCCCTACAAGCCAACTCATTGGCTCAACGCCGCTTAGAGCTGGAAGAAGCAAGATTTGCCCTGGATAAGGCCGAAAGGGAAGCTCGACTCGAACTGGACAAGCGAGACAGCGAGAACCAATGGAAACTTTTTCAAGGAACGCTGGGAGTGTTGCGCTCATTTGTGCCAAAGCAATAATGAAAACAGAATTGCATGATTAATTATTCGACTCGGAGTACAAATAATCTTCCAGGCTTGGAGGTCGGACGCCAAGAAACGTTGAGATTTGGTTTCCGCCTTTTACGCATGTAAGAATATTTATCAGTAGAACAGTTACTACATAATGCATTCCAACAAGCTGTAAACCAAGTTTTTGGCCTCCATGGTAATCCATAAATGTCCAAAGCTTCGCAACAAGTCCAAATCCCCACTCGACGCTCACCCTAACAGAGCTCATGCCACTGTTGGACAATTTTGCGATGAGGTCAGTCGCGATCCTTTGTACCCAATCAGGATCACATTGTTGACTCCATTGGCTGGGTCGCCGTAAACGACATAGCGCGTCCCATCGAGAACTAAACGATCGTGCAAATACGGAACAATGTTGCTGCGCTCCTAAACATATGCATCACGTCGTGACACCGGTTCTGGGTCATACAAGTGCACGATTATGCCAACCGGCGACGTGATCGCTTGAATCTTCAAAGCATGTTTTCTCCAACGTTGCGTTAGCGATTTCAGCAATATCATCACGAACCTTGTGTCCGTTGTACGCCACTGATGGTAGCCCATTTCCTGGACGACAAAATCCACGCACTGTACCGTCTATGAAACCAACGCAGGTGTCCAATGGGGCTCCCCACTCGTGGATTGCAGAAGCGCATCGGCGCATCCAGTTGCCATTAAGACGCTTATCTGAGCAGAGTTTGAAATACAGTGTACACAAAGTCCATGGCTTCATTTGCAATAGCACAAATCGCCTCGCGACTCCTTCTAAACAGCAGCACCATCGATCCAAGACGATGCGGCCAGGAAAAACGGTTTAGGAGTATGCACAGGGCTTTCTCGGCGATGACGTGGTATCGGTATTTGTTTGGCAGCAGGCTTGGAATGCCAAGTTTGCGTACAATCAGTTTGATTTCATAGCTTTTAAATCGAAAGTTGTATTCGCACTCTTTGTCCGATTGGGCTTTACGGTCAAAACGATACTTAGGAATGCCAAAAGCACTTGGTTCAGTGGACTCGTGGCCAAGCGTGAGGCCAAGCGCGGCCATCATTGCCATTGAGGTGTCCATTTGGCGATTGCGAAAGTTGATAAGTAATTTGTCTCGTAGCAGAACACTTTTCATTGGGAACTTTCGACGAAGACTTTTCTAGAGAACTTCACCAGGATTTTCACGTTTGCAGAATTTGTCTAATTAGAACTCCAAGCGGGTCACGAACTTCTTGATTGCCATACATTCCTACGTGAAAGCAAGATACATCGATGCAGTTCGCCACAAGTATTCCATGCAAACCTTGACGATGTCCGGACGTCGGTTTGAACACTTTCCCATGGCCTTGTACGCAGTAGATGTGACGTTTCATAAGACCAACGCCCCAGCAGGAAGCTTCAATGAGAAGAAGCGATTCTTCAGCAAGAAGCGCGGTAAATGTGGCCTCAAGGTCGAAGCCAGCGTGTTGCCCAGTGGACTGGCTATCAACGTCACCAATTCTGTCCCTGGAAGTGTCTCTGATTTCTCCATTTGCGAGTCCAACCATGACTTTCACGAATCTCATCTGCGGAAACTTGTCGACGAGGAAGACACGTTTGATGATGGACCTTTGGCTGACGAACGAGTACCCTGGAGCATGGGCCCTTCTGGCAGACAAAGGCTATCAAGGCCTTCACTATCAAGTCCGGGCTATTACTCCTGTCAAACGTCCCCCTGGTGGCCTGCTGACGCCGGACAATATGGCTTACAATGACAAAGTTGCGCATGACCGTATCATTGTGGAAAACATTTTCGGTCGTTTGAAGATGTTGTGGAATATTGTTGGTGGCACGCACTCATGGAAGCGTGAAATATACGATGTATTTTTCCAGATTTTCGTCGCCCTCACGAATGTTCATATTCGTTTCATGCCATTGAGAAACGAAGATGGACATGATTTGAATAGGAACATCAATGGGCTGGTGTCGTCGGATAAGAAAAAGTCAGCTATGCGAGCTGATTCCGTCGCGAAATCTCGCGAAAAGCGCAGGCGCCGTTTGAGTTCTTTGTTTACCGACAATGTTCAAGGCAACTCAGACGTAGAATATTATGACAGTGCTGATGGAAGTCGTATTTTTGATTAAGAATACCTTAAGAAATTTTGGTTTTCTCGGTTCTTGTTTATGTGCGCAGCAACCACACAGCATCTTGGACACCAACGTGAGGTCGTGCGTTGTCTTATCAAATGGAATTGAACTTGCGGCCTGCCACAACATTAATTTTTGGAAGTCTTTTGTCTGGTGGGGAACATGACCTTCGCGAGGTTCCGCTTGGATTGCCACTTTCACGTCGACACCGGCCCATCATTGCAAATGTCGTTGCGCCTGTTAAACGAGTGAAAAAAAATGCTTCTCTTTGATGTGTACTGCCTCCAGCATGTCATGGCAATGCATCGAGTTGGCATGGCCCTGGCGAAGGTTCGTCTTCACAAAGTCCAACCGAACCAACTTGTTCTTTGGTGTCGTCGGTGATGTTTGCTAGTGTGATCGTTTGTCGTTCGAATGAATATGCTACGAATGGGTGTCAACCTGTCCAGAATAGATCGAGGTACTCATTTACAATATTGCACACTCCTACACGTGTCAAGGCGTTGTGCAGCATGGAGTGAGTCGACTAGCGCACCGCTTTAGCGCCTTCGCCTTCAACAGACGCCACAGAGTTGTCTTGAGCACACCGGAAGGTGCCGTCAATGCTCGAAGGTTGGACCGCTTGAACGACGGTACTGCTGTGACTGTCTGCGCATACTAGAGTCTTTTGTTGGCACGGCGACCGCTATTGAACCCGGTTGCAGCTTTCGTTTCGCATGTTCGCCGCCAGATCTTCACAAGGCCATCTTAGTGACGCCTCTTGTCTCGAGGGGCCATCGTTCGGTCGTCCTGATTTTGGCAATGTCTTTTCTAATAGACCACTTGACGAATGAATGATTGATTGGCTGAAATTGGACTACTTTCGGAGAGCATTCTGTGAGTTGTCAAATCATACTGTTTTCGAAGACACTGTCATACATTTGGGATGTGACTAAGTGATCAACAAATTGACAAAGTGACTTTCTTTGAATTTCGTGGTTTTGTATTGCAGCGATGTCATAATTAAAATCTAAGTATTTGATTTATTGATCATGATATATCTAATCAAAATTACCACTTTCATCCGCACTACCGAAGAACTCAACATCCGAGCCAAGCCAAATTGCGAACCATCCTCAGCAGGAAGAAAGAGTGCTCAAGCGATGTTTGCGTTTCTCTCGAGACTTTTTTAAGGAATTTTGCCGTCGAAATTTCTACTTGTCGGAAGAAGAAAAGAGACAATTGACATACCTATTGTAGTCATAGCCTTCTTCGTCCTTCAATGGCATAAAACCTAAATGCACATTTGTGAAAGCTATACATGCCTGAAAAGAGAGATCATAATTGTCCCTCTTCCAAGTATATGTGTCACTCACAACCTACCATAAAGTCTTTAGTCGACCAAAGAAGTTCTCCACAATAACACGGTCGCTTGCAATCATGTCATTGTTTGTCATGTCTTCAATGGACAAAAGTCCCCCAGGTGGACGTTTTCCAGGCGTTATTCCACGGATGTAGCGGTGCAAGCCTTGGTAACCCTTATCAGCCAGGACAGCCCATGACCCTGGGTATTCATCGTGCATTAGTATCTTCCATGGTGAGGTCTTCTTCGCACTTCGTGAGCTGGGCTCGATGAAGGTCCTTCTTAGACTCACATATCGCATGTCCTCTGTGCTTCTTGGTACGGCTGGGGTCACATGGACGGCCAAGCCGTTTGGCAATACACTCGCCTCAACTTTCAATCCATATTGTCCGTTCTACTGTAGAAGCGCTTTTTATCAACGAAACCACCGGTGGGAGAGAAGGTTGGCTGGAAAGTCACATCAACAGCATACAGGGCAGAAGGAAAGTTCTTGAAGCAGGCACCAGAACATTGGAGATAGCTCATTGCGTACTTGGTTGCAGGGCTTCAATGTACATGGTATTGAGCTGGGGATGTAGTGCCGTCAGGAACGTAGTAACTTGCTTTGAAAGTGTAGCTGACTTCTCGTTGAATGAGGCGGCAACAATGTCCCATGATCCACAGTGCTTGAGGCTGACCAGGGTCATGAACAACATGTCTCTCCCTGCGACTTCGCACTTTCGGCCTGCGCCGACGTTTCAGGACTGGTTGACATGGGGTTGTAGATCGTGCCATAGGAGGTTGAATTCATTGGGGCTAAAGTTGGTGAGTTGGTGAACCACAGGTGCGCCACGTGTATGTATCAGGGCGTCAAACTGGTGAGGGTATGTCCTCAACTGTGTCCTCACGAAGGGTTGTGGCGTGGCGCTGGCGCCTGACCTCACGTCTCGCTTGGAGGTTAAGAAGGACATCCACCGTGTGGGCAACGTGTGCGGATCACACCTTGGCATGGGGTGACATGCGAGCGAATGTATCATTTTGTACAATGTCTTTTGCGAATGTATCATTTCGTTGTACGACATCACCCACCTGGAAGCTTATCCGGATATTCGGATAAAGGGCTCTGCGACCAATGAAACGCTGTGTCTCGACAAAAGATACGAAAATGGGACGACGCCGGGCCGTGGTCGCAGGCATGCTGCTTGCCGCGGCGCTGATGGCACATGCAGAGGGCACGTCTGGCTCTATCGACACTGCGTCTGGAGATTCCCTGAACGATGTCGACCAGTGGTCTGATATCGATGGCGAAAGCGACACCCGTTCGCCGTTCGAAGACCTACCCACCTCATTGAACGCTGAATCGGAAACGATCCCGCACGTCCAGGCACGTGCTGAGGCGATGGCGTCAAGTGGAGTGATTGATCATGTGGACATTGACGACACCACGGTATCGGCTGGCATCGAGCATACGTGTGCGATTCACTCCGTGTCCACGGTGGACTTTGGCGGGAAAGTCGTATGTTGGGGCGACAACACTCTTGGCCAGTCCTCCCCGCCAGACGTACGTTGGTGCCAGTCTTCCAGGGATGTCATTTACAGCGCCTTAGGTCGAGTTTATCCAAGTAAGCAGCGGGAGATTCCACACCTGTGGAGTCACACTCGACGAGACGATTGAGTGTTGGGGGGATCCTAATCACGCGCAAAGCCCTGCAGGGCTCTTTGTTCAAGTCAGCTGTGGGGATTTTCATTCGTGTGGCGTGCTCAAAGATGGAACTCTCTCTTGTTGGGGCGCGTACCATATTCATTATCTCTGACGCCTCCTGACAGCCATGATAGGCGCCGACTACGACGGACAGCTCAACGTGCCGCAAGGTCGGTTCGTCCAAGTCAGTTGCGGCAAGGTGCGCTAACCGCAGCCCGCTACTACTCCAAACCCCTACACGATGGCTAACTGTTTATCAGGGCCACTCCTGTGCGCTCGCCACGGACGGCACCGTATCGTGCTGGGGTGCGAATCGTCAAGTGAGTAGGTGGCCATTACACCATCTCCAACGGCGATCGAGTAGGGCCAAAGCTCTGCACCCCAAGACGTCAAGTTCCTCCAGGTGTCAGCCGCTCCTGGCGACTTCTCGTGCGGTGTCACTGAGGCCAACACTGTGCGGTGCTGGGGAGATAACCATCGCAAGCAGTGCAATCCGCCAAGTGACGTCAAGTTCGCCCTCGTCAGCACGAGTCGGCTGTCTGCGTGCGGCATCCAGGTCACGTCCTACCACATGCATGCCTTTTCTTCTGATGATGAGAATTAAGTCTGAAGAACCTGGTGCTGTGGGTTCCATAGGCTGGAGACAAGACGGTGCTGTGCTGGGGCATGACGGAAGGCGTCACCAACATCCCCAAGCTCGTTGCATTTGACGAGCTGACGCTGGGATGGGATCACGGGTGTGGCATTTTATCTCGAACAGGCCGCGTGCAATGCTGGGGTCATAGCGCAAACGGTCGCCTCGACGTTCCAGCCAAGTTGTATGCATAAATAATAAGACGTAGTGCTATCTCATTGTGGTGGAGGGGGGGTTGGTACGGTTGTTGGCCGCTGGAGGGGGGTCGTCCGCGATTGGAGAGAGGGGGCGTTGGAACCGAGGAAGGCAGTGTGTTTTTCAACGCTCGTGGAATCCATTCGAATGTACAGCTTGTTGGCGATGGGGGACACTTGACGCTGGACGATGGGTCGCAGGTGTGGGTGCACGAGGGATGGTAATGACGGCACGGACTGCGTATGAGTGGTTGGAAGTGCATGGTGAGGCGTTGGGGCCAGCAAAGAAGATGCCGCCCTTCCACACGCTAGCTCTCGCTCGGCATGCACCACGAGGGGGTCTCTCTGTTTGTCCAGAGCCTTTAGGAGCCTTCCAACCGGCTTGATTTTGGTCACAGTGCCGTGGTAGCTCACAGATTTCGGTGATGGAATCGAGTCGGCTGCTTGGTAGTGTTCGGGAACGTGAAGCTGTTCGAGCCGACGAACCATGTTGGCCTTTGCTTTGACACAAATGGGATGTAACCGGGGCTTGAGCGTCCCACGGGGGTTGCGAACGGGCTCGTGCAGCACAAGCGTGCCACTGGAGCTTTCATATTCGACGGCGAGGGTCGTGGGGAGTAATGGAGGTGGTGGCATCACTGGTGCTGGAGGGAGACGGGTATTTACCAATGGAGCCACGGCGGCGGGGGCATATAGAGCTAGCATGTCGTCTTGGTGGGTTGATACGAGAAGGTCTTGAAGTGTTTGGGCTCGCGACGCGTCAAGTTGATGCAAGACTGTCGTGAACTTGCTCTAGATGGGGTGGAGATGAGTTTTTGCTGTAGCTGATCAACATGGACATCGACGGCAACCTTGGAAATGGTCATGAGGGTACATTTGTACTTCACAGCGACGACCGAGTACTCAAGGGGGAGATGGTGGACCGTGGCGAATCCGGCAACGCTCGCGCCTGCAGTAGCGTGAGCCATCCCCATGGACTACCTGTCATCAATCGTACCACGAGTGCACACTTTGGTCGTGGCACCGCCACACGCGTTGTTGTCCGTTCCTGGTTGCAGCTCAAACTGTCCGTCCAAAACGAACCCGATTTCGATCGGCACTTGACCAGCTCGCCACACCTACACCCTCGAGGCGTTGGTTCAAACATCATCAGGATTGCGTACCGTGTGCCCCATGGAGTAATGCTTGGCAGTCAGGAGGTCCATCACCTTCGGCCACGTCATCTCGGTCGCCAAAAGCGCCAAAATGGCCGATGTTTGCAAGACGCTTTGGTATAGAGCATGTAGCTTCTGATGGGCGGTGTGGGCGCTGCCGACATTGGCATGAGAAGGTGCCGCTGCGCACTTGGGCATCAAGTCGCCTTTGTGCCAACTCCGTCTGCCGATGAAACAGTATACGTAACGCCACTCGGCCATCAATGTCAAAACCTTCGGGCCGTTTCTGCAGGAGCAAGCGAGTGGCAGCAAAAGAATGCACAAAAAACAAGTTTGAATTAAAGGTCTAGCCCACCTCCCGTCGTCATGATGTGGGCTGTGACTTCGCCGCGGATGGCCTTCACCGTCGGCAACGACGCCAATTCCATGGCAAGGACGGCCGTGGCTTGCGGTACGTGAACCTTCGAGTCGATCCAAAAGTACTGGGCTTCGCCAATGAACTCGTCGGGGTGCAATGCCAATAGGTCCTTCACAGGCTGGTGCTGGGCCGCCGAGAACGCTTGGAGATTTTGCATATACTGCGTTCGATCACCTGGCACGGCTTCGACTTCCGACGTCGACCGAGTCATTTCGACCATGATGTTGACATGGTCTTGAGTGGAGAACGCTTGCTGTAACTCGGGGGAAATCTTGGAGCTCATGGTCAACGGGGCAGCGCAGTCTTGGGAAGCGGCGGTGTGAATGGCAAACTGGACAATTGCCACGACCAGCCACGGCCCCATTCGCTTTGGCTTGGGAACAGGGGACGCGTAAACAAGTGACAGAGCCCACGGCCCTGCATACTGAATAAGGAATTTATGGATCCATTGGAGAATCCCCATCGCGGTTGAAGGTGTGCATGGCACTGCTATTGTCACTTCCGCGGGGTCCGATGCGAAGACAACGTATACGCTCGCGTTTTCACACACAAACGTCCCCTTGCGTCTGGCGGTTCGCCTCAACGTGCCGCATCACAACGTGTTCCGCGCACAGCCCTCCAACATGAACAGGATTCCCTCGATAAGTACAGTGACCTTCTTTCTCGTCGACGAATGAAACTGGCGAGTCCGAGAAACCAACATTCTGTTGGTGCAATGTGGATTGCATGCAGGGGATATGCCGAATTGCGATCGCGGCGGCGTGGACCGTGACCGCAGGTCGCGAGGTTAAGGAAGGAGCTGATTGTGGCTGAGGAAACGCTGCAGGGTGAGAAGAGAGGCATCTTTCTGGTTGTCAGCTGTTCATGGCTTCGACCGTGGACAAGTACGCGACTTTGAACGTTAACCGTGTGTGTGTCAGCAATGGGTTGCAGGGTCGAAACGCAGTCGAGAAAGCCGCTCTGGGTAGAAAGCACTCCGGCGCCCCCATCGACTCGGCTCGCCATGGGAAGTGACGAGCGCAGAACAAGATATGTATTGCAAGCCATAACGAGGCTATAGTACGAATCAATTGGGACCACCGCCGTCAATGTGTGCAATTTCCGGAGCGTGGATGCTCTTGACGCCGTCCATGGCCGCCAATTGAGACACTAATTCTGCTGACGCTTGGGGGATGGCGATGGAGTCTGTGATCCAGAAGAAAGTCGGCGTGCCGTGGAAAAGGTTTGGGTGTGTGTTGAGGAGGTCCTTCACTGGCTTTTGTTGGACTTCCGTGAATGCTTGCAACTTCTCGACAAACGAGTCGGTTGGCTCGCCTGCGACAGCTTCGACCTGTTCCGTCGACTGGTCCATGTCGACGATGATATCGACGTATTCGTTCGTCTCAAACGCGCGTTGAAGCTCGAGGCTGACTTTCGGACTTCCTCGGTCCAGCGATGCTGCGGCGTGGCTACACGCGGCGGCCATGAAGATAAGGGCGGGGGTGAAGCGCATCTTGCGACGGCTGAGTTTGGATTGTTTGGATTTCGTACACTAACCGGAAAATGGATGAAACAAGAAAAACGGCGAATTTGTAGTAAATTTGTAGTAAATACTCTGGAGTATTTGTGAATTTTTTGCAACACTACTCCAACAATCTGCGTCCTGTTGGTGCAAATTAACGAAGTCACAGCGTCCAGCCAGCACGAGATCGCACGACGCGCCTTGCTGAATGGACCTTGCGCGCAATCTGGGCTGCAGTGGGTAGCCAAGCTATGCACCCAGCTGAAGATGTAGATGGCCCAATGCCCTCCCATCAACCACGGTTCGTTGTCCATCAATTGGTAACGCATCGCCCCGATCGACGACGGGTCACCCATGCCAGAGGAACCAACTCACTCGTCGATACTGCAACACCATGCTTCAACTCTCAGCCGCCCGCACCTCGGCATTTACAGTTAGTTGCGCACACGACGACTTGTCGACCCACGTTTCAAGCCCCTCGAATATAGTGCGTCGCCCTTGCTTGACGGCTGCAGATGAAGGAAGGATCGCCGCAAAACCTACACTACGTGATGTTGAGATTGCCCAACTTGAGCGTCATTTGAAATGAGTGCTCAAGGCCAGCAGCATCAGCCACGCAATACAGTTCATTTGAACTCGAAGTACACGAGGGCCCCGGCTTACCTTCGTCGCCCCCGCGTCCCCCAACGTTCTGTAGGGTAGCTTCGCCAGTGAATGCAACTTCTACAACAATTGGGGCATGTTGGATGACCCGGGCCGCGGCACGGCAGCCTGGAGGGCCGGGTTTCAGTAGGGAATCAATCGGCCTGCGTTGCCAGCATGCTGACGTGGGGATTGCCTCAAACACTTTGCCGGGCTTGACATACCCCTTCTTCACACGAATCTTCGTCCTGGAAGGGTACAAAATCGCGTCGCACTCGCCGCTGTTCAACATCGGATGGAGCCTCAAGATGTCAGCAGGGGCCGCGTCCGACAGTTTCCCCATCCTTGAGTACAAGAGGAAGAGCGTATAAATGTGCATGTTCTACCTTCACGCCACCGCAGAGGTAGCACAGTGAGGAGGCGCCAAGTACTCGATTGTGGTGCAAGCGCTGTAGTGTTGACGAATAAGGGGCGGCGGGGGGGCATTGCTCCTGACCTTTCTTGCGATCATGTTCAAGATCGGGCCGCAGCAACAGTGCCTCAAGCGGCTCTCGGCGGCGTCGGGGTTCTCAATCAGCCATCCGCGTACAAGAGCGCCGTCGAGAGCGGCACCACGTTTGTGATCGACACGCCTGGGTATCAGCGCGGATGAGGTACTATTGATGCTACGAGTACAGATGGTGTGGGTACTGACTTCACTTAGGTACTTGCCTAATTTAGGCGTTGGACGCACCACGTTGTAGTTCAATATGATTGGTGGACTCGACACCGTTATCCGGAAGATTTTTGAATGCGTTGACTCAACGAGGTCTCCAAGGAACTTCGGAACTCGCCCGCCACCATGCTTGTCGCCCGCCGCATCGCCATCCAGTACGCGGCATTGGCACGGTCTCGACGAAGCAGCATTCTAATGCATTTTTGCACCATGTTATGTGTAGTGCTTCGAAGCAAACGCCCGTCCGTCACATGAGTGCGTTGTCGTACTCCAAGTTGTCTGAAGAACACCAAATGTTGCGCGAATCGGTACGCTCGTTCGCCGACAAGGAGCTTGCTCCCAACGCTGGTAAATGGGACCGCGAACATCTGTACCCTGCAGATGCTGTCAAGACGATGGCAGAGATGGGTTTGATGGGGGTATTTGTGCCTGACACACACGGCGGCACGGGGCTCGATTACTTGGCGTATGCCATCTCGATGGAAGAGATCAGTCGTGGTTGTGCTTCCACGGGGGTCATCATGTCTGTCAACAACTCGTTGTATTGCGCGCCGGTCGACAAGTATGCCACCGAGGAACAAAAGGTTTGCCAGCTGACCACCATCCTCCCGTTGTCGTCACAATCAATTTTCGCAGGCTGAGCACTTGGTCCCGTTTGCATCTGGCGAAAAGCTCGGCTGCTTTGGGTTGAGCGAGCCTGGTAATGGCAGTGATGCCGGAGCAGCAGCCACCACAGCACGCAAAACAGACACGTCGTACATCCTGAACGGTACCAAGATGTGGATCACGAACGCGCATGAAGCAGACCAGGCCATCATTTTTGCCACGACTGACAAGTCCAAGGCTCACAAGGGAATCAGCGCGTTCTTGGTCGACATGAAACAGATAACGTTGGGGAAGAAGGAGGACAAGCTCGGGATCCGCGCGTCGTCCACCGCTCAGCTCATTCTTGAAAACGTCGAGATCCCGCATGCAAACCTTCTCGGCAAGGAAGGCGAAGGTTTTAAGATTGCTATGACGACGTTGGACGGCGGTGAGTTGTCGTCTCTCGATTCGCTCTTTATCCTCTCGTTCTCCTACCGGCACACTTGTACATAGGTCGCATTGGTATTGCGTCACAAGCCCTTGGGATTGCGCAGGCATCTCTCGACTGTGCGATCGCGTACGCCCACGACCGCAAGACATTTGGCCAGCCCCTGGCCAAGAACCCGATCATTCAGACCAAGCTTGCGCGCATGGCGATGGAACTTGATGCGGCACGGCTGCTAACGTGGCGCGCGTGCGAATTGAAGGACGCCGGTCTGGCCTTCTCCAAGGAAGCCGCGATGGCCAAGCTCAAGGCGTCCGAGGTCGCCACGTACAATTCACACCAAGCGGTTCAGATTCTCGGTGGCATGGGGTATGTTTCGGACATGCCGGCGGAGCGCCACTACCGCGACGCGCGTATCACAGAAATCTATGAAGGCACGTCCGAGATCCAGCACTTGGTCATTGCCGGCGTCCTCAACAAGGAGTATGCCGCGAGTCACTAGAGGCACTAACACTCTTAACGCGAACGCGGTGTGTGTTTCGAGCAGCTCGCAGCAACCCATTCAACACCAAACAGTGCAGCCAAGGGCATCAACGCTTGGATAATTTAGGACTCTAACTCTGTCTACACGGCTGACCTGTGGTCGACGGCAGCCATGGGAACTCTCATGACACGTTGCAGCACGTGTTGGTGTGCGTGACAAGTGTAATGGGGCCTTGCTTCACCTCCCACTCCATGAACTCGACGATCTCGTTCTGAAATGCTGTCGCACTGCAAAAATGCCAGTCCTTGTACAAGTCTTGGTCCGAATCCGACAGCTTGACGCCCTAAGCAGATGTGAGCAACGCGCGGACGGTAGCAGCACCTGTACCTGGATCACGGACGGGTCGAAGAACCCAATGTCTGCCTGTGACGCGGCATTGATGTCCCGTTCGGGCACGAACGGCGGCGGAATCGCCATGTTTTCCATCTGAACCCAGTCCACACTTTCAAAAAACTTCATCTTTTTCACTTCGTCCGCGCCGCGGGCCCCCAACCGCTTCGTCGGATCTCGAATGAGGAGCTCTACGAGAGTCGTAAGTGGCGGGGCATTCCAACACTGTTCGCCGTGTCGACGGGAGACGGTGGCACGCCCCGGCAATGGCGGCGTTTTCGTACGTACTCTGCAGCAACTCGGTCGCTTCGGGGGAGAAATACTTGGGGTCGTACGACGGCGTGAGTTCCAACGTTGCCATGTCGTACGCTTTTTGCTACCGATTTGAGATTCCTCGTAAGCGCCACCTTTGCGACAGAGAGATGGGAACCTTGTCGGCGTGCAGTGCTTTCGCCTTGGACGTTCGAAATGGACATTTGCCGTACAGCATTTCGTACACAACACACCCGTAGCTCCACCAGTCGACGGTCTGGTTGTAGCACAGCCGATTCCCCGCTTCGTCCCGGAGCAGCATCTCGGGAGCCCAATCTACCACCGACGCAATCACAACATTTTCTCGTTCCGTTCACAATGGCACTTACAGCCACGCGTGCCGCATCGGCCACACAACGACGGAGTCACTTCGACAGCCAGGCCTAAGTCGGAGATGCTGCAGTTGCCCTTGTCGTCGAGGAGGATGTTTTCTGGCTTCAAGTCGCGGTACACAATGTTTTTTTCATGCAAGTGCTGGAGTCCAAGCAGAATCTGGGCAGACCAGTACATGACTTGCTCCTCCGTGAACCTAGACACGAACCCAATGTATTGCACGAATGCGCAGCAGGTGTTTCTCCAAAGGGCGCCACCATACCGGCCGCGGTTCAAGTGAAAGCTCAGATCACCGCCCGTGCGAAGGTCCAGGACCAGGAACAAGTCCTCCTTGGTCTGAAATGCATACTTGAGGCACACGACGAACGGCGAACTGAGCATGGTCAAGATGGCGCGCTCGGCCAGGCACAGCTTCTCCGCGTGTTTTTTCTTGATGATGCGTTTGTTCATGGCCTTCATAGCGTATAGCTTGCCTGCGCAAACCAACTCGTCATAAGTCATCACGACCGCTGCATGGCGTGTGCTGCTGCACTGACCTGTGCTCCGCTTGATCGCGCCGTTGACCATGCCGAAGCCGCCTCGGCCCAATACCCGCAGCAAACTAAAGTCGTCTTCGCCGATTTCGCGCTGCTGGATGAGCAAAAAGTGCATAAACCGCTTGAAGAATGCGCTTGCTTTGAACCCTTCCATCTGGTGGTGCTCCAATGCACTCACAACACACGCTTCCAACTCGTCGAATAACGTCAGCGGTAGCGTCGAGGTGGCGGATCCGCTCAGCAGATTCGCATCTTCCAATTGTTTTCCGATGTCTTCCGTCAGGTCGCCACGGACGCCGAGGAGGGCGGCCTCGCACTTGAACGTACAGTACAATTCCCGAGCGGTAGTCATCGAGATGGACGACTCCTGCTTCCATGCGTAGTTGGTGTCGCCAGGATTCTTAGTCGACGCCAGGAGGGGGTGGGTCTTGAGGGCAATAGTCGCGGAGGGAGCAGCACCAACTCCCGGAGAGGTGGTGGTCGGTGGAGCGGTCGGCGGGTCCGTCGACGATAACGTGGTCGCGGTCTGTGGATGGATGTATGTGGCATAGATGGCCTGTGCGTGGATAAGCACAAATGACACAGTCTACCACACACTAGAGTGGCCACATTGAGCCAACGCACCTTTGCCTTGAGGACTCGTCGATTGTGTTGTGGAATGCGGCGATATGCGTATACGTCTTGAAGAAAGCAGAGCTTCTCGATGCCGTGGGCTTCTGCTTCGCAGTACCGACGAAAGAGATACAGCCCCAAGGGCTGCGATAAATACGATTCCATCGTGGGCCAGTGGTGGCTTGCAACGTTTTCTGTGAACTCGGTCAGCTCTTGCGGCGATGGCTGGTGAAACGGCACGGTGGGTCGTGGTCTCGGGTCTGCCATCGCCCCTATGTACTGCGCATCCTGAATGGCATCTTGCAGCTCGTCCATCGTTGAATGGGTGGACCACCAAACGTCTCCAACAACCTTTCCGTGCTTGGCGCTGCCACCACACTTGTCCTACACGTTCGCACGTTGGGCTCAGGTCGTAGGCACCCTCGACAATCACAACGACCGTCGGGATCGTACCAGAGCCACGGGCTGTCGCCTCGATACTGCGTTTCGATGTTTCGTAACCACCTTTAGCCGCAAATAGCTTTACCAACTCGAGGCGCGATGATGCAGACCAGGTTGCCCATGGCTATGAATAATCTCGAGATTTATACCGTGATTGATTTTATCCTAAACGACTCGATATCGACAACGATATGGAACAATGGCCTGATCCGGAAGTCTTAACTTGAAAGTATGGTCGACACGACTGCGCGAGGTTTCGTCGAAAAACGGGCGAAAAGGCAAGGAAAAATGTGAATTACGGCGGACTTTTTCATAAATTTCATCAAAGATGTTTCACATAGTGTCCAAAGTAACGTATTTAGATATGTGTGCAAACGAGTCCCTGTTAAATATTCGATATATTTTTTAACACTTGGAGTTCGTATCGAAGACGCGTTCTATAGACAGCGGGATAAGAAGTCCCCACAAAAAGGAGCGGCAACCCACTGGGGGTAAAACATTTCAAAAGATGGCAAGCGTCCTGCCACTGGTGCCGACGGCACAAGCGGACCTGAAGCGCCAGACTAGCACTCCTGAGGTGGCACTCATGCGCAAGCAACTCGAGAAGATTCAGCGGGACATGGAAGTCCTTGTGTATACGCTGGCCGCAACTCGAGAGTGCTATGAACCAGAGAGGCAATGTCACGAATGCCTTGGTGGCACAAGTGCGCCATCGACAGCCGAAGGCTTTGACGATGAAGGCACAGACGACGGTGATTCCAAGGAGCGGCGAGAGTTTGACGAACTCATGGATCAAATTCAAACGCTGCAACAACAGGTAGCGCTCCAGACTCAAGCCAGTCAGCAGCTGCGAACTGAAAACGAGCAACTTCAGGCCGAGTGCGCGCTGCTACAAGAACAACAGCTTACCGACACAGACAACCCCGAAGACGCTTCACCCGCGTCTCTAAAGCTCACCGACGCCGAGGTGGCTCGACTCGTCCAGCTCTCCAAAGACAACGCCGCCGACCTCGATGCTCTCCAACAGCGACTCGAGGAAGTTACCCGAGAACGCGACCATTTACGCCAGGAACGCGACACGGCACTGTTGTCGGCGGAGAAGGCATGGAAGGAGAACGCGACGCTTGCAGGTCACACCAACCCGGGCCAAAAGATCAAGTACGTGCAGCAGCTCAAGGACGAAAACAACAAGTTGCACCAGCAACTACGGGACGCGGAAGCAAGGTTGGCATTGCAAAGCAAGCGGCAGCCTCTCACGAAGACACCTGTCGGAATTGCCAATGGCGAATGGAACGATGTGAGCAGCAATACAAGCGAAGCGACGACGGTCGCGTCGACGACAACCCTCAAACCGTCCAAGATGTTGCGCAAGAAGGTCTCGAACGGTGGGAAAAGCAAGAAAGGCCCGGCTGGTCAAGGGTCGGCAGCAGCGTCTCCATGACACGATGATGCGTTCCCGATAGATGATGGCGAGACTGCCTTGATGGCTGTGCGACTCCGCCAAACGCTGTGTGGTGGGAGGAAAGGAGCAGCAGCAGATTGTCGGCTACACGTGAAACTATTTTAATATTTACGTATACTTGGATCTGGTGATGGCAACGTCGGCTTTGAGTTGGCGGAAGCGCGCAATCGTGCTGTGCTTGTGTGCATGGCCATCTAGTCCAACGCGAATGAGTTTGGCCATGGCTGGCTCAAGGATGCCGAATCCAGCAAACCAAACATACCTCCGACGAGGGCGTGGAGGTCGACTACAAATGCCTCGCACGCACTCAATAACAGCGGTGCGGCCGTGGCGAAATCCAGCGCTGCTTCGCTCGACGGGGGAGAAGCTTGCACGTGGCGCTGCCATGTTGTGACGAGGTCGAAGATTCCGCGGAGGAGGTGGAAGCGCCATCGCGGCGCCTCGTTGGCATCGTAAAGTTTGTAGTACACACCAAACAATTGGGCCATCGGCACACCGCAGTCAATCATAAACGACGCGATCCAAGACGACTGTGGAGTCGTGTAACGCGTGAGCTGGATAAACCACATCCAGAGGTGCTCAAGTTCGTGGACGAGAAATTCGACGGGGAACGCCGGCGACGCCACGAGTTCTTTGCCCAACGGCGCAAGCTGCGCTTGGATGTGGCTGATCCAGACGGCGCTTTCAAACACGTGTGATGACGTGTTGGCTGCGGCATCAGCAGTCCCGTGCTTGGTCGAAATCCACTGGTTGAAGCTCACGTTGCCGGCCGACTGTGGCACCAGCGAAAACAACAGTCGCTCCCACAAGTGTTGAATGGTGCTGGCGTCCTAAAAGTGCCACGTCCATGTCAAATGAATGCTGGCGGGGGTAGCCCCAAGCAGAAAGAGGATGGAAGGGCATGCATGGAACGGAGCCCACGGGATATTTGAAAGTGGTACGTACCTCGGTGTTGCAAGTGCGAATGATACGAAGGCAGTCTCCCCACAGACTGTGCTTGAATGCAAACTGGTTGTACAATGTCGAGACGTCCACGACTCGGTATTTCAAGTCCTGGTGCACATGAGCAACGTGAGCAACCGAGCAACTCGTCGACGTGGCCACAGCAGACGAGCCAGTAATGCGATCTCGTACCTGCAACGCGGACGCTTGAATCCCTAGCTTGTCCAGCGATTTCCAAATGTTGTGCTAAACACACGACGTCTTCTATCAGCGCACGCCAAACTGGAGCACAAGAAAATCGCCCGCACCTGTAGCTGCAACACATCGAGCGACTCGCGGACTTCGGCGAGGGCATGGAGGGCAGCTGGGTTGTGCGACGCCGCCAGAGTGCTAGCCGCGCGAGACATGAGTTCTACGCGCTGGTCAATCGTGCGATTCGACTCAATGGCCGACGTCGGGTTGAACGCTTGCGCGCGGGTCCACAGCACATGCGCCGCGTCCACGTATCGTTCTTGGACGAGGTATTGCTTCACGAGAAGCTCTTCGTCTTTGGCTTTCAGGAATGCTTCGGCATGTGGGCTCATCAGGGCAACGAGGCGCTTGTGTTGACCATGTTCGTAGAGCCACGTGAGAACTATCATGTGCAATTGCGAGTCGGGCGACGCCAGCACAAGACTGAGCACGCGATCGACGGCAGCTTCACGCTGCGTGGCATCTGTCCAAAGCCCGTTCGAGTTAGCGCACATGGGCAGGTCCAGACCGTTCGCGGCGGTCTCGGTGAGATAATGGATTGTTTGAACAATGCCGCTGTAGGCCGCGCGTCGCAGTGGCGCCAAGTCTGGCTTGCTCAGTTGCCGGGCACACGCTAAGCAGAGCTCGACGATGCCGTCGAGGTACCCGAATTGAAAGAATCGTTTGCAAATCAACTCGAGCACGGATAGCTGGGCCTCGGTTTTCCACGCCTTGCACGCAAGGCGAAAGTGATCCATCGCTTTCGAGAGCACGACCTGCTGGTCATGGGCAGTTACGCACGTGTCGGCGGCATCGAGTGCTTGGAAACCATGGCACTCGGCTGCGTCGGTGTCGGTAAAGAGGAGCGGACATTCGTCGTGCAGTTGATGGACGAGAGCTTCGCTGTGCCCAGCGTCGGCCATGAGCTTTTGAATGAGCGCCTTGCACGCAGCGGCGCCAGTGGTGGTCGTGACGAGCTCCGCCAACGGCAGCGGCGTCCCCGTCGCATGGGTCGTTTCTGCGATCGCGACAAGCAAGCTCATGGTTTCCAAAGCTCGGATCGTAAATCGATATAAACACCGGATCGAGAACTGCTCGGCACGGATAGCGTTTTCTTCGCGCAAGGATGCGGGGTTCGTCTCGTACAGCATCGAGTTGAGTGTGCGAGTCAATGTGTTGAACCGCGACGGTTCGGACAGTGTTGTAGCTGGATGGCTGACGGCGGACGCATATTGGGTAGCCAGGATTGACTGCAGGCGAAACAGGACGACGCGGACGTGGTCCAACGCGGCAGCGCGGTCTTTTCCGTCGGGCAACCCCGGATGATGGGCCGTCCAGAACGGCCGCAGAATCCGTGCTAGAAACTTAACAAGACCGTCGTGGTGGTACGACATGCACATGTCGTCCGTGAGGATGAACCGGTTGCTGTGGTTGCCGCCATTGACGCCGCCGGCACTGGGGCTTGGGCTGCCGGACACACCTGGCTGGCCGCCAAACTCGAAAATCGATTGCAGCGCCACCATCGTGTACGCGCGCGGTTCGCCCGTTGCGATTACAAACAGCATCGCGCACGTTTCAGCGCGGCCAAAGCACTTGACGAAGTGGGTCAGCTTGGCCGTGAGCTCCTTCCCGGGGGTCGGGTTGGTTTGCAATATGTGCACGAGATGGTCGATAGGTCGGACTTTTTGAAACGTGTGGAGCCCGGCGTTGGTGAGCACCATGAAGCGGCGGGTGGGCTGGAAAAACTGCGTAACGAGTTCGCTCAGCATCGCGTCGTGGGGTTCTTCGGAAGTGGTGGTTGCCACCGCCCCTCCGTTCGATTGCATGTCAGAGAACGTGCGCTTCGTGCCTGCCTGCGCGACCACCGCGGGCGTCGCCGGGGCGGCACGTGGCGCCACAAGCTCCTGCACGTCGCTCACTTTTCCCTGGCAGCTTTCGGACGAAATCGATTCCCGCATGGGGCGCTTGACCGAGTCTTGGTTGTGGCGCGCCGTGCTGTCTTGGCACAACCCAACGACAGAATCAAACGTGTCCGGGCCGCCGTCGATCGCGAGAAACACGCCTTTGCGGTACAGTGCTTTGTGGACGTACGACGGGCTCTTGCCGGTGAGGATCGCTGGCGCGAGACCTTCCGTCACGTGGTACTCGGGTGCGTCTTCCAGCGATAGCATCGGCGGCGGCAATCGGATGTGCATCAAGTCGATGCGATCCGGTCGTTTCGTCGCTGACGACGTCGACGACGAGAAGAAACCGGGGGTAAACGTCGACAGGTAAAATCGAATGCCGGTGGAGCTGACAGCGACGGCATGGATCGACGCGCTTTCGTCCCGCCCGACGATAGACAGCGCCGTGAGCGTGATAGAGGACGTGGCGTTGTTTGTGAAGAGCCGCGGCTCGGGGCACGACGTCCACGTGCGGTGGTTGCGCTGGCAGAACCGCGCGGCTTCGGCGTGGAGGTCCTTGGACGCGACGAGCTTGATCTCGCCGGCGGGATACAGGTCGTACACATGGATGGTTGCCGGGGCCTGCGTCACGTACAAGATGTGGCGCTCCGCATCGACGGTCATATCGACAATTTTTCCGTGGGCAGACGTCAGCGCACCTGTGAGGGACCGAAAGATGGACGGGATGTACGTTGACAACGACTGCGAATGGGACTCCTTGCGGCACTTGCGTTTCCATCCGAGTTGGTGCCACACGCCTTCGGTGGCATCGTAGATGAACTCGTGGAGGTGGCCGTCGGATCCACCAAAAAAGATTCGTCCGTCCGCCGTGGACACAATCTTCTTGACTGTGACATCGTCGGTGGAAATGCACAGCTTCGTCGGTTGCAGGCGAATCGCACCGTGGACAGGGTCGTTGTGCTCGTACAAGACCGGCAAGAGGCGCATGTCACTGGCGGTCGCAACAACGAGGACATGTTTCACGAACGCTTTGAACACGCCCGGGATGGGTTTGGCAATGGCCACGGCAGAGATTGTTTGGTCGATGCCGTCGAATGCAACGAAGCGCTCGGCACGGGTGTAGTCCCACAGAAACAGCGTCGAGTCGACGGACACCCATGCGTGGTGAATCTCCTGGAGCAGACCCGAGAACGACCCCGACCGCATGTTTTCATACGCACTCGTGATAGCGACAGGGTACGGCAGCAGCTTTTGCGTGTGCACGAGCTGTGGCTGCCATCCACCGGCGGCGTTCGAGTACGGCTCGAAAAAGTAGTTGTGCGACGTGGGTTCCGAGTGGTCGGCGATTTGATCGACAAGGTCTGGCGACTTGCTGTCTACAGAGTAAGCTTGCTCTAGCACCTTGTGGCTCTGGCTAAGTGCTTCCAGCTCGTCGTGATCGAGGACAGACCCGCCTGCGGCGTTGGCGCCGCCACCCGCATCGCTCGGCACTCCCATCGATAAGTTATTGGATGGAACCAACTCAACCTCACAAAACCAATATTGTCCGTCATCCGGATAACTTGAATATCCGGAACCCGCGTTTTCGAGCCGTCAAGTTCGATTTTAGATCGTTTTCGCGTGGCGAAAGGTCACACGACCACGGCTCATTTCAATACTTGCGTGATCGCGGTGACGTTGCGAAAATGGTGACGTTCCGGCCGAGTGTGTTCCTTCAGGCTCTGGGGCTCATCTACGCCATTGCGTTCTGCTCGCTGTACAGTCAAGTGCAGTGCCTATATGGACCGTATGCTCAATCCAACGGCTTTGTCGTGTCGCCAAAATATGCTAAGGCGCATACTGTGATAGGGATGGTTTGGAGCCTGTGGCGCCCTTCATGACCAAGATTCAGAAAGACCTGGGCGATCACCCCCTTCATCGGTTTCTCCACGTGCCGAGCCTTGTGTGGTTCCACGACAGTGTCGGCTTGTCGCCCGACTTGGCGATCGAGCTCGTCTGCTTGGTAGGGATGGTGCTTGGGACGCTAGCCGCCGCCAATATCATTCTCGTTCCGGAATCCTTTGGAGCGATGTGGCTGTCGTATTTGTCTGTCGTATTGATGGGAGGATCGTTCATCCGATGTGAATGGGACGCGTTGTTGCTGGAAGTTGGGTTCTTGGCCATCTGGATGGCGCCACCCTTTAGCAACGCGACCCTTTTCGAACCACCACAGGTCATTCTTTGGGCGCTTCGCTTCGTTTTTGTCAAGTTCAGCCTCATGGCGAGTGCCTCTAAGATCCTCTCGGGGTGCCCCACCTGGCTCGGACTCACTGCGCTCGACTATCACTTTGCCACACAAGAAGTGCCGAACCCGCTGAGCTGGTACGCTCATCAGCTATCGGTACGTTCGTTAGCTCAAGCGCGCTTTCATGTCGGATGGCATGCTGAGGATGTGTGGTCGTTAGCCTGGCGTGCATAGCGTGTTGGCGGCGGCATCCTTGTTCATCCAAGGCCCGCTAACGCTGCTGAGTCTGTCCCCGTCTGCGTGGCATCGCTACCCCGTATTCTACCTCAACCTTGCGCTGCACCTGTCAAGCTTGTTCACGGGTAACTACGGATTCTCGAACGTGCTGGCGATTTCGTTGGCGTACACGGTCTTGCCCTCGACGTCGGAACCATCGACGGACCGCTTCACGGCAGTGCGGTATGCTGCGATTGCTCTCGGGTTCGCCGGTCTCTTGGCGGCCACGTACTCGATGTTTGAGCTTGTGTACGAAAATGGTCAAGTGGCTGGGCTTCGATACGCTCTGCGAGTCGGGCAAACCAAACACGCCCTCCAGTATGTCGTTCCGGGGGTGGTGTGGGGGGCGCTTGGCGTCGCGTTAGCTGCGGCCGTGTGGCAAAACGCCCGGCTGTTTTACGCTGGATGTGTCGAGTTGACGAAGTTTCGGCTCGGGGCGTCGTTCGCGTCGGGCCACTGCGCCGTTTTCAGCCTCGTTGGGCTCCTTGTTCTCGGAGGGCTCACCATGCCTCTTGCTCAAATGCATCCAGGGTTCTCCGAGACATTACCGGGCGTGATCAAGACCGCATCGATCATTGCGTCGCGACTACATGTGTCCGCCGCATACGGCAGCACGGAGAAATCCAGCGGTGTCCGCAAAGTCATGGTCCAAGGCACGTTCGCCAACGAATTTGCGATTGTCGCGCGGCCGGAAGTTGTCTTGGAAGGAAGTGCTGACGGCGGCAAGACATGGCATGCCCTGGATTTGCATTTCAAACCTGGCAGCGTACGTCGTGTGCGCGATTTTGCCCGAATTGGTAGTCCTCACGCGACGGGCGGTTCCAGGTGGATGCATCTCCTTCCTTTGTCGCCCCTCATCAAAGCCGCATCGACTGGCAAATGGCCGCTGCCGCGAAAGGCAACTACAGCGAACACCCGTGGCTCGTTCATTTCGTCATGAAGGTGCTGCAGGTACACCAACCCTCATTGCAACAAAAGTGTGGCACCAACATGGACTCGTCGTGTCGTAGGGATCACCAGCGGCACTCGGCGCGCTCCACTTAGACAAAACGCCCTTTTCGACTGAGTCGCCGCCCAAGGTACTGTTCATGGTCTACCCGACCGCATACACGCTCCCCCCCGTCACACGGTTTCTCGTGCCTTTGACAGGCTGTCCGTGCGCAATTGTACAACTACGACTTTACGCGGTGGAACACGTCATGGGCCCGCAACGTCCCCCACGTCGAAGTCTTGCGTACGAGAACCAACTCAACCGCGGCCAATGGCACCGCCTTGGCATCTCCTTGGTGGACTCGGGTACAAGCAAGCCCTCCCCCCCGTTGCCGGCTTTGTCGTCACTCACTGCGTCTTGATGTAGACGTTCGTGAAAGAGTACTTGCCCGCCGTGGACTTGAACAACCCGTCGTTGAACAAGTTTATCCAGAGTTTTGGATGGCCTCCAGAGAAAGTGGCGTCGGATGTTGGGGTCACGTACTGCACGACGGCGTCGACCCACCCCAAGTTGTGCCACAGCTTGGTCACGTTGCACTCGATTCGTTCCATTCGGCTTTACCTGATGGCGGCTATTGCCGTCTTCATGGTGGTCAAGCACCGCTTGGACCGGTGGCTGACTCGCAATGACGTTGCCGAATCGACTGACAAGACAAAGCTCGACTGATCGATCGGCTGGTCAGCCGTCGAAGAGCATGCGTGTTTAGATGGGGCCATGTAAGCTGTAAACATGCCATGCACATTGTCGTCACTGCACCTTGACAACCAGCTATTTATATAACCAGCCACGTCAAAGTGCAGTTTGCCCTTGGGCCGACAGCATGACGGGAGTCGTTCCGACCGACGACGATGACCAGCCCTTGCGGCCAGACAACTCGACGTTCGACACCATCACACTCCCTTTGTCCACAACTTCCCTCACGTCCATTCTTCATGCGCGTTGCCGCGTCGCGTCATCCCTTGGCCGCGAATGCATGTCCGAGTTCTTTGCCACGTTTGTCATGATGGGGTTTGGAACTGGATCGGGGGCTCAAGTGGCGTTGTCGAATGGGCAACACGGAAACTACACCCACATTACGTTGTGCTGGGGAATAGCTGTCATGCTCGGCATCCACATCGGGGGAGCGATCAGCGGTGCTCACATGAACCCGGCCGTGTCGTTTACGTGGTGTGTGTTGGGTAAATTCCCGTGGATGAAGCTCCCGTGGTACTGCATCAGTCAAGTGAGTGGTGCGTTCTGTGCGGCGTGGGTCGTCTTCCTCATGTACTACCCCGCCTTGACGCAGTACGACCCGGCCTTTTCCATCGAAAAATCGGGGCGCATCTTTGTGTCTGGCCCCCAAGTTACCGAGACATTGCTGTCTGCGTTCATCACGGAGGTTGGACCGAGCCAAGGTCAAAATCGATAATGTTGCTGATACTGACTCGTCAGGTTCTCTGCGCGGCATTTCTCATCATTGGCGTCCTCGCGATTACCCATCCGTCAAATCCCCACATGAATGCTCTTGGAATACCCACGACGACGGGCCTGCTCGTGGTTGGAATCGGGATGGCCTTTGGGCTCAACACAGGTCGAGCCCCCGAATTCTTTGGATTCGCCCAACAAACGTTGTTACGCCGCTCTATGCTCATTAGGGTATGCCGTGAATCCTGCGGCGGACCTTGGCTGCCGACTCTTTGCCCTCGTGGCTGGCTGGGGCCCCATTGTCTTTACAGTGAACGACGGATACTGGTGGATACCCCTCGTCGCGCCGTGCCTGGGGGGAGTACTGGGGGGGTGCGTCTACACCATCTCTATCGACGCGCAGCACCCCGACAAGGACATGAAGGCGACTACATCTACCCTCAAGTAACCAAGAAAACAAAATTTCGGCAACCATCCTTGTCTTTGTTGTTGAGGAGCTTCACCGAGAGGAGCTGACTAAAGATTGGGCGATTCTGCAGAGGAATCCCTTCGCCTCGGGGGTCGTCCCCATGCGAGCGTCTCAAGTCGGCTGGATCGTGTTGGCATCGGTGGGGTTGGTTGCGTTTGACGGCAGCTACCTTCTTCATGGTCGTTGTTTGCACAGGATGGAATTCTCGAGCACGGTTTCACGGCCCAAAATACATTGTGTGTTTGGCCTGTCTTGGTAGTTGCAACGATCGGTGGCGCCGGCCATGAGTCGAAGCGGCAGCCAGGTAGACGTTCGACAGGCGTATCCTCAAAAGGCAGTCGTCCAAGCGCAGGTGGGTGCGCTGGCCCCCTCGGCACCCCCCGGTCTCAACCCTAGCTTTGATCTCACGTACGTGAAGCAAGTGGTTTCCACGTCGATGTGACAACTTGTATGATTATAGGCGACCTGCCACGGCACGTGTCGACGTAACTCCATCTCGGCAGGGGGGTGCGAGCGGAAGCGGCAGTGACTCCAGACCGAACCGCCCCACGAGTGCTCACACTCGGCTCTTGACCACCTACGGCGCCGTCCAGCCGAGTCCAGATCAGGCTGCCGTGATCACAAAACAAGACTTGCGGCGCAAGCGAACAGAAGAGTACTTGAGTGACCGCGTGCGCCAGATATACAACGACGTCGGTCGCGATAACCGGCCAGTGAAGAAGCACTTGTTCCACGATGGAGGCACAGTGGGCAGTGGTAGTGGCGGCCGCACCACCACCACAACGTACAAAGGAGACGCCGAGTCCCTCCAAGACACCATCCATGCGCTCAAGTTTCAGTTGCAGCAAGATGCGGATAAACGTGCCAAACTGGTCGCCCGTTGTCGGCGGCTCGAGCAGGTGTTTCACTTGCATCGATTGTGATTGCTCACCGAAAATGGATGGCCGATAGGTTGTCGCGATGAAAGACAAAAAGCTCGAAGAGGCGCTGGCACTGCAAACCCAGCACGGGTCGTACAACTCGTGCCAACGCGAGCTGGCGAACCGCGAACGCGCCTACAATCACATGCTGGGCAAGCTCCGCGAAAAGATCGATCAGCAGGCGACGACGCTGGCGGCGTACGAGGACACGGTGAACGACTTGAAGGCAAGCACAAAGCACACCCGCGTGATGGAGCTGGAAGAAGGGCTCACACAGGTTGCGATGGAATTACGCCTGATGCAAACCAGAGTCGAGGAAGGCGAGCAGCAGTTGGCGCAGTGCCACAAACAGCTCGAAGATCGATCAGAGAGCACGGCGCAGAAGGCAGTCAAGCGACTCCGCACAGTTGTCTTGTCCCTGAACGAAGATAAGAAGCGCTTGGAAAAAGAAGTCAAAGTACTCAAGGCGTACATCGTCGCAAAGGAGCGGGAGCTGGCGGCATTCACGGTTGCAGCCAAGAGTCAACTCAAACCAAAACCTGTCCACAACGTCATGTCTCCGCCAAAGACCAGCGTGACCCCACGCCCCGCGGTCGTGCCAGACCCACCGACCCCGAAACCTCCGCCAGCCAAGCCAGCCGGCCGACCACCTTCTGCAAGTCGCAGCCGTCCCACGAGCACCCCAGGCCGCGCTGTTGCGATCCCCCAGCGACCCTCGAAATCCGAGCAAGTGGTGGTAGAACCCACCAAATCGACCACGCCGGCAAAAAAATCGTTCAAACCGGCGCCACAGCCAGCTGCAAACATGGTCCCACCTCTGCCGTTGAACACATGCTCGACAGTCGAGCCGATGTCACCCGATATTCCATCGCCTCCCCCACTGGAAAAACCAGCAGGCTTGGAGCTCCTTCAAGCTAAAGTGGCATCGGCAGCCCCAACGTCTACATCAGCGCCGAGCGTAGCCGTCGCCCACGTCGAACCTGTCGTTTCAGGGCTATCCCCCCCTGGTGTTGGCAACGCGACTGCTGCCGCAGTAGCGACGAGGCCTAGACCCGTGATCACCTCTGACATGGAGATTCCGCCGAGCCCGGACAAGCCTGCCACCTTTGTCCCTCGAACGGCGGACGACGACTGGATCGAAGATAACGCCAAGGACACGACAGAGATCGAGCGGATTCTGAACGGCGCAGGGGGGCATTCCACCGCGGACGCAGGAATATATCCGACCAACGACGATGACATGGACGAGGCGGATTTTCAAGCACTCATGGCGTTTAAAACGTCGCCGCACGATGCAGCCACGGCGGATGGCAAGGGTGGGGGCTGTCCAGGCGAAGTAGTAGAAGCAGCCAAAGGCGGCGGCGGCGATGGGAAAGACGACAACGAAGAGAGAGACATGGTCGGAGACATGGCGGCACTTAAGATCCAAAAGGTCTACAAGGTGTACTCGCGTCGACGGGACTCGATGGAGCTACATCGCGAAACGAAAAAACAGCACCGGCAATCGTCGTCCAACAAAATTCGTGAAGCCCTGGCAGGGGCGCAGGATGCTGTCGCCAACTCGCCCGTGGCACAGACAAACAGCACTCGAAAAACAGCCCCGACAAGGATCCCCACGGAGGCCCAGCATCAAGCTGCGACCACGATTCAAACGGCATATCGTCGGTCGTCCGTAGTCACGACCGGCGCTCCCGTGTCCATTCAAGAAGCAGATAAAACTGCATGGAACTCGCCAAGAGAAGGAAAGGCTTCGGACATCCACCAAGCCAACGACTCGACGGCATTGGAAAAACAACGACTTGCAGCTGCTGCTCATATCCCGTCATCGAGCACGTCGGAGCGATCCAAACCTGATGAAAGCGACGAGGAATCGTATTCGGAGGCCGCTACAAGTGATGGACAGCTTACCCCAAGCATGTCTACTTCCCCTCTAGAGCCGCAGTCGTTGGGAACGGTGCAAGGCGAAAACACAGGCGCGGACGAGTACGCCGAGCCAGTGGGAAGCGATGGCCAGATCACCCCCAGTGTATCGAACGATGGGGTGCATGACACCACCACGAGCGACACCTTTGTCAAGGGACATGCACTGGCTGAAGTCGACGCCAGGCCAACAGAGGATACAATTCCTACCGAGCCCGGTGACGGCGGCGATGAAAACCATTCGGAGCCAGGCTACAGCGAGGGCTACCTCACGCCAAGTTCGTCGGGTCAGGATACGGTCTATCCATCCGAAGGAAGCAAACAAGATGCGGCGGCGTGGACCATCCAAAAAGCATTCCGTCACGCGTCCAAGTCGAAACGAATCCCCAGCGGCCGTTCTCGCCCACCCACTTCCAACGACGTCATGGACGACGTGTATTCAGATGTCGCTGACAGCGACGATGGCAATTTGTCTCCAAGTGGATCGCAAGCCACATGGACCACTACGTCCCCCGAGCCAGCTCCACCGAGTGAGGTCGACCACACTGCCGCCGCAACGACCATTCAAAACGCATACCGTCGGTCGGTCATGGCAAAACCAAGCGCTGAGAACGAAGCGATCCGTGCTGGGGAAGCTCGTGACGACGGAGACGAAGATGCCGTGTACTTGGAAGTCGCTGCGAGCGACGGCGTCCTCACTCCAACTGGATCGGACCATGCATTGGTCGACACGCCCAGCAAAGACAATTCGCCAAATGAAGGGCAGCAAGCAGCCGCTGCCACCACGATTCAAAAGGCATTCCGTGCGTCAAGTTTGGGAGCAAAGAGCCACGTGCGATCGCCCGACTCGACACTAGAGATCGTGGCAGGCGACCCAAGGGAGAGTGGTGTCGTTGAGCCAGCGGCCACCGACGGTCCATCTCGCGGTGGACCCGACGACTTGGATGACTCGTCTGTGGACCATGCCAAACAGGCGGCAGCGGCTACGATTCACAACGCATTCCGGAGGACTTTCCCGCCAACGCCGCGTGCATCGAATGACGGACACCAGACGGAACGAGCCCAGACCAACGACGTTAGAACCTTGGTGGAGGATGCATCGGCGTCGCCACCAGCTCTTTCAAGCGCAACAAACGACACACCAATCGACGGAACACCTCCAGGCGATATGAGCGACGACAGAGTACCAGGTGGGCCTATGGAAGCGCCAGCGGACGACGATTTTTACTCCGAGGCTGGAGACAGCGATGGCAAACTCACTCCGTCCACGTCTGGTGCAATGGCATTGCAAGTACTGCCCCACGAAGCCGCGTTGGCGGCCGATTTAACACATCGTACGGTTGGTGAAACACCGCCGTTGCCGACGATTGCCCAGAACGTAGCGCACACTTCCGTCGTGAGCGATGCAGGTGCAGACTCGTCGACATCATCAGCTCTGAGCGCAAGGGTCATCGCAGCAGTCGAGTTTGACGGCATGGGCGAGACATCCCAACACACAACGGCTGGGTCAACGACAGATGCAGCCGCACGAATGATCCAGCATGCATTTCGCCACTTCTCTCCACGTAGCTCGGCTCCATCACCTCCACCCCTCGCAGGTCGTGCAACTCCCGATGCGGACGACGGTGGCAACGAGTACGATGACGACGAAGCGCTTTACGACGATCTTGCCCTGCGGGACGACGCCTTTCTTTCCGATGACGACGACACCGCCGCCCAAAGCGCGCCGTCCGTCCAGCCTACAACTCAAAACCAAGACGTCGCGTCGGCATCCGATCGCAACTTGATCGAGTCTGTGATGGACCACTTGGACGATACAGACGATGCCGACAACGCGTTGATGGGTGGCGCAGAGGCGCCGCTCGAGTACGAAGACGAGTTCATGGACGAGGATGACAACAACGATGCAGAGAACGGACGCCACGGCATCTCAGAAGACGCCCACATCCTCGCAGACGGTGCTGGCGAGTAGTTGAGTAGGTAGTGTCGTGGCTATTTAACACTGTAATTCGTATCAATCGCAGAATACCAAGCTAGGTTTGGTTCGTGCTTCGCCGACTCCGACGAGAGTGCAGCTTCACCATGCTTTGGGGTGGTGTAAACTCGACTCCGTCTTTGGGAGCGTCTTGTGGGGCCACAGTTGAGCGAATATCGTGCTGGGCGGCGAGCCAGTCGATTGCCACCTTATTTGTCGCGACGAGGGTATAATACTCGAAGAGCTCTGCTTCTCGTTGTGTGATCTTTGGTCGAGTGCGCATGTCCTCGAGTACGTGTTTGGGTGGGAACGGCGGGAGCGCGAGGGATTTGTCCATCGCGCGCAAAACGTGCAAGAGCGCCCTGTGCAGGTGGCGCAGCTCTGAGTAGCGTCCATGGAAGCTGAAACGGACTGCCGCGCTTTGCATCTCAACATAGAATCGGACTGCTTTCCCATCACCTTCCAGGTGCCCCGTCACGGAGATCCCGATCGCTTCATCGGCATTGCTGGTCATGCACACTTGAATAGGTAGGCAACGAATTGGGTGTGATGTCAACAAATTCATGAAAAAACACTTTTCCGTTTCTTTTTTCATGAATCAATCGATATATGTAAGGCGATGCTTGAAGAAAAAAGCATATTTTTCCTCATTCTTTTTTCGACATCACGTCGCCCTCGCAGAATTCCATCGAGAACATGGGCTTCGATGGCGTCGTGGCGGCGTTGACCCCATTCATTCCACCCTTTATGCGCGTGAATGCTCAAACTGTGGAGGAGATCAAAGCAATGTGCCCGTCACTTGCGCAGCTGAAGAGCGTCATGACGTGGCAGACCCTCAAGTACACGTTGATCGTCGCCGTGTGGACGGCGGGACTGGTGTACTCCGGAAAACACGACATGGTGACGCTGTACATCATCGCTTCACTGTTCTACCTAATCATGGCGAACCTTGGCGACAAAGAGAAAGACTCGGTGACAGTCGATGAGAACGGTCATGCAGTTCGGATCCCCAGTGCGTACTCTGTGTTCAACAATCGAGCGCAGCGGCTGGCAGGGCAACTCACGACCGAGCACTTTGAACAGCAAATCCGTAACCGCGGCCCCATGCACGACGAGGACGACGAAGGTAGTGGCGACGAGGACGACCCCGACCTTCGCGAAGCGCTGCGACAGTCGCTGGCGTTCGCCAACGCTGGACCAGGCCACAGGCTAGGTGGCGGCGTTCATCGTCGATAAGTTAGGCCAATCCACGATAGCTCTTTAACTACATGGCACGTGCAGCGACTGGTTCACGTTAACACGCTCCTGCTACTTGAGCGCCTTGCCAAGGACGTCAATTTGACCTTGCACTTCTCTGTCTTCGGTCGTCTTGACCGGCACCGCATCGGCCTTGGCCAGCCACAGCTTGGCTTCTGCCGCATTGCCCATCTTGAAATACGTGTCTGCCAGCAGAAACGAGTTCTTTTTCCAGAACCCAGGGCTAATGTTTTCTGTACGAACAAGTTTCGCCATTAGCCGAGGGTAGAAATCAATCAACTTCACCGGCGTCGTGGAAATGGCGCACGGCATCGTCGTACGACGCCGTCGGTGGCTTGCCAAAGAGCACGGTGGCCGCTTGCTTCTCGAGCCACCCTAAGTTGGCAAACGCCAGGCACCATTGGCCCAGGATGTTGTGGGCAGTTGCGTCGTTCGGGTTGAGCTCGATCGACCGCTCAATAAAGTTCTAACGAGGCTCAGCTCCAGTATGCAGACGATGCGCTGACCTTGATCTTGTACGCGCCTTTGATTTTCTCTGACGTGTCGCGGTAGTTGCCCACGGAGCTCAACATGATCCCCATCCACTTGTTTGCCATCGCGTCGTTTGGCTGCGAGTCGTACGCACGCTCGGCTAGTGCCATGCCCTGCACGCAGGATGCCACGTCATTTGTCATGGCACCGGGTGGCTATCGTACCTCAAACACCAGAGCCTTCTTCACGGCGTCGTCTTTGGTCTCGGTCGTCATGTCTTGGCAGGCGCGTGCACTTCGCCACAGCTATCCAAGCGATCACATCAAGAGAAAGCCATGGACCATTGATGTGTACCAAATCGACGCTGCGCGGATAATGAACTAAGTTTTCATCCAAAAACGATTTCACGGCATGGTAATCTCCTTCAGCATACAGTGCATCTGCTTTGGCCACGAGGGCCGCATGGTCGGGAACCGGTGCAGCGATGACGGCTGGTGGCGCCGGACTCGGAGAATTCTGTTCAAACGTGACGTTTCGTTTGGGAGAAGGCGCTCGCTTCGTCGTCGCCGTCGGCGACGCGGATTCATTGCCTTCTAATACAATCATACGTTTACAAAAGCACCGTGGAGGTTATTTACTTGTTGTGGACGGCGTGGGAGTCGCGGCGGCATCATCATGAGCGTCATATGGCGCAGCTTTGTCGGCCATCAGAGGCGGCATCAACGTTGATACCAAGCTCTGTTGGTTCATCGTGTGGATCAGAGAAGCTACAGCAGGACAACATTAAGTTGTGGCGACGTTGAAGGAGGGTGTTCAACTTGAGCGGTGGCTCGTACCAGCAACAATGCCTACGCCGACAAGGAATAGTGGCGGAAACATCTCGACGTGCATGATGGAAGGGATGTCTTGACTGGTCAACACGACAACGCTGGCCACGACCAGCACGATCGCAAGGAACACAACGCCAAACAACGAGAGGAGCATGTTGCCTTCCTGCACGACCAATCGGTCCATTTCCAATCGTTCTTCTGTCGTGGGCAGAAAAGGATCACTGTGTTCGATCGAAACAGTCGTCGTCGCGCCGGCATGCACCACCTCCACCGCCGGCGCCGATGACGGTGGTGCAGATCGCGCCGATGATGCAACGTTTCGATTCGTGGACGCGACATTACCAATGGGTGGAATTTCCTCTTCATCCTGCGGGCGGTCGCCACCAAGCCCGCGCGTGGCATACCGGTACACCAGGACGGTGCCCATCACAACGCCAACGCCTGCCACGGCCAGCAGCGCCGGCCGAGCCCAGCTCATCCAGAACAATCCAACGTGTGGAAAACACCCATTCTGCTCTCTGATTGGACAAGAAATGGGCCAATGAACGATCGTCATTATTCGAGATGGAGAAGCTGGTGGCGAAGTTCGCGACGACCCACTCCACCTTCGGTCGCATGGTGAGATGAGGAGGCGGCATTCGCGGTCCTCTGCGAGCGTGTCGGCCCGGGGCAGATGGCCAGAGAGCACTGTTTCAGCCACAGGGACTGCATTTGTCGAGAAGAGTCACGTCGTTGGAGGGAAAGGTGAGATCATCTCCTGCTGTGTGGAAGATTATTCGAATCCAAGTGGTGTCCGGTGCAATGGAGTCATGACCACGTGTCTATTGTTGGGGGCATAACAACGGACGCTTTTTGCACACCGTCTTCTGTGAAGCCATCAAGACTCGTGCTGTCGCTGGTCGCGCTGGTTCAAGTGCGTTGTAGATGCACGTCGTGCATAGTCTTTGAAACGACTGTTGCGTGTGCCAACATGGCAGTGTCCTTCGCTACAATGTGTTCATTGTCTAAAATGATGCAGCAAGTACGAGCTACCGTCGCCGGCGTCGTTTGCTCACAACTGGGTGGTTACCATGCACACCGCACGCGTTGTTTCAGCTCGTGTCAACGCGGCAACGGTGGTTGGGCTCCGTCGAGCGACTGTCAGTCCACAACGCCAGCGGTCTCACGATGGAACAGGCGCGATATCTTCAGCGGCGGTGGGCGGATGTTTGCGCAAAGTGCCTCAGCACGATCGAGAGTGTCCGGCTTCAATTGTGAGTGGCATGCCACTCACAATCTCATGCGACTCTCTTTCGCTCGGGTGGGTGTAACGCGGCAACCCATGTGTTTCGACATTTCGGCTCGGGCATCCTGAGCTTACGTGCTGCGGCTAGCTTTTACAGTGTGCCGGTTGGCTTGGCCACGAGTAGATGCGCGTGAGAGTTGCGGCGGCCACAACAACGTTGGCAATATCCGCATCATGGGCGGCGGACAACTCGTCGATCATCACCTTCACGCCATCAACAATGCCAGCCACGCCGCCTTTGACTCCACTGTCGACGACGACGATTCCGACAACTTCGCCTCTGCCACCACCCACAACGCCGCGGTCGCCTGTCCCTACTACATCGTTTAAGAAACCCACGACATCTGCACCTTTCCCGACAATATCATCACACGAGCCCACGACGGACGAGCCAATCTCGGACACCCCGCTTACGTCCAAGGCCACGACAACGAAGGAACCGATCGCACGAGCGACTACCACCGCACCAGCCACAGACAACGGTCGAGAGGGTGTGCTAGCTGAAGTGGAACAAAGTCCACTGAGTCCATCCGTCTCGACGACGTCAAGCAAAGCCACGACCGTTGACCCACCAACAGTCCAAACCCGTACGTGCAATGCCTTTGAAAGCGACGATGATGAACTGCTGTAGCTCCCGATACAGCGCCACAATCAAGCATGAATTCGGCCACGACGTTGGGCCTTCTCGGCGGTGGTCTGCTCGTTTTTATTGCCGCAGTCGTGTTCATCTATTTATCCATCCGAAAGAAACTCCACGCGTTGTCTGCCCAAGCCGACGCCGAGTACGAAGACGCACAGTCCCCGCCACCGCCACGGATATCGTCCGTGAGTGTCTCAAGTGCGCGCGGCATTGCAAGGGTCGCGTCCAACCTTCAAGACCTTCCTGGCAGTTGGCGGGGTAGTCAGCGGGGCAGTTTCTCGCACGTTGGCCTCATCGACCTTCCGTCAAGCGACCGGCCTCCAATCGACCACCGCGCCTCGTCGATTCCCTCCGTTCGATCCGTTCATTCGTTTCTCGGAAGTTGCGGAGCGCGATACTCGAGCGAGTACAGCCGCCACGTCGACCCGAACGCCAGGTTTCATCGCAGCCAAGGCGGGTCCATTCACAACTTTGATCCGCATGCGGCAGCTGTCCATGGTCGCGCAATGTCATTTAGTGGGCGCACTCCAGTCTCCTCAGGACGGCGAATATCAAGCGAACAAGGGTTCCCGCTAAGGCGATCCAACGACTTGCGGGAGTACGTGGAAGCAACTTATGGCGTTACGTCGTCAATACCCCGGACGGCGTCTGCGCCCATGACCTTGTCGTCCATGGTGGATGCGCATGCTCACCCCATGAACCCTCCAGTGATGCGTGGGTTTACGGGGGGCTGGGCCGACACAAGGACAGGTTACGTTTCCCACTCTGACTACGACGATGACGACGGTGTCAGGAACACGTGTGACTTTTGACCCATCAAGATATATCTAGTATGAAATGTATTCAAACACAATGGAGGCAAGGTTTCATGGCGCGTGTTGACCGCACGATGCTCCAACGGAGTTGGAGGGAACGACCTGAGCCCACTGGAGGTGTTTGTTTGAATCTACGTGCATTTGTGTCCCCTGCCCTTGACCAAGTGGTTGACATGCCGAAATGGCTAACGAAGCCATCGCGATTTTGCCTAGCAATTCCCGATCATTTATCTAAAGCTGGAATTCAATCACGAATGTATGGTTCTTGTCGCTCTGGAATGGTTTAACGCACAACGGAACACTGAGTAGACTTGACTGAAAACACGTCAAACGTATCATGTTGTAAAGGTCTCGGGCACTGGGAGAAATCCCAAAGGGGTCACGATCAAGTGCTTCAGCGGACTCTCCGGACCTCACCATGGAGTGTGTGGACACCTCCGTCGTCGACTTCCTAGACGAACATTCATTGGGAACTTCACTTCCACTTTCAGAACCTATACTTTCAAAATTTGAGCCCATCGCATTTTTCCAAATTTGTGAATTGAAAAATTTAGAAAAAATCAGGCCTTGGATTCGATACAAAGTATGAAACGTGTGGCGTCGAATCACGCTATTCGCACTCGTCCAGAATCGACCCGATTGGTCAATCCATAAAATACGCCATTTGATTGGCTCATTCTGGAGACAAGCATTTCACATTCCAATCACTATGTTGGCACTCTCGATTTGAGGCATGGACACCCCACCCGCTTGTAACACCACGTCGTCGCGGGACTCCCAGCGTGATAATTTCATGGAAATTGAAAGCAGACATCCCACAACGCGTGTTACGACGACACAGCCCACACGATGGCGCCACCCTTTCCTCGTTGATTGTATACGTACAACTCTACTGCACACTAGCCAATCAGATCGATTCACCCAAGGCGCTTGCTAAAATCCATGTTTTTGCTCGAAAGTGCAACATTACTGGCAACTATTTTGCCAAAACTGATGCGTGGGAGATGGAATAATATGACCAATTTTGAAGTTCGATGGACGCTGCGTTGAAGTTTACGGACCTCCCATTGAGCGCGGCAGTGCAAGCGAGCCTCCACGCATGCGGCTTCGTCGTTCCGTCGCCAATTCAGGAGAAGGCTCTGCCAGTCGCTTTATTCGGCAATGATCTCATTGCACAGGCCAAGTCAGGGATGGGAAAGACGTTGGTATTTGCATGTGTGACGGTCGAGCTTGTGCTGTCGAACTCGAAAAGCTGGGCGTTAATCTTGGCACCGACACGCGAGATCGCGCTGCAAATTCAACATGTGCTGACCACGTTGATCGCGGCGATCCCTACACTGTCTCCTTCCATGGTGGTCGCGTGCATCGGTGGTCTGGACATCCACGACGACGAGCGACGACTGCAACAGCGCGCAACTCGGGTCGTAGTCGGCACACCTGGTCGCGTCAAGGCGCTCGTTCAACGAAAAGCAATCCCCATGGCATCCATGCATCTGTTTGTCCTGGATGAAGTGGACAAGTTGATGGAATCGGATTTTCACAGCGATATCGACGCCATCGTACAGCGTCTACCGCCGACAAAACAGGTCCCACCTGTCGAATCCACACTTCCGACAGGACTTCTCACGGTTTGATGTGTGCGCAGATTGTTTCGTGCTCCGCCACCTTTACGCCCGATCAACTGGCGCGCCTCGGGGCCATGATGCTCACGCCTCAGGTAAACGCCCTCGCGTACTTCGGTCTTCCATCTGTCCTTTCAATCCATCCAGTACAGTCGTCCCATAGCCCTTGTAGTTTGTTCGCGTGCAAGGTCCGCAAAGCGTCACCACTGACTACATCCAAGACACCAACGTGGCAGCTTGGCAGGCCAGGGATGATGCCCAGCGCCCCGAATTGTGGCTTCGAGGGGTGCAGCAATTTTACTTAGTCGTGGATACGGCCCCAGTTGAGGCTGTAGATGATCTTTTGCGCCTAAAAGTGCAGCGGCTGGCCCATGTCCTCACCCAAGTGTCATTTCACCAATGCATTGTGTTTTGCAACGACAAATATCGGTACGACCTGCCAACTCGCTTGGAACGATCATGGCGCTCACGTGGTGGATCGTCGTGGCTCCAGCGCTGAAGCTCTGGCTGATGCGCTGACAACGTTGGGGTTCCCCGCAGTGTGCATCACAGGCGCTCAGGCACAGAACCAACGCTCCGACGCCATGGACACGTTTCGCCGCTTTCAAGCACGGATTCTTGTGTCCACCGACTTGACGGCGCGCGGCATCGACGTCGATCGGGTCAATTTGGTGGTGAGGACATGGCTTTAACCGTTGAAATGCGGTGCTTTGAGGTTGATCGGTGCTGACAACTAGATGAACCTTGATCTGCCACGCGATCCGGCTACGTACTTGCACCGCGTCGGGCGATCGGGGCGGTTTGGAGGCCAAGGCGTGGCCATCACACTCTTGGGAGACAGAGAAGTCAAGGCCATCAAAACGATGGCCAAAGTGTTCAAGATGAAGGTGGCCGAGTGGATGGGCGAGTTGCACGCGGCAGGAAGCGACTCGGCTGCCACTGCCCACCAAGGAGACGCATACGACGATACCGATCTGCCCACACACATCTTTCACAAACGAAAGGACGACACAACTGCGATCCATGCCGGGTTGGAAATCGAGCATGCCCAAGGGACAGGGGATTCCAACTCGGCTCGAGATCTGCATACGGCCACGTTGCGCACACTTGCGACTGACGGTGACATCGCCGACGATCCACCCAACAGAACAGACACCCAAAACGCAAACCCACCGCCTTCCCTTGCTTCAGCTGCCGTGGCCAACACGTCACCCTGCAAACCTGAAGTTGTGCCGGCAACCAATACAACTACACCGTCCAACAAAAAGCGACCGAGCAAGATCAAGCGGCCACCAACGTCACCTCCACCAACCACGCCAGTAGACGCAGGAAACCCCCCAAACCCATCGCAATGTCCTCACGCTGTTTCCCTGCCAACCCGTTCCCTCGCTAAGCCCAGCGCAGCGTACACTCAAGAAGAGGCCAGATACGACGAGTGGCTAGCACTGGTGCACAAATGCATGGCGCAAGAGGACTCGATTCAAGTGGGTGCTCAGCGAAGGTCATGTTGAAGCTGCCCCAACGTACTCAAACGATCCCAGCACGACGGTTGCCATCGTTTGTCGATGAGGCGATTGAAGGTCGGATTTCATCAAAAATTCACGAAATTCGCAATAAATTTACGCTACTTTTGCTCTTTTTTTTAAATGCAACATCAGTCGTGAAAATATCTAGTCCCAACTGCAACTTGAGAAGAATGCCACTTTTCCATTTGGATCATGGCCGGCACATCTCAACCGCTCCTTGGGTCCTCTCGCAGCCCGCAGGGACGGCCGTTCTCGTCCAGTATGTACAGAATACCTACGTCTCGCCCACCGCTCACTCGTGTGCTCAATAGCGGCTATCCTGATCGCCGTGGCCATCGGGATTGCAATCGTGGTCGCGGGCCAATTCATCTTCAACGGGGTTCTGGGGCCACCTAGTGCCACCTACACCCCCAACTTTATGGATCCGCGACCCAACACAGGCAACTGCTCGCTGAATTGGTTCGACCAGCGCGTGGATCACTTCACGACGCTCAACACGACGTACAAACAGGTACGCGGCGAGTGGCACGGTCTGAACACGGTGTCACGAGTGTGTCGGCAGCGCTTCTACGTGTACGACAAATTCTGGAAGCGCCGAGCGGACGGCAGCAAGGAAGACGGCCCGATTTTCTTTTACTGCGGGAACGAAGGCGACGTCACGCTGTACGTCAACAGCACGGGGCTCATGTGGGAGAACGCACAAGCGTTTGGGGCGCTGATCGTGTTTGCTGAACACCGATACTTTGGTACGCAAGCAGCTCTTCGTTGGCTTTGCTTGTCCGTCACCATGTTCATGGTCGCCTCCAGGCAAGAGCTTTCCGTTCGGTGACCAACACAAAGACCACCTTCAATACTTGACGCATGACCAAGCGTTGGCGGACTATGCCGTCCTCTTGCGGTCGCTACAGCAGCAAAACAATGTCGACGTCCCAGTGATCGCGTTTGGCGGGAGCTACGGCGGGATGCTGGCAGCGTGGTTCCGCATCAAGTACCCCACCACAATCCGTGGTGCCATTGCGGTATGGCTGCTTCCGCCCAGACGGTCGCCACCATCTGACTGGTAGAATGTGTTCCTCTAGGCCTCCGCCCCCATCTTCGCCAACTCGATCGGGTATGCCGACAACTTTCAAGGAACCGACTACTGGAAAGTCGTCACGCACGACGCGTCGCCCGCGGCCGGGTCAGCGGCCAACTGCATTCCAAATGTCCGTGCGACGTGGCCTATCGTGTTTGGTAAAGCCGACTCGCCTCAAGGTAGCACGAAAGACCGTTGATGCCCCATTGCTAGAGGGTTTTCACCTAGGCTTGGCGCATCTCTCGTCGTTGTTCAAGACGTGCACGCCGCTGAAGAGCCGTAGTGACGTCGAAGCCCTTGCTCTGACGTTGATGATGGCATGGGACACCATGGCAATGGGTAACTTTCCATTCCCATCCAACTACCTCACGGAAGGCAAGGCCGACATGCCGGCATTCCCCGTGCGCGTCGCATGCGACCACATGGCCCCGACGTTTGACCTGACAAACGACAATGGGACGGCGGCGCTTCTCGTGGCGATGAAGGCCGCGACCGACATCTTTACGAACGCGACTCGGGACGTTGCATGCATCGCGGTCCAGGAAGACTACGACGGGAATTGGGACTACATGTGGTGCTCCCAATTGCTGGCCCAGGAGAGTTACTTCAACACGAATGGCGTCACCGACATGTTTTGGGCCCGAAACATCACGCTGGACAAGATCGCTCGGGACTGCCAGACCAAGTGGGGCGTCACCCCCAACCCGGACTGGATCCGCACCGTGTACGGATCCGCCGACGCGCTGCTCAAGTCCACTTCCAACATTGTGTTTTCGAACGGAGGCTTCGACCCATGGAGCTCTGGCGGCGTCCTGGCTAACTCGAACCCCCAAATCACCCTCGTCGATATCCCAGAGGGAGCCCATCATTTGGACTTGATGTTTAGCGACCCACGCGACCCCGCCTCCGTCGTCCAGGCCCGCCAAACGGAAATTCAGCATATTCGGGCATGGCTCCGGGACGCGTGAACAAGTGCATTGTCCGTGCGGCTGACTAGGAGGACGCACCACCGTCGTCCTAACATCATTCATCGTAATGTCATGGTGTGATTGAGCGATTCCCGTTTGGGCTGTAACGCGTGTGAGCTCTGCACCCATCCTTTTCGTGTCAATTGCGTCATGCGATTCTCCGACAAGTTCCATCACGGTGGCCAACTTTGCGCGCTTCTCGGACATGGACTAGGTGCAGCTAGGTGCAGCTCAAACCATGCCATTGAGTGGCACGCCACCTGCCCATCGAGGTTGTGACCGAATCGGTTGGACAGACGGTTACTCGGAGGCAGTTACTCCATGGTGCGGACGACTTCGAAGGAGACGGCGGCGGCGGCGGTCGTCGCGGCTGACTTGCAGCCCATAAACAACATTTTGTTTGACCCGGTCAAAGGCGAAGTGGATGTGGCGTCGGGGCATCGGGTGTGGGTGCACGATGCGATCGAAAAACGATTGAAGAAAGCCATGGTGACGGGGTGTATCGACCTGAGCGGCCCGCCGCCATCGAGTCTGCAGGACGGGAGTCGGACGTTCCAGCTACACTTGCTTCCGAGCGAGTTGTACGCCTCCGTGACGAGATTGACGTGGGCCAAACAACATTTGAAAAAGCTCTTCCTCACCAACAACTGCCTCACGCTCCTGTCCCCCGACATCATGCAGTTTCGTCATTTGACCGTGCTTGGCGTGGGGGGAAATGCCCTCACGTCTCTGCCGACCGACATTGGAGCCCTCGTCCATCTCGAGCAACTTCACGTTGAGAACAACCAGCTGTCGACGCTCCCCGACTCGCTGCGTCGGTGCACAAAGCTCACGCACCTGACCCTCACGTCGAATGCGTTTGTCGAGTTCCCCCTTATCGTGACCAAGTGCTCGTCCTTGCTTCACTTGAGTCTGGCCCACAACCGACTGACCTCGGTCCCCTTGCAAATTCGATTCCTCTCGCGACTCGTGGAGCTGAACCTGGACCACAATCGCATCGGCCCAACGCTGCCGTCCGAAGTCGGGTACCTCAGTCGTCTCGAGCGTCTTGGGCTGGCAGGCAACTGCCTTGGCGCGATGCCCGCCTGCTTGACGCACCTCAAGCTGTCCTGTCTTCGGTTCAGCGGCAACCGTGCCCCCGGCTACACTGTGCACGACCCCCTCACAGGGGATGTCATGGACGGTCGCAACACGCCAGTGCGTACCAAGCCCGCCCTTGATACCCCCCTGGAATGTCTCGAGAGGGGCTGACTGTTGTTGCATGAGTAGATTCGATTTGACGGATACATGCAGCTCCGGCATGCGTACACCGTGCTGTGCGATACCACGCAGCACGTGTCACGCCAAGTCGTGGACCTGGACGGACTCACGCCGACGCGGCTATTGAATCTCGAAAACGCCGCGCACGACCGAGACAAAGACCAAGTACGTAAAACGATTATTGCATCGTTTGGAACGGGAGCATCGACGCTAAGACCGTGGCGCGTTAGATCGGCCGACAGATCCTGCGGGGCCGCCAGCAGCACCAGTACATCACGTGAGTACGTATGGCTCTACAACCGCACCAGTGGTCGTCAGGACGATGTAAGCATGCATAATTCAAGCACAGATGGCCCCCGCAAACATGTCATCGTCGTCGACGAAGCATCCAGGAAATTGTAGCGTACGTACTGGAAAGCACACCGAGAGCTTTCGCCACGAACGACGCCTCCGTGACGGACGCGGGGGAATCGTTGGCCCCGAATGCCTGAACGATCTCCTGGATGTGCCTCGGGAACGCTTGGCGCGCGCGATGGCTTGCGAGGAGTTTGACGACAACGACATCCTTGGCCACGTCGGTGGCACCGACGACGTGTCCCCCAACAATGTCGTGCATGTAGATCGCTCGCAGATGCTTGGTCTTCGTGGCGATGCGTCGCAAGTCCATGCGATTGAATCGGCTGGCGCGATCGAGGGCGTCGATGCGCGGGTCGTTGCGCAAGACGTTTATCAGGAACTCGAGAGGGTCGTGGGGCTGCTCGACCAACACAGACTCCATCATTACTTGCATCATCTCGCGAACGTAGTTTCCCAGCGAGTAGTTGGTCATGCTGGCCATCAGCGCTTCATTGCGCGGCTGGTCGGGCGGCGGCATCGTGTCGGTTTGCGTTTGCAGCGTTACAGGTGGCTGTGCCCCGAACAGTTTCACGTCGTCGAGATGTCCAAACACCGCATGAGGTTGTGGGGGAGTTCAAGTAACAACCCCATGCAACACGGATCGAGGAAGCGTCGCGGTGTGGTGGGCATTCCTGTGAGCTACGTGCCAACGATGCTGGATCAACATCAAGTGCGCAATGAAATGGAGCGGGGGCGACATGCGGGGACGAGCACGTCGGCCACGAGATAGCCTTGGCTGACGCAGCCTGGAGGAAGGGACTGGGAGTTGCTGGAGGGGGGGGGCGGTGGAGCTCTTGGCTGGCACGGATTAGTTGTAAGGTTCAGATTTATAGTATATAAAAAATTCTATGATATATGGCGGCGGGGGCTCAAGCTGTCGCGGCGGCTGACTGGCGCATGGAGGAATTAATGCATGGTCGGTGGGACGTTCCTTGCAGCCATGCTGGTTGGCATGGCGTGGTTGCATCGAGCTGCATGCACGTCGGCATTGCGCGCTTGAAAGTGCTGGATCTCGCTGAAGATGCGACCTACACAGGACACGTAACACAACGAGGCCGTGCCACAGTCGTCGTACCTTTGAGTTTTTCACGGTCGAGCGGGACGTTTTCAAACTCCATGTCAAGGGGCTGCATGTCCACGATCTATTCATGCATCGTCACAACGTCGGGGAGCAACATCCGTGACCACACACCTCCTTCGCGCGTAGACGAATGTCGGCGAGAAATGGATGGTTCAGCGCGCCTTCCAGCTACACTCCTGGGATAAGGGATCGCCCGAGGGGAATGGAGTTCGTACAGTTATCCGCCGGTCGGGGTTGAAGGTCAAAAACTGCTTGAGGAGGTCCAGGGCCTCGGGGGACGCACCCGGATACAACTACCGCATCCCCTTCCGTGATGCTGGCGTCAGCTCGTCATCACACGCACCTGGGCGAGATTCATCGGGTCCTTGTGCTGTAGTTTGCGCAGGTATTGCTTTACCTGCACAAACGAATGGTCAGCAAGCACACACACAAAAAGCAATGCGAGGCACGGTCACCTCGCCCAAGTTGCCAATGTCGTCCTCGCTTGGCGTTCCAATCACGTTGAAAATGACATTCAGTTGATCGAGCTACCAACAACCACGTCAGTCAGCGACGCATCGATCGCGGTACCTTGTCCGAATACGTTGTTGGTCGATCGGCGCTGAGGGGAAAACACGACCGACCGGGGAAGATTGGAGTCCGCGACTACGTGCCACGCCGTCCATGCCGTTGTGCACACAACGGGGATGGCAACTACCTGGTACTGCGAGCAACTCTCGACTTGCATGCTGAGCAGCTCGGCAAAAATACATCCCAAACTCCACAAGTCGACGGCGTAGCCGTAGTCCTAAGGCATCCGTCCGATCAAATCCACCGACGCGACAAATCCCATGCTGGTCTACCTGGAGAAGGATCAATTCGGGCGCGCGGTACCACCGGGTCACGACATGCTTGGTAAGTTGGCGTTGAAACTATGCCAGATCCATCCGTCACAACCACGTAATCCACGTCCTCTGCATGATGTCGAGCCAGCATCGGCCAGAGCACGCATGGTGCGTCAATCAGTACCTTGGGCATGTTGGGGTTGTCCGCGCCGCCTTTTTTGTTGCGGAAGGCGGGCGAGACAGGCTCGACGTGCGCATTCTCTTTAAAGATCGCTTCGTCGACCACGCGCGCCAGGCCAAAGTCGCATATCTACGCAAACGTTGACGCCGCGAACGAATTCGAGACAAAAACCTTGAGTGTGCAATCTTCGTTGACTAAAATGTTGGCCGGCTTCATGTCTCGATGGATGACGTTGGCCGAGTGGATGTACTTGAGGGCGCACAGCAACTGGTACAAAAAGACTTGGATGTGCCGCGTCGTCAGGTACTGCGGGCTCATGATGAGCTTGTGCAGGTCCGTGTCGACAAACTCAAAGACGAGGTAGAGGTCGTTGAAAGCAGCGTACGACGGCGGCGGGAGCACGTCCAGGAGCGTGATCACTTCGGAATGGCTACAGCGTCCACGAAGTTGAGAGCGCTATCGTGACCTGTTGTAGACAAAGGCCTACCGCAAATGCCGCAAGATGTAGATTTCGCGGTACAACCGCTTGCAGTCGACTTCTTGGTCAAACACGTTGTTGATCTTCTTGATTGCGACGCGCTTGTTCACGACCGTGTCGTACGCTTCGGCCACCTACACGACCAAGCACGTGAGCTTCCACGTAGCCGTGCATGCTAGCGCCTTCGTACTTGGCCATACGAGCCCTTGCCAAGAATGCGCACGAGGCGGTAGCGCGCGCCGACGTTCCACGCTCGAAACGTGTTTTTCGGGTGCGCGGGAACGGCGGCGGCGTTGGTGCCGGTCGCGTGCTTCTTGTCCGCTTTGACGGGAGGCGATGGCGTCGACCGATTCGACATGGATGTTTCCCCGGACGACGAGTACGACGCGGCCGACGAGGATTTCGGCGCGGGCGGCGCCATCGTCGTATTCTCCGGTGGTGTCGGGAGTTCATGAAAGAGCGGTGCACCGAATGACGGTGTCGGTGGCATCATGGACGGAGGACCGTGCGGTGTCGGAGCGATGTCCATGAAGCCCTTGGGCGGCGTGATGACTTCGACGTTGTCCGTGCGTCCCGATTGCGACGTTCGGCGCTTCTTGAGAAGACTGGGCGGCGGGCCAGGCGCGGCAGCGGGTTTGGTCACGATGGCATGAGGGCGCTTGTTGACGGGTTTTGGCTTGGGCGGCATGACGAGCGGGTGAGTGCAGGGATAGATCTACCTGCCAAGAACGTTCACGTACGTGCACTTGACGCAAATATCCAACGAATATGTGCCAAGAGAACGGGACCCAAAATGGAATCGGTGTATTCTTGGCACGGCGGCGGGTATGCAAGGGTGGCGCCCAGCCGTAATAAAATACGGTTTTCACGCACGTATTTTTGGATTTCATGGATCTGGAAAAAAAATGAACGCCCCATGCCACGTAAACCAACGGCCATTCTTTTTTAGCGGGGACGCGCGTGAAAAATATCCAACGGGTGCGGGCTGGGTAGACGGGTCGGCACCAGACCACTCCATGCCAGGCCAACGTCAACTTGGACAACCAAGACAGAGGTCGTGCGCCGATGCGGACAATGGGACATGGGACAACATGTTGGTCGGGTTGCGGCGAGCTGGACGGTCCCTTACCACCCTCGTGAACCCCCACGCCCCCAGACGACGCCAACCAACTCGGACGTGGCCTCGTTCGACGGGTGCGTATCTACCCACGGTTCACATACTACCTTGGTTAGTTGTGCATGGGGGTGAGAGGTTGAGGTGGTCCAAACGCGGAGGCGCCGCCGCCATGCAACGGTGGCTCCGTGCTTTGATGTGGGGCGAACGAGGAGTTGGTGGGGTCGAGGGCACGGTCATGTTCTTGGCATGTCATCGACGTCGTCGTGCACGACGGTCGAAATATTCGAGATCCACCACGGGCGAATTGCTTGTTGAACCTGCCACGGACCGAGAGGGCGCCGTCGATGTGGACAAGTGGGTGGGAGGGCTCCGAAGGAGGGGGCGGTCGTTCGATGTGTGTTTGGTGCGGCCGGACGTCGGCACGGTCCTGGCGCAGACCCCGTCGTTCTCGACGATGCCACACCGACGGCCGCGGGTTTTGATGACACAGCCTGTAATGGGTGGTTTTTCGACCTGCGTCCTCCAACACACTCGAAATCTCCATCTCGCAACGGGGCCAGTCGAGACACACCCACGCGGCGGCGTTTTGGTGCTTACCAAGGGGATTGCCCGACCAGCTCGAACGAGGAAGGGGAGCGGGCAAACGTGGCGGCGGAGACCGCAGCTTTTATAGACCCAACCACCGTGCCGATCCTCGTGGGAGGATCGCGTGGTACACTGTAGATGGCGGCGGCATGTCGCCTTGGCGGACGAATTCCACGAACGATGTGTGGTCCCAACAAGTCGTTGGTGCGACCAGTTTGCTGGTCGGTCGCTCGAGTAGAGGAGGCTGCAGGTGATGGTGGAGGGCAAGGGCTTGACCACGTCGCGCGCTTCCACAAAAAGTGTTCGCGATCGATCGAATCTGGACAACGTGCTGTGCAAAAGGCCGTGGACCCGGGCGACGCCGCCATGTGAAACCTCCATCACATCGACGTCGTATGACCGAATGCAACGACCTCGACGCAGCGGATCGTCTTGGACGGCGACGTCGTATCCATGCAAGATCGCGTCCATGGGGTACGAGGGACAACAACCACCAACAACGATGGGAACCGTTCAATCTTGTGATAATTTAACTCCGCGACTTGAATTTTTTGTCGAGCCGAGATTTGTCGCCTGTGGTAAAGTCGACCGTGCGGAGGGCGTACTGCGGCTCGGTGCAGATCTTCATGACGGCTTGGACACCGTAGTTCAACGGGACCGAGTAGAGCCCATCCAGGTTCACTTTCATATCCCATCCGAGGGACCGCATCGAGACGCGGCGCGCTTTGCCCCTACCCCAATCAATGCTCCCGTCGTTTTGCGACAAACCAACGTACTTTCGAAACCGAATGTCGCCAAAGGTCGCGTTGATAATGGGCTCGCGGACGACGTAGCCCATGTCGAGCGAATCTTCGGCAAACATGTTGTCCTTGTTCAGTCTAGTCATGGAACGCCGTCATGCCGGTGGAGACGCACATATCATCGACAGCTGTACGTTTCCGTGATTTCCGTCACGGTCTCGTTCGTGTAGCTGTGAAAGTCCATCGCGTGGAGGATGCTCGAGATCTGTTCGCGGTGGATTTGCGACTACGGACAGCACACGTTACCCCGACGGCGCATGTAGTCGACGACGTCAACGCACCGCGCTGTAGTACCACGCACTCGACCCTGTCCCCGTGCACACAATGATGCCGCTGCTCCGATGGGATTCGCGCTGGTGTTGGTCGATTCCAATGTTGTAGAACGATGGCCGCGACGCATCCGACTCGGCAATAAATACCTACCGCCACACTCCACTCAGTCGACGGGTCGATCTTGGACTTGGTACCTCGTTCAGGGCGTATCGAGGCAGCTCATACTTGAATCCTTCTTGGTTGACCATGCCAACTCGAATGCGCTGGCGGTTCAGCCACTCAAACTCGCCTGCACTCACAAAACCACACCGGTGATGTCATGCGACTGGAGCCAGTGGTACGTGCGTACCTTTGAGCAGTCGTTCGAGCACGACGACGAACCGGTTGCATGTGGCATCGATCGAGTAGCAGCACAGATTGCCTTCGCTGCGTGCCGAGTCCGTGTTGAGTCCCGTGAGGGGAATCGGCTTGTTGACAAAACTCGCCGCCTATCGTCAGTTGCAGCGACGCACCGAGCAACGAATGCAGCAATTCATACCTTCAGAAACGTCCCGTCGCCCCCGGCCGAAAACACCATGTCCGCGCCATCGTACGCTTCGTGCGTGAGCTCGTGCGCGTTCACCACCGACACTGCGATGTTGTGCTCCTTCAGGCTAGTCACGACCCGTCAGCTCCAGGATACATACATACACCGAGACATCGAATCAACCAAAACGAGCGGCATCACCCCAAACGAGTCACGCTGGACGCACAACAATCGAGTATGCAGCGATCACGGCTTCAGACAACGCCTCGCTTCAGCCATTTACAGCCCACCTCCACCACTCGCCAGTCTGCCAAACACCACATACCACGAGGTAACGTCATCGAGGGCGTCCATGTGGTGGTCGTGGCTGGCCTTGAGTCGATCGTAGACGAAGCCACGCATCGACATTTGCTTCTTGAGCGCTTCGCCCGTATTGCCGTACAACGATTCTTCGTGCTGGTATCGAGTCATCTTGTTGACGACGACGACCTTGTTGAGCGTCACCTTGGGCACTTTGACGGACGGATCGAGCGGGCATTCGATGTTGGGGTTCAGAGGAGCAATGACGGGGGTGCTGTGTGTCTGCTGACGGTACGTTTGTTGGATATACTCCTCTGACACAATCATCCGAGGCACGCGCTCGGCAATCGCGAGCATCATCTCGTTGTCGTAGACAGGGCGGTTGATCTTGATCCATCCCTTGGGGCTGAGCTTCTCGTTCCACGGGCAAACGGATCGCATGTGCGTAAAGAAGGGCGCGACCTTGCCCGTCGTCGGATCCGTCCGCGTGTAGTGGAGAATATGGCCATTGTGAAGCTGGTCCACCATGCGACCACTCAATTGGAGTTCGCGGAATGTGTCTTGGCTCATGCGCTCGAGTCGTGTGCGAAGTGCCCACATGACATCGCCGTGACATACCAGCAGCACTTTTTTGCCGGGTAGCTCGCGATGCAATGCACACATCAACCGGTCCACCCGCTGCGCGACGGTCGCAAGGGATTCGCCACCGGGTGGCGCATAGTAGAACCGATCGAGATCACGTCGTTTGAGCTCGTCTTGCATCTTAACGCTGCGCTCGGCTTCGGACATGAGGTCCATTTGCCCCCAATCTCGTTCGCGCAGCAGCATTTCGGCGTACCATTGCGCGTCCGGCAGGTTGAATCGGGCAGCCGTCTCCATCGCACGCAAGTACTCGGACACAAGGTATCGATCGTAGTACGCCAGGTCTTCTTTGCGCAGCCACTCACCAGCCGCTTCGGCCTGTTCACGCCCGCGATCAGTCAACCGCCAGTTGCAACTGTGTCGATTCTTGAACTCGCCGCTGTACAAGCTGTGGTCGCCTCGCATGGACAGTTCGCGGGCGACATTGCCTTCGCTTTCTCCATGACGCACGAGAACTAGGTCGGCAAGTCTTGGAGCGTTGAAGTGATGCAAACTCCGAATCGTAGCCGTCCAGCGACTCGCGCCCGACAGTCGCATCTTGCGCAGCATCAATGCCATGCCGACGTATTTCTTGTGGTCCCAACGGCTACGACTTGAATTTTGTATACCCCCCGTAGTGCCTTTTTTGTGCCTTGCCGGATATTGCCTCCGGTTAAAATCGAATCTCCGAACATGGCGCCAGGATCGGAGATGGACGAATGGTCATTTACATTCCTCGTCAATTCCCGTCTTTGCCTAATCTAAAGCAATATAAATCATGTACACTACCGAGCTATGATGAAGGTGGTTCATGTTTCTACAAGCACGCCAACATAGCCCATTGTGCCATGTTTATTGTACTTGTAAATATACGAAACCAATGCAGGGCGCCGCCAAAACTCGTCGATCTCTACATCATTTCTTCCATGTCTTCGTCTTCGTCGAATTCGCCTTCTTCTTCAGCAGTGGCATCTTGGTATTGCTGGTATTCCGACACCAAATCGTTCATGTTGGATTCGGCTTCCGTGAATTCCATTTCGTCCATGCCTTCGCCCGTGTACCAGTGCAAGAAAGCCTTTCGTCGGAACATAGCTGTGAATTGTTCGGACACGCGCTTGAACATTTCTTGGATCGCGGTCGAGTTACCAATAAAGGTGGTACTCATCTTGAGGCCCTTGGGAGGGATGTCGCAGACACTGGCCTTGATGTTGTTGGGGATCCATTCCACGAAGTACGAGCTGTTCTTGTTTTGCACGTTCAGCATTTGTTCATCGACTTCCTTGGTCGACATGCGGCCGCGGAACATACACGCAGCTGTCAAGTAGCGACCATGGCGAGGATCGGCAGCACACATCATGTTCTTGGCGTCGAATTGTTGTTGGGTCAATTCGGGCACGGTGAGGGCGCGGTATTGTTGCGAACCACGAGAGGTCAAGGGAGCGAAACCAATCATGAAAAAGTGAAGACGGGGGAAGGGGATCAAGTTCACAGCCAGCTTGCGGAGATCCGAGTTCAATTGACCAGGGAAACGAAGGCAGGTAGTGATACCGGACATGGCGGCACACACCAAGTGGTTCAAATCACCGTAGGTGGGGGTGGTGAGCTTCAACGTGCGGAAGCAAATATCGTAGAGGGCTTCGTTGTCCAAGCACATAACTTCATCTGCGTTTTCGACGAGCTGATGCACCGATAAAGTGGCGTTGTAAGGCTCCACGACGGTATCTGACACCTTGGGGGAAGGGCAGACGGAGTACGTGCACATGATGCGATCGGGGTATTCTTCACGAATCTTGGAGATCAAGAGCGTACCCATACCGGAACCGGTACCACCACCGAGAGAGTGGGTGATTTGGAAACCCTGCAAGCAGTCACAGCTTTCGGCTTCCTTGCGGACGACATCCAAGACAGAGTCGATCAATTCTGCACCTTCAGTGTAGTGACCCTTGGCCCAGTTGTTACCAGCACCGGTTTGGCCGAAAACGAAATTGTCGGGGCGGAAGAGTTGACCGTAAGGGCCGGCGCGGACGGAATCCATCGTACCAGGTTCCAAATCCATCAAAATCGCACGAGGGACGTAGCGACCGCCGGTAGCTTCATTGTAGTACACGTTGATGCGTTCCAATTGCAAGTCCGAGTCACCATGGTAGGAACCGGTAGGGTCGACACCGTGCTCGTCGGAAATCACTTCCCAAAACTTGGCACCAATTTGGTTACCGCATTGACCACCTTGAATATGTACCAATTCACGCATTGTTCTCTATACCACAAGGACTTGATGAGCTAGATGAACGAAGGAAAGCTGTTCTGCGGCGCTGCACATTCGATTCTCCGACGAGGCATACCTGTTTCGGAGGTTTGCACGGGGTGGCGCTTTCGAAAATGAGCTCCCCTGACGAGTCACAGGCTTTTCCCCACCCCTGGTGGATGAAACAGTCCTAGCCCCTCCTTCCAACCCCCCTTGTATTGACCCTCCGTAGAGGAATTTCAACTTGGTTTTTGTATGAAACACTAGGGTCAAGGAGGGGGTATCGATATACCCCACCCCCATTGTAACGAAAGATCTTGGGGTATTTATATCGTTTGTGGAAAAAACACTCGCCCCAAATTCAAATTTTGAAACCGATTGAGAGGGAGCCAATCAGAGACATCCATTCTCGAGAGGGGTTGGGTGGAACGAATTTATAACCAATCAACACGCGAGTTGTTTTTAAATGTGTCGAAAACGAAAAAAACCATCCATGGAGCGCGCGCGGCTCGGTAGTGTTTCGACGGCGAGGCGGCAGCGTCCGTGTATTTATAGGAACCCCCCGTCATGAAACGTTCCCAGGCGCTTCTCAATAAGAAGCGTTGAGGCTGTATGGAACGTCAAGATGGTGCCTCTTGTCGTCTTAGCCATCGATCGCCGTCTGTCGATCGAAACGGCGCGCCACATCGTGCCAATGGGTTGGGCAACGTCAAGCGACGCATTGGACCTGATGTTGATGGAGGAATACGTCCGCCGATCCTGGGGGCGAGAGTCAGCAGTGCCCCGAAATGGAAGAACGGTCAGGCGGTTGCCATCTCGCTGCTACAATGGAATCCATGGACACCACGAAAAGGCTTGCGTGACTGTCGCCGTGACGTCCTTGAGTTCGTTCGGCGAGAAGCATGTGGACATGGGACGTGCGCGACAATCGCGCCGCCGCATGTTCGGCATTGACGCTCGCCGATGGTGCTTGGGGGAATGACTTGATCCACTATTGGTACTTCATGGAGATGCGGAAATACCTCGTGGAAAACCCAGAAAATACCATGACGTTCTTCAAGGCGATTGACATGGAACGAAAATGTTAAATACCTGACCAAAAAAGGGCAATATTCGCGAAATTTGTCATCATTTTTATTCGATATGGCGAAAACTAGTTGAACCCAATCTCCCAAAATCACGTGGAATCATAAAAACGCCGCCATCGGGTTGCACCGCCACGGCAGCACCAATACCGCGTTCCGCGAGCGCATCGGGATGGGCAACTTCTGCGCCCCGACGCTGTGCAATGACCTCACCATTGCAGAGTGGCAGCATGCAACTATTGCGCCGTCGGCAAGACATGTTGCAACTGTCATCTGGCTCCATGGACTTGGCGACTCGGGGCTGTCCTGGTACAAGTGCGTAATCGAGGCCAAGCCTTTGCCACACGTCAAGTACATCTTCCCGTCAGCTCCGTTCCGGTCCGTGACTCTAAATGGTGGTATGGCGATGCCAGCTTGGTTTGACATATATGGCCTTCGCCCCGAGGTAGACAATCATCCAGCATGCCATGGAGAACTGACGTGACCGACATAGGACAAAGAAGACGAGGCTGGAATCAATCGATCGAGCGTCTTTCTCGCTCAAATCATTGCAAGAGAGATCAAGCAGGGCATTTCGCCCAACAACATCGCGGTCGTTGGGTTCAGCCAAGGAGGGGCGTTGGCTGCCCATACGTGCTTCCGAACGTTGACCTACCAGCTTGGAGCGGTTGTCCTCCTCAGCAGCTACGTCCCGCTGGCAACTTCGTTCGCCCCAAGCAATAACAACACGCCAACACTCGTCTGCCACGGCGACCGAGACATGTTGATCCCTGCAATGTACGCCCACAAATCAGTTGAGCTCCTGAAGTCGCACCGGGTTCCCACCGAACTCAAGCTGTACAGAGGCCTCGCACACGCCTCCAATACAAGCGAGATGGCCGATGTATGCCAATTTCTAGCCCGTCACCTCAACGTGTCTTTGCCGAGCCATGTGTAGACCATGTATGCGACAGTGTATAGATGATACCTGTAATGACCAAGTCCTATTTACTAGATCAGCTAGGACATCGGAAAACTACGCAAGTGTGATGAAGGAGAACTTTGTCAGCACTTCCTCCCTACCGACAATGGACTGTGAGGCGCATTCCTACAGTGACCGCACAAGGGATGCAGAGCAATACGTTGGCGGCACCAACATTTTCGAGACTTCGATGTGAGCGAATTCGACCGCAGGGAACCCCATCCATTCCTTCGCTTCCAGTCTACGTCGGTCCCATGCCACCGAGCAAAGCCACCACCCATCCAGAAATTACACAGTTCGGTCTACGTGGGGTAGTTCCTGCGCGGCGAACGGCGTTAGGCACAGTGGTAACCTTGCAGTGCGATTCGCGGTCGCTACATGTGAAATGGATCAACTCCGAGCATTGACGGCCGTGGCTTCATTTGGTGAAAACACAAAGCCATAACACGCTTAAACTAGTGCAACGAAAGTTGTCGCATGTGTGGCGGTGACCAAACATATCGGTCGTGTCGAATGGATGGCATCTTGCCTAGGTGAACCTGATCTGCACCCCATCCAACGAGCGCAAGGTGGGCTGCACTCAGGCACGCGTCGTAATTGCACTCGCAATGTGTCACGAATTTGTAGCAGTGCCGTGTCAATCGCAAAGGACATGGGCTCCTCACGAATATGGTTTTGTTTCATTCCAGCGGGAACAACTCTCTTCACACTTGTCCAGTATCACTTTCTTAGTGAAGACCTCGTGTGTTCGGGTTTCATTGCCAGACAACTTTGCTGTCCAACAGAATATGTCGAAGGAACACACCGACACAAGCCACCCCTGGATGAACTCATTATCAACGCAGGTCAAACAAATGCAAGCTCGCTCTTGATCGTCATGGTTATCGTTTCAACGTGAGTATGTGAGGTGAAGTGGGCCAGCGCTCGATCTCGAACACATCCACGGTAGTTACCCTAGCTTGCGAAGCCGTTTATTTTGTACGCACATCCAAGCAACCTCTGTGTATGGTTTCCTCATCATTGCACCAGTCTTGTCTTGTCATGAGTCCTTCAAGGGACATGTAGACTGGGCTACCTGAGCAAACGCAATGGGAGTACATATCACCGCTGTTACGTGGCAAGGCCGCCACCGGCGAACGTGTCCACCGGCGCACCACAAGAACTTGGATGCTTCGTGCTGGGTATAGCCTCGTTGTTGCCACGTATCATTGAAGCTGAGCATTGTTGCTTGTACATACGGATCCGGATACCAAACGAGACATGGCGCGTGGGTTTCGCTCGCAGTTTTCAACATTCTAGAAATCCTCGAGATGGGATTGTTCTGTCGACCGACATGGGGCCGCGTCGCCCTGCTCGTGGTGGTGCTCCTCGTCTGCACCGACTGCATTGACGCAGCTGCAAAGAAGGCGAAAGACTACTACAAGATCCTTGGGGTGCCTAAGAACTTCAACGACCGACAACTCAAGAAGGCATACCGAAAGCTGGCGCTGCAGTATCACCCCGACAAAGTCGAAGAGAGCGAACGCGAAAAGGCGCAAGAAAAGTTTGTCGAGATTTCCCAAGCGTACGAAGTGCTGTCTGACCCGAAGAAGCGGGAAGAGTACGACTTGTATGGCGCGGACGGCCCTGATGGCGGCGGACACGGCGGTGGACACTCCGGCGGTCCACATTTCCATCATCAAGGTGGTGGTGGACCGGGGTTTGATCCTTTTGAAATGTTTAACCATTTTTTTGGTCAACAAGCCCGTGGCGGAAATGGACAGCACCGAGGCGGCCACCAAGAGTTTCACTTCAGCGGTATGGACGGGTTTGGCCAACCGCGCCAACAACAGCAACCTCAGCCGCTGTACCCAAAGGGTTCCTCCATTATCACGAACTTAACACCAAAGAAGTTTCCCGGCATACCAAGTGCCAAAAACGAATGGCTCGTCCAGTTTTACAGCCCCACCGACAAGAAGAGTGTCAAATTCAAGGACAAGTTAGTCAGCATCGCAAACGACCTGAACGGCCGCGTCAAAGTCGGTGCCGTCGACTGTGATAAATATCAATCGTTTTGCCAAGAATTTGGCGTCGAGACGTTGCCAAGCTTTGTCCACGTGTGGCAAACGAATGTATCACCCCTGTATGAAGGCCCGCTGGAAGAATATGGCGTGTACAACTTTGCGTTTGAAAAGTACGCCGCGCGGTATCGCGCCAAACGCGAAGCGGGCGAAGTCGACGAATTGCACGGCGGCAACCAAGCCAAACTTTGCAACCTCGGCAAGAACGCCGACACGTCAGTGTCATCGTCATTGTGCGCAGTGTTTGTGTTACCCAAGTCCGCGAAACGTGAGCAGTGGATGCAAAAGGTTCGCGACGTGGCCAAGGTCTTCCGAACAGATCACCGCGTGACCGTGGTGTGGGTCGACGAACCGAATCAAGCCAAGGCCCTGCGGCCATTACAGTCGCTCATACCAGACAAGAACGAACCAAAGTTGCTCCTGCTGCGGCGAAAAGCGGGAGGAAAGCTGCGAGCCGCCGCGCATCGCTCCGCATTTGACTCAAACGATCTCATCGCGACCATTGAAAAAGCACTGGGCGGGGACCTGGCCCTCACCAACGTCGAGAATCCGCACGTTGTCGACTTCAAATAATCTAATAGACTTTATTCATTTGAACGTTGACTAGTTGGTAGCTTCTGGGTAGACTAGGAGACTCGTAGGGTGCGGAAGGATGCTGTAAGGTCCGCCGTCGCATCGATGGACGATTGGTTCGAGTGGTCCACGAACTCCCTTGTTGATCCAAGTCGTTGGAGCAGCAGTGGTGCATGCATCTGTTGTCACGGCTGTCTGTGAATGCAGCGCCCCATCATGACAAGAGCAATTCTATGCAACACAATTCCATGCAGTGGAATTCTCTATTTGGACGATAGCTCGCGGCGCGTTCTACAACAGGTAATAAATGGCGTCGTCAACCTTGGCCAGCACCCGTTTCGCGATGGATGAGGTGGGGTCAAGGCGAAACAGCTTGGCCGCCGACGCGTGTGCGACATCCCATCGCTTCAACTTGGCGGCACTCGTCGCTAGGCCGCTCAGTCCCCTCAAGTGGAACGGCTTGAGCTCCACGACGCGCTGAAACAATTCAAGGGACTGCTCGGCATTGCCTACATAATCCCCACGTCAGTACGCGAAAGGAGAGTTTCACCTTGGTGGACGTACCATTGTCGAGCGCAGCAATTGCGAGCATTTCCACGGCCGAGACATACCCTGGATGCATTTTGATCACGGCTTTCATCCGTCGTTGGCCTTCGGCTTTATTGCCGGTGGCGTACACCTCCATGGCCGCCTCCAAGTCTCGTCGGGCTGTGGGACCTGCATCGTCCATCCATTTCGCCTCCAGCACAGTTCTCGCGATGTGGGCAACTGTGGCGTCCGCGCTTTGCAGATACAACACGAGGTCCGGCTCCTCGGCGTTCTGAAGGTCCAATATGGACGGAATATGCGCCGGTTTCTTCGGGGCGTCGATGTCGTCGTCTGGGTATCGAGCGGCCAGCGACCGGCACGGCACATGGCGACCGCCTTCAAACCCGTCAAAGTAACACAGTAACGACGGGTTTTTCACGGGCTACCCAACGCAGCATCAAGTTGGACGAGGACTGAATCCACGACAAAGGACTGTACCGATGCCTTGCGGGAGAGCGTCACGCGTGTTTCGTCGACGTGGTAGAGCCGCCACCGATCGCCGAAATCGTCGGCGTCCGCAGCACTCTTGCTGTCAGGATTGGGTCGAATATGAGGTAGGATAGTGTACTTAGGTGTGCACTTGCGATACTTGAGGCGCGGGACGTGCCAACTGCAAACAACGCCACGACCGACGCCTTCCACACGAACGATGTCGCCGACTTTGAACAGAACTTCCATTGGCAAGGCATCGCGACGCTGGAAGGATAACTCGAGAGACTGAGCCAAGAAGTAGAGGAGACGGAACGTGGACAGACGGACACAACCGCGCATACCTTGGGCGTGAACAAGTCTTTGCTATTGTGGCAATGGACCATGTCGTTGTGAAGGCCAAGCAGGCGCAATGTCGAGAACGCGCGGTCGATGCGTTCGTTTACAGGGAGCTTGACGTCGGTTGCTCGGAACTTGCTACGGATTGCTGCCACGAGATCGACCCACGCCAAAGTTTCGTGCGGAGTCATGCCGTCCACCAACGACCGAAGCGACTGTTCTTGCTTCCAGTCTTCACGAATACCGTCATACGGCATCAAACTGCCAGACCGAACTGCGGCATACAAACACTTGTGCTCAACTTCGTACGAATGGAACTCCTTCGCGGCTCGCAAGAGCGCTCTACAAACTCGTACGTCTTGAATATCGTGGAAAAAGGGTTTCACGCCTCACCTGTACAAGTTGGGCACGAGCTGCGAAGCCATCGCGACGCGCCGCGCAGTTGTTGCTGGTTGTGGTGCTGTTGACACATCCGGATGACAAACACGATTATCCGGGACTCCAGAAGCATTTATCCGGAAAGTGCACCCACCGATATCCGAAGGCCGGGGCGGCGACGACATGGCCGACGTTGCCGTTGATCTGTGCGAGGAAAGCGAAGACGATGACAACATGGAGAACTTCGACTTACCAGTAGACGTAGCTGAGGAGAAAATCGGCGGCGAAGATGAAGAGAAGCGAGAGGTGCCTCTAGACGACTCTGACGAAGAGGTACGTCGACAAGTTGACCATCCTCGTGAGCACAAGTGTATGTACCCTTGCAGTGTAGTATGGCATGAAACTCATCGCATGGAAGGAATGTTGCTGCATTTGCATAGAAAATATCGAGTCGGTGGACACGCAAGGGTTTCTCCTTAAATGTGTGCACTCGTTCCACTTCGATTGCATTGCCCAATGGGCCAAAGTCACCAACTTGTGTCCGATGTGCAAAACACGGTTTCGAGAAATCGTCCGACGCGATGGGTCCGGCGCACATGTGGCGACTATCAAGGTGAAGGATGCGAAGCAGTCGCATGCAAACCATCCAAGCCAAGACATCCAAGCAAATGGTAACCTCTTCAACGAGTACGCGTGTACGTTGTGTGGCAACGGCGACAACGAAGACGTCCTCTTGATTTGCGACGTCGATGGATGCGAACATGCAGCCCACACGTACTGCGTCCCACTTCCGGCCGTGCCCGCGGGGTACTGGCATTGCTCCGACCACGTCCATGTAACCCCAAGTCGCCGACGAAGGACGGGGCTAGCCACGACACTGGCGACCCTCCGCAGCTCGTCCTCTCGGAGGCGAAGTGCACCTTTGCCCACGCGCCGCATCAGTCAACTCGAAGCTCGATTGGGCATACGTCGTGGCCAGCGCGTTGCACTTCCATTTGAAAACGAAGTGTTGCGTTACACTGGTGGCGCGTCAGTCACCCAAACGACTCCATCATCCCGACGGCGTCGACCTCCACAAGTTGCTTCCGCGGCCGTGACAGATATGCGACGCATGCAAGGTGAAGCTGCCCGAATTCTGCAGATCGTCAGCCACTCCAACCACGAATTGCTCTCCCGGCCCGCTGCAAGACGAGCCCGTGGCGCAAACGCAAATGCAACACAATGCGTGGGTCGCCACGACGCCAGTGATGAAGAAAATGTGCGAGAAGCCTTCCTGGAGCGTCGAAAGCGACGAATCGAAGATATCCAGGCCATTCTACAGAGATCTACAGGGGCGCCTGTGACGTCGAGGCAACGGCTAAATTCCTTGTCATTCCAAGATGAGTACAATGGCCTACGTGACAAGATGGCTCATGCACATGTGCTGGACACATCGACGCCAGTGCCGACGGCCGCCAAGCTTCGCCTCGTCCCAGTCGTCAAGAGATTTTTTGACCCACTCACGCCATCTCAACAGAACCAAGTGCTGGACTGGGGTGTTCTGAGTGCACTCAAGCGATGGGTGGAGCCCATCGGTCGTGACCAAAAGCTTCAGCATCCGCAAGTTATCAACGCCATACTAAAAGTACTGGGCGCGCTGCCAATCACGTACGACCGATTGAACGAGGTAACGTCTTGCGCTTCGAGTGCTGTTTCGAGCGAAATCGCTGACGCGTCATGCTTGGCTGGTAGAGCGAAGGATTAATTCCTGTCCTCACTGCCTTGGCCGCATCGGACCAGCTGGACATGATGAACAAGAACGCCGCGACGTCGTTGCTGTCAAGGTGGCGCGCTTTGACCGGACCACCAACTGCTGCCGCTCCCGCGCCTACAGGCGAGAGGGAAGAGTCGAAGCCACGTCCGCCACAGTTACGAGCCATGGCCGAAGCGGCGCAGTTGACTCGTGAACTGCCCACCGCTGGACGATTAGCTGCTGCGACGCAAGTGACATCCGTAGCTTCCCTGCGATCCGAACCCACTCTGTCCGGCACGGTCGCGCGACGACCTTCTCTGGACCCTCTTCCAACGAAACCGCGCGTGGTCGAGCATATCAAGAGTCAGCTCTACCCAGCTTACCGCCGCGGATTGATTACAAAGGACCGGTTCAAGTGGGTTGCGCAGCACGTGTGCCAAACCTTCATGTACGAAGCATCGCACATGTCGTCGGCGGTGCTAGCTCGCGACGGGTCGCTATCTGCATTGGCCAAGAAACGCTTGAACGACCTGATCGACGTTGCCACGACGACGTAGAGATTCCTTCCCCTCGTTGAAATACAGATCGTACAATCATCGACCCATCGTGTACTTCTTCTCAATACGTTCTGAAAAAGTGCGCGCTCATTGCCGTGCCGCGTTGTTTGTGCAAGTGGAACATGGTGCGTGCTTTCGTCCACGTGCGCCTATCTTGATGATCTATATACCGTTGTATGTCCTTGACGAGAATGCTGGGGGTTTGTCCAGTCGGATTTGTCGAGACCGGAGAAGCATCATGCAGTCAGCGATGGACACGTAATGCTTCTTCGTGTTCTCGAAGCACACAGCCACTCGAGGTTGTGCCCGGATGTCGTCCACAATTCTCGAGTGAGCATGCCCCTACGACTACCTTGTTACGACTTCAGCAGTCTTTGAAAAAATGTGCATGTTCCTGGGTTCGAACCCAGGGTGAATTGCCAACATCTATCCAAGTAACATTTGGCGTCATGTAGGAACCCCTTCGGGGGTCATCCGTAAAAATTGGAACGATACAGAGAAGATTAGCATGGCCCCTGCGCAAGGATGACACGCATAAATCGAGAAGTATCGCACTTTTTGTCGATTCGTTTTGGAATACATGGACGCGACGAGCAACACCTCTGAAAGAAGAGGGCGGAGCCCTGCATCGCGCATAGCTTTCATTAGATCGAAGTGGACGCGATGTCGCTCCTTGGAGTCATGTAGGTAATCGTAGACGCGATGGAGGTTTTGTCGATACGGAGCTGTATTCTCAACACAACAGATTCCAACGGCGATCCTGGACAGATACCAATGCCCACGACCAGACACATTGGTAAAATGCCATGCGAGCCATGTTGGTCGCTCTCAACGACTCAAGCGAAAACGACGCCGCCACGCCGCATGACCGTGCCCAGCCATGGTGCAACGAGTAGACGAGTTGGGGCTTTTAATGCGCGACTGTATTTGCAGTGTGAACTACCGATTAAAAGGGATTGCAGCGGCATAAGAGAGCACGCAGACCGAACGACGCCAGGGAACCGGCAGTGAGGCCGAGACATAGACATAGGAACATGATGGAGCTGCACAGTTCTCGGTTCGCGCGATGGACGGCGTGCGTGCTCCGCATCATCGCGACGCTGCAAAAGTACCCGTTCGACCAGGCACAGGCAAACAGCACGAGGACGGCAGCACCATCCTGGCGAAAGATCGTAATCGGCGAGTCACGGACGTTGCACACGAAGAAAAGAACGAAGAAAGCAACGCGACCGACCGCGCCCACGGCCAAGAGCCGCCGGAACGGAAACACGTACAGGGCCGTGCACGCGCGGCCGACGACATCGCCCAAGTTGAACACAACGAACGTGAGCGCGACGAAAAGCGACTGGTTCATGCTTGTCGACTCAATCGACGACGTCACAACTGGAAACAGCGCCAGGGTAACGAAGAATGTGGCAAACACGGTAAAGGCGAAGTGCCGAACTTGCCACAAGATTTTCCATGGATTCGAACGAGGCAGCGATGCCTTGACGGTGGCAACGTCGTCCATCTCGTCATCGATCGGGTCGAGAAACGGCGCCGAGTCAGTCGACGTGGAGCTGTCTTCGTCCTCCAGCAGCGACACGAGACGATCGTTGTTTTGGTTCGCGAGTCTGCCGCGACGCTTCTCGGACGTCGAGAGGAAGAATTTGGTGAAGGGAAGCCGAAAAAAGATCAGCATGGACGCCCATGCCGCGAGCACGGTGGCAAAGGCAACCAAAAAGTAGATGAACGCGCTGGTGGCGGCTTCACCTTCGTGAACAGCCGACCACATAAAGTACGCTGACACAGCTGTCGACGGAAGTATGGGGTGGAGCCACGTCAGGACGAAGCCGCTTAGCGCGACAAGAAACCCCGCCATGCTCTGGCCAGTCATGACTGCTTGCGTGTAAATTTCCGGGAGCAGCGCCGTGATTTCAAACAGACCTTCTTGCAAATACGCCGAGCAAATGGACGCCACCACGATACTCGATATGGTGATGGCGAAGAATGGGGAGCCTGCGCATGTGCGGTGAGGCGTGAGATCCACCGAAGCATTTTGACGTACCCACAACAGCTGAACACTGGACGAGCACTGCCGTGATAAGGAGGACCACAGCGATCCCCACCAATGAAGCAACGACCTTAGTTCGAGGACATGGCAAGTGCGGGCGAAGCCATGCCGCGTTCAAGGACACAACGAAGAGCGTGGTCAGGTTGAACGTAAGGCTGAACCAATTGAGAAACGACGCATGCACCGATGTATCCTTGAGGCGCTCGCCAAAGTAGCTGGCTGCTGTGATGAACACATTCCATGGCAGCAAAGCACCGACGCCCTGCAAGAACAAGATGGCATACACGGCACGGTACCGATCGGGCGGCGGCGGCATTGTTGGAAGCACTGAAGATCGGAACTTTTTATCCGGATTACCGATACATTCCGGATACGAAGCGTCCACCGAATAACGGGGTCTAAAAATAGAGCAACATGGCGGCGACGGAGCTCATTTTTCAATTTGGACATCACGACGGACCTCACCGCATCATGAGCGTGCCTGCGGCGCAGTGCCCGGTTCCGCCGGAGATTGAAGGATACCTGTACAAGATGAAGCGCAAGACGGGCATCAACCTGACGGGTAGCTGGAACAAGCGCTGGTTCTATGTCGATGTGAAGCGGAAGGAATTTGGATATTCGGTGTCGCACTCCCAGCCCATCATGAAGAGTCCGTTGGCACTATCTACGAGCGATGTTCATCATGTGATACGTTGTAGGCTCGATCTTCCTCGACGACATCACAGCCATCGTTGTCTTTGACGACTACTGCTTTCAAGTCGAGTCCAAGGGTCGAAAGTTCTTCCTCAAGGGCGAAAGCAAAGCTGGTGCCGCGGTATGGGTCAAGACCCTCGAAACGTACCGATCACAGTTTGTTGCATACGAAAAGTACATGGCATCGACACCGATCTACACGCCACCGCCACCAAAGACCGCCGACGTCAAGTCCAACAACGGCAGCTTGGGAACCCCGTCGTCGGGCCCCGTCAAGACGGACCATGCCGCACGCAAAACGAACCAACGTGCGGAGGACAAGCAAATCTATAAAAGGGCAAAGGAGGCGAAGACGTCGAGCTCGTTCGACCATAGTACACCCGTCCAGGCGTGGAGTAAAGATGATGACGAAGACGACCTGGACGGCCACGATGACATGGACATCCATTAAGGAACTATCAGTTTATGCTTCGTTCTCGGACACATCTTCACCACTCGATTCTTCGTCGTCGGGTTCGGAAACATCATCACGTTTGTCGCTGTCATCTTCCAGTGGTGGTGGCGGAGGAGAAGATGGAGGGAGCGGTGCGTTCGGGAGTTGGAGGGGCGATGCCGGAGCAGCGGGCTTGAGGTCGGAAATCTTGGCATTGTTGCGCCACTCCGTCCACCGCTGCCGCACGAACCGCATGGCCATGCCCTGGGCAAACCACTCCTTGTCCGCATTCGACATGATGCCGCAAAACTTGGACCGAGCGCGCAATCGAGCGTACTCGTACTTATACCAGCTGCAGAACTCGCCAACGTCGACATCCCCCGACTTGTCGCTGTCCATCATGTTCACGACGTCGAACAGCTCGTCGTCTTGGAGTGGAATGCGCAGCTTTCGGATCATCGTTTTGGCATCGTCCCTTTCAGATCACGTCGTTCAGCTTCCGATGCCATGCGCCACATGCATAAACATACCGTGAAATGCACCCTACGCCAGCGTAGTCAAAGTACTCAAACAGGTCGCGGACGTCTTCGTCGACTCGGACCTCCCATGGCAAACTCGCTCGCTCCTTGGCAAGATCCTTGAGTTTGTGGAGCAAACGCTTCGCCTCCGCGTGAACCATGCTTTTGCCCCCGCCCCGGTTGAAGAACGCCTCGAACGTAGCTTCTCCAAACTGCATTGCGTCCGTGTCTTGGAGGTCGTTCAGTCCAAATCGCTCCTGGACAGCACGCATGTGCAGTAACAATTCTTTTGTGGCAAACGCGGGCTTCTTCTCGTGGCGCCTGCGATACCACCGCTGGACGCGACTCGCCGCGCGGGTTTCGCGGCGGAACTGGACATGCCGCCGAGCGAGCGCTTGACGAGCAAAGCATTGTAGCACGAGCGTCGCGCGGTACGTTCGCCTTCGTCGGCGCAGCTCGGCGACAGCAAATCGACACCGCGCGCGGCATTGGATTCGAATCGCCGCGAGGATTAGCGGTGTCCAGACGGCTTTCTCTTTGTCCGCATCGGCCTTGAGCCACTTGGACACGACTTGGAGGAGCAGTGTCGTGTGCAGGAGCGTCCGGAACCCGGGGGTCACGTCTCGGCCTAGTTCCAAAGGGGACTTGGTTTGGGCCAGCAGGAACGTTCGGCTGCGAAACGCCGCCGTCCACACTTTGGACTTCGTTGCGACGTTGAATGGGTCCAACGATTGCACCTCGGACGCCACTTGCTTGGCAAGGAACAGTTGCAGCGCCGCCTAGCCATGCCGTGCACATGGATGAGCGTCCCGATCGAGGAACGCATGGTACATACCCGCTTCGAGCCGAGAAACTCGTCTTTCTTGTATCCACAGCACAACAAAGCGCCACACAAGATGGTGATGACGCTGCTTGGACAGGTCGATTTGTTGGCGACATCTGCATCCAAGTACACGCGGACTTGCTGCTCGATTGCAAGACGCGCCGACCCGAGTGCCACGTGAGCTTGATGCCACCACGTCGTCAAAAAATACCCGACAAACGATTCGTTCCCTCGTGGGTTTGCCCAAAAGGCGTCGTAAATGACGCGGCACGTGTCGGCGAGCGCCGTGCCCTCCGCTACAAACAGGTCGACGTCGACCGAGTCGGACGTCGTGATGTCCACTACCAAGTACTGGCTGGCTGGAAGCCGGCAGGACCATTCCCAATGCTGAGAAGGCGGTGGCATTGCGCCATTTCCTGGTGCCGGGTGCGCGGCTGCCATGGCGGCATGGGGCGACGTAACCCGGGCTAGTTCGTCTTTCGCCGCCCGTTTTTTAGCAAACAACGTTGTAAACCGGCCGCCGGTGGGTTTGGGCGAGATGGTAGCTGTATTGGTGAGGGTTGAAGGGGCCACGACTGGGTGGATGGAACCAGGAGCGACTGCATCCACAGCCAGTGGAGGTAATGCCGCCCCCGTCGAAATCGGCACCATGGCGGCATGGACATCCAGTGTGGCTGCAAACGACGCCAAACGGTGCGTCCGCTTCAGGGCCTTCTTCATCGCGACACCAACGGGGAACTTGTCTGGGTTTGTCGCGACTTTGACTGTGAACGTCATCTTGGTGGCCGCCTTGTCTTTCGTCGGAGAGGCTGTGGTGGACGTGAGTTGAGTCGCCACAACCACCATGGCGTCTTTGGCATGGACAAAGTCTTTGGCCCACTGAAGAGCCTCCGCGGCCAACGTGTGCACAACCAACGCCTTGTACATGTTTACATACGCCGCTTGCGCCACATGCATGACGGCGTTCAGGAACCGGACGTCCCGCGGAGCAAATGGCCGGCCTGGTTTGCGGTAGAAGCAGTACGCGACGCACGGCGCAGCGAAGTGGCCATCAAGCATGCCAGCAAAGCAGGGAAGCGCCCCACGAGGCTCCAATCCCGTGGTGGGGGCGCCTAGACTCCGTGCGTGATCTAGCGTTTTTGGAATATTCGACATGGGCAGCGTCAAGTCGTCCAGGTGGACGTGATGCTTGACGAGATCGGGGACACACCGGTGGCGGTAGCAATAGTGGATGGGAAGGTGCTGCATGGGCCGGCGTGTTGGCGCTTTGTGCCAGCATAGGATGGTGCAGTCACCAGTAAAGTCGCTGGCGAGCCGCACGATTTGCTGGCAATGGACATACCCGACACTCGTCTGGATAACGTGGAGGAGGTGGGCGTAGAGGCACTTGAGGGCGTGCCACGGGGGCATCTTGGACGGCATGGCGGTTGCCGATGCGTGAATCTGTGCGACGCCGACCAACATGCGCGTTGTCTCGATCAGGTCGACATGGCACGCGGCACATTGCTCGAGAAATTGCAACGTCGCGCGCTCGACTTCGTTCTTCACGTTAAACGCGGTATTGCCAAAGCTGTCGGCGCCAAGCATGCCCAGTGTGGCGACGGGGACGGCGCAATACGCTCGAATAGCTTTGCGCTTCGTGCAAAAGTGGACGGCGCGAGTCTTGTCGGTCAGGTGGTTGATCACGACGGAGTCTTGCGTGCGGATGCATTGAAAACTGAATAGATTTTCGTCCGACAGCCGCACGCCCTGCATGAGACTACCGGCCGACGCCGCCGTGAACTCGAGCACGTCATTGTAGTCGCCGCGGAAAGGATGGTAGTTGGCCTGTAGCTCGCCTAAGTACACGTCCGTGCCGCGACCCAGCGCAGTCGCCATCCAATTCAGCCACGTGCGTTGCGTCGGTCGGAGGTGCTCCACGACAACGTCGGTCGGAGTCTGGACGAGTTCCTCGAGCCCCATGCGCATCCGATCGAGGCATTCGGCACGCGTCACTGCCGCCGCCGCGCGCTGGCTGGACAAGTGAAAGCATTCCGTTAACAGCGGCTGCACGGTCGCAAGCACGTGAAGGTCGTACGACCAATTCACGGACGGGAGGCGCGTGACTACGATCCATGCATGGGTTTGGGTGTATGGATGCGCCGGATCGACCATCTCAAACGGACACACGAGGGTCGATTCGTTCAGGTCCAGGGGGGCCGTGCCCACGACGGGCGCATCCGGGTAGACGTTCGCCCACGAGTGTGTGGCTTCGAGGGGAGTGGCGTGCACATCGCTGGCTCTCGAGAACTTGAGTTCCGGCGGGTGGTTGTGGTAGGCGTACCAGACGTCGATGCGGATGGCTGCGGGCATGGCGAACGCGAGCAAGTTGGCCACCGCTTGGAACAAGACTGCAAACGTGGATGCGTTGCCAACAAAGAGGCGTTTGATGCCCTGCGCGAGCCCCCACAGGCGTTTGGCCTGAATATGCGCGCCGACCGATTCCGCCAACGACGACAAGCACGCAACGACCCCCGGCTCGGGCACGTTGTTCATGTACTTGCCGCCCGCCGTTCCTGGAAACGAATCGACGGCGAGGACACCCACGTACGGAATCGGGACCGCTACGTACACGCCGGCTTGATTCTGGTCAAAGCAATGCAGGCCGTTGGGATTCTTGGCCACGTTGGGTACCACGACGGGGTGCTGGCTCCGGTAGCACGCGGCGCTCACGGATTTGGTCATGTTGATCGACTTGCCTTGCATGGAGCTGGCTTTCGTCGCCAGTGCAAACTCCATGGATGTACACCATGGCGCCACGAGACCCACGTACGCGTTTACCCCCGAGAACGTTGCGGCCACGATGTCCAGCGCGCGCTGAAGGACATACGCTTCGGAATGGCGGCCGTTGTCGCACACGACCATCATGTCGTGGATGGCTCGATCGCGAAGCGTCGCGCGGTATGGTCGAGTTTGCGCGCGGCTCCCCTGTACCATGACCTCGATCTCCCCCGCCACGCGTACCAAGTAGTCGACAATGCCCATTTCCGGGGCCGGGGCCTCCCCGTACTGCGCCAGATTGTCCAGCGCCAACACGCCGATCGTTCCAATGGGGACAACAATGAACGGCCACTGGAACGCTTTCGGGTCTCCGAAGTGGCGCAGTTGGTCGCACCGGGCGGCATCGGCGTCGGCGCCTTGATCGAGCTGGTTGTTGGACCCGTCGAGCACGAGGGGCATTTGCGATGCCAGGCATTGAAAACTCACCCCTTTGCCCATGTTCAAGTGCTTGCCGACCATGCAGCTCGCTCGAGATGCACAAGTGTACGTGATGCGCTTTCTCGACGGCTCGACCATGCCAATGTATACATTCGACCCCGTCAGCGTCGCGGCAATCGAATCGACGGCCCATCGCTGGACGTCTGGACGAATTTCTGCGTCGAGTTCGGTGTCGACGGTCGGCATTACCAAGTCGACCGGTTGCACGTCGCGGCACTGTCCTTGGAATACCGAGAGCGCGGCAACGCGGCCCCGCACGCGATCGTACCTGCCTTGAACTGTAGTCAGGACGCGGCTCAGAGAGTGCGCGAGGGTCTCCAAGAACCGGTCGTCCGACTTGCAAACCCAGTCGGTGGTGGTGGTGTACGTAAGCGCGACGAACGTCGTGCTTGTGCACAGCGCTGGCACCCATGCTTGAACATACACTTGGTTGCCAAACACGATTTTAAACGCGGCGTCAATGGACGTGTGGAGTTTGCGGTCGATGACGACGGGGTGGACAGTGTCGGAGAGCGTGGCGAGGTGCCCAGACACGACCGGCGGGGACGGCGGCGCCCCCAACCTGGCCTCGATGTAGCGCATGGTCGAGTCGTCCAAGCGAAAGTATTGCTGGAACGTCTCGAGGCGAGTTTCTCGACGCCGGACATCGCGAAGGGCGTCGACGTATTGCACGTCGACCATATTCCACTCGAATGCGGCGCAGTCCAAGACGGCCGCTGCATGCGCCGACGGCTTGTCGTACTGGACGAATTTGGGCTTGTGGAGGCCCACAAAGCACGACACCATCGTGCGCATCGTGGCCACGTACAGCTCGAGTGGAGACATGAATGCGTTGCGCGCCATGGCTTCCAACTCGTACAGTGCGTGCGCGCGGCGTTTGATACGCAGGACGGCCGCGATGCATTTCGCGGTGCATTCGAGGAAGGCTATGACGCCGCACTCTGGGTGGGTTTCATCTGACCGGCCTTTCTCGACGTCAGTGAACCGATACACGGTCACGACCCCCACGGCCGATTCCTCATGGACCATGGGCAAAAGAATGAGCGGGAGCGAAGCATCGACCGCATCTGGCGTGATAAAGCATTCGAGACCGACGGCGGCATCCAAGCAACGGATGATCGAGGACATCCGTGGCTGCTTCAAGCACGCGAGAGCAGCGCCGCGTTCAAGGACTGTGCGGCGTTCGGCCAGCAAGCACCCGTTGAATCCAAACGTAAACTCAACCGACGTCCCACCCGGTCGCAGTTCGGCGACTCCAATTTCGACCCCCGGCAAGCAAGACACCACTTCGGCCGCCATCGCCGCGACCAAGTCGGTGGCAGACCGGAGCGCGTCGCTGGACGGCGACATGCTCAATTGGGCGATGGCCTTCCGCATGACTTTCATAGACTTGGCGCGGGCGGCGGACCGGCGTTGGCGCCCGCGCACACACACCAACGCTTCCTCCATAGTTGGGAGAATCATCTGGGACACAAAGGAACCCGCGCAGTCCCTCGGCGACGGCGAAGACGGCTGAAATGTCATGTCCAGCACGTACGTGAACCTGTCATCGTTGTCCTTGAACGTTCGCAGCCACTTGGATGCCCCGCCGTCGACGGTCATGACAACATCCGTCTGCATCTCGACGTGGGCGATCAGCTTCTGGAGCTGATGGTGTTGGGTATTGAGGGGGCGGATCGGAAGCAGTTGCTGGAGGTCGGTCCACGAGAGGTCTTCAGTGGACTGGTCGGACCAGGTAACCATGAATGGATCTGCGGGGAGATGGGCTGCATTGGCGTTGTGCGTGCCGATCCGCGTGATGTTGGCGCGCAACATGGATGGGCGTCCGCCGCCGTGCTCTTTGTAGAGCTGCATGCGCTTGATCCCTTTGTCGTACGAGTTGACGAACGGCGCGAGGCGATCGAGCGGGGTGTCGCACGCGGCGAGGACATGGACTTGATGTGCGGGCGGGAACTGGCGATGTCCCTCGAGCCGCCAAATTGTCACCGAGTCCACCATCAGAATGCAGTGCAGGATCGCCTGAATAGCTGTGTTGTAGACGTTGTATTGCGTGCACAGACCGTCAACTGTTGTGGTGGCTAACTTTCGATGCCAGTCGCGGAGCTGGGCGCGGTAAAACACCTTCCCAGCGCGGGCCGCAACCTCTTCCAAGAACGCCATCGACGGCGGCTCTTGGGTAAACCACGTCGGTGGGGTGGGCAGATGCAGGGGCACCCCATCCCGCAGCGCCCCAACGAGCTCGAGCACTTTGCTGCGGCTGGCGACGCGGTACACGCCCAGCGTAAACTCAACGTCGACGTCGGTCAGTGTGAGGAGCTTGCGGCCATCGATACGGTGCTTATGAAACGCTGCGACACAATCGGCGGCACCGTAAGCTGTCAAGAACTCCCCGACTTGCGCTATTGTCATGGCGGCTGGGGAATGCTTCCACGCCAACCGCGTGGCGTCAACAGCGAGCACGCCGATCGTTTCAGAAATGCTGGAAGCGTCTTTGGTCGATGCGTCGTTGGATTTTGAAGTGGTGGCAAGCTGATAGTTGCTGGTTTTTGAAATAGTATTGCCGATTTCGCGGCCACGACGGCTCCCTCGTCCGACAAGCGGGAAGCAAGCAAACGGACCGCAACAATGCTCACTGAAGCACTTTACGGCGGGGTCGTGCGCCACATCTTCACACACCACTACTTCCTGGCATAACACGTGAAAGCCATGCTGAGGATGCGATCACGTACTTGATTCACGACACTATGGAAACTCACGCCTTCTGTGGAGAGCAACGACTTGCCAAGCATGCCGCTGTTTGAGGAGCTAGCAGTGTAGAGAAGGTGACTTCGTTTGGGCTGGACAAGACCAATGTAGATGTCGCATTGACCACTCTTGAGACATTGCTGCACAAGCGACACAACCTGGCGCTGGAGCTGTAGCAGTGTTTTCGACCCTGCTGACGCTTCAACGTCGGCAAGTTTCACTAGAGCTCGTTCGTAGTACACCCTGGCGCCAATCATAGTTTCGACATCGGCTGGATACAAGGTTCCGCGAAGGTGCTGGTTGTTGTGATAGAAGAGCCGCGCACTGCGCGCGTACCGCGCCGCGGTCACGTCGCGACGTGAGTTTGTTGCTACGTGTTTGAAGTCATGGCGTAGCGACGGGGGGACAAAAAGATATCCGTCGAGGATGCGCAGCTCTTCTATCTCCTTTTCTGCGTGGATATGGCGTGATTCTTCTTCTGCAAAGAGCGCTGCATCCTTCTCGGCAACGGTCGCCGTGGGCATGACAATGTTGCCACGCAATGTCGAGACTTGTACCGGATTTATCCGGATAGGCCCACTCCATGCGTCCGGAATAAAAAAATACCTTGAAATTTGTAACAATTAAATTGCCTCCTGAAGTTTCGAATTCGAAAGGTCGCGCGATCTTCCAATCGGCTTCGGCGTCGTAAGTCGGGATGAACCGACAGGAAAACGATCGCTAGACTAGCATGCCGGCTAGCTGACGTGCTGCATATTCGGAACGTCTCTTTGGCCGTTGCGCGTGGGCACGCGTTGTGCCGCCACTCGCTCCAGGGGGGCTCTGCCTGCTTTGCAGTCTCGACGTACCGTATGATCCCTTATCTTGGATTTTGTATGTGGCGGACAAGTCCATATGTGTGACGTGCGTCCAGGAGAGGTGACGCTCTGAGGACGACCAAATTATGTCATCAGCGATGCAAGTATATGGGAATTGCGGTGCTGGTATTTCTGTATTTTCGGCAGAAAGCACTCCATACAAATGCTAAACTTGATTCTGGACTCCACGGACGTATCCCGTAGAAGGAATATCATGTTTTGTATGTGTGTCAACCAACCGTGTATCTACCCCGCCCCAGAATCGTAACTTTGGCAATGTGACTTGAATTCAGTATGGTGGCACCTCTCGTGAAACTCAGTCGGGCAAAGAGGTGCACTCGTCGAGCAACCACCACAACGCCGCGAAGAAGTGACCGCCGTTGCGTACTTCCGACAGTTGCAACGACGTGCATGATGGCTGCTCCAGCCGCGGCCATGCGTGGCGATGAAGGACTATCGAAGCTGCGGTTATCGGTCGCGAGCCCGTCGAGCAGCGTGTCGTCGCACGGCCCGGCCATGGAGGTCGTGAAAGCTGGGTATCTGAGCAAGTACAACCGTGGCAAGTGGAATGCCAAACAAAAGTGGCGTCAGCGATGGTTCGTGCTCGAGAACGGCGTGCTCAAGCTCTTCAAATCGGCTCCGTCGCTCAAGAGCCGCAAGAAGGCCATCCCGCGGGACGTATTTGTCCTTGGGCCCTCGTCAGCGCTGACTTTTCCGAAGGAGGACCTGCCGACTATCACGCCTAGTCCGTTTTGCTTTGCCGTGCACACGTTCGACGACACGAGGTCCCTCTTGCTCTGTGCCAGATCCCAGCAAGAGTTTTGTGAATGGATCGCCGTCATCTCGGCGACGATCCATCCCGAAGCACCACCTGTTGTCCCACCAACTCCCGTATACGCGTTAGAGCAATTGCAAGAGCTCGGCAACAAAGTGGCTGCGCCTCCAGTGATCACGACTTCTCCTTCTTTCCGGTCCATCTTCGAGTCTCGAAAGGTCGCGCTCGGAGTTGGTGTTGTGCTAAATCCCTTGATGGTGCTGCACGTCGACCTTCTCATCACGGCCATTGCACTGCTCGCGGCGGCGGGCTGCCTCTGCTTCTTCTGGACAAATCGGCATGTCGCCGCGTCCAAAGGCAACGCGGCCGTTCGGTGTCGGTTGTTGTCGACGGCACCTCTCGAACTCGCCGCCGCCGTTCCACCACTGTTTCCTTTGATTGAACCGGCTGTGGAACCTGCGCCAGGTCTGCTCCATCTCTATTTTGGCGTGAGCAACCTCATCTTGTGAATTAGTTGTCTGCGACAAACGGCCATCGACCGATGTTGGGCTGTCGCGTAGCTCAAAGGGGGCTGTTGGCTACGTCAATGGTACGCTCGATATCTGCCCAAGTCGAGTCGGGAATGAGTCGTCGTGGGGTTTTGCATCAGGCACGAAAGCGTTTGCAGGATGCTCGCTGACGTCGGTGGCGCCCGACTTGGCCGACACAGCCAAGGGCAGCTGGACGCAGTTGGATGCTACCCGTTTCAACGTTCGTCGGGGTAAACCCTTCCGTGCCCAGAAGCTCGTTGTGGAAGCCGCGCATATTCTTTGTAGGACCCAACTACAAGAAGAATAAAGTCAAGGCGCCATCGGGCCCTGCGCTTCTCGAATTGGTGGCCACCGACGTCTTCCGGGTATGTCACGATGACGTCCCATGGTCTGTCTCACAGACGGCGTCGTAGTCGGATTTGAAAGTCGACAACATCGGAAGCAAGATTCAACTGCCCCGCGACGCGGACGGCCGGTACGTTTGGCACCAAAAGTTGCTCTCTATCCAGCGTGTGAGGCCCACGGGAGCGGCGCATTTGTATCATAGCACGGACCTGCTCATCTTGAACACACAAGTCCCGTGCTATACCCCCGCGAACCCCCTGGTGCGTGCACGTCCATCCCTTTGTGGGGTCGCTCGGACCCATGCTTTGGACGGTTGTAGTGGGGCGAGAGCAAGACGGATGGCGTCGGATTCAATTTCGTCGTGTACTTTTCAATTCCCTCGGCAATTCGGGCCCAGCTGGACGCCAAGCACGATCCGGTGAACCCACAGTTGAGGGTACGTCAGTGCATGGAGGAGGAGGTGATGATCTCGATTTAGCTCTTGAAGTGGTTTTTGGAAGAAGACAGCGCGGTCCGCGATCGGCTCAAGGCGATTGTGATGGTGGCGAATCCTGCGGACCAAAAGCTGGGCCGCATGGTACGAGCTCTGAATGACATCGCCATGGTCAAACGAGAGCGTCGGTTCCGGTAGGAGCGCACGCTGCTGGACACGTACAATGGCCAACCGATCATGACGCGGCCGGAACATCGGTTCTACCGCGGGGACGGGTACTTTGAAGTCGACATCGACGCGCACATTTTCAACTACCTCGCCCGAAAAGGACTGACCGGGATCACGCAGCACTTTGGCCACATGGTGGTCGATTTTGGCTTTGTCATGGAAGGCCAGGACGACGACGAGTTGCCGGAAAACATTTTTGGAAGCGGACGGCTGTGCCGCGTCGATGTCAACACAGCCCACCACCTCTCGTTTCGGTAGTGCAATCCCCACACACTTGTAACATTATTTCTTGCAAATTCTTTACAAAGCGATGATGCCTCCGCGACGCGAGGCCAGCAGAACCTCTATCACGCTTCCCCAACCTCCCCGATTTTGTGCAATGGAAAGCTTCATGGAGCTTCTGCTGGCGCAAAGATCCATTTATTCCAGCAAAGTTCGTCGATGGAATGACCCGTTGGCCAAGGGCTACGACGTGTGGACAGAAGCTCAAACGTCGCATAGCTATAGACTTGGCGCGGCCGCCGATAGACGGCAAGCGACGTGCAGTCGCGTGAACGACTGAAGCACCATGATAATAATGGCGACAGCATCCCTCGAACAGGAAACGACTTGGAAGAGAGTAAATACGCGAAGGGATTACTAAAGGGTGGGGGAACTAGGCTAGCCGGGGGGCGTTTTTCAGGTCGACTTTGCACAGCCTGACGCATCCAAGGATTTGCTCGGGGACTTCGTCATCTTCCTGGCCTTCCAGGACAAAGCCAAAGTCGACGATCATGTGGCCAAAGTGATCGGCGACGCCGGACAGACCCTTCCGCGCGACAAAGTTGAAAAGGTGCGCGTCGATGTCGACCTCGAAGTACCCATCCCCGCGGTAGAACCGGTGTTGGGGCCGCGTCAAAATAGGTTGGCCATTGTACGTTTCCAGGAGGTGCTTCTCCTACTTCCTTGGTCAGACTGGGAGATCCCATCGAGGAACGCACCATGCGGCCGACATTTTGCTCTTCTGGGTTCACCACGATCCCGATCGCTTTCAGCCTGTCCGTCTATGGTCGCAAACTGGTTGAGAGAGAGAGAGTGTGCGACTCCGCCGATGGCTTACAAATGCATTTCCTTCTTCCAAAAAGCCACGCAGGAGCTACAGGAGGTCGCGGACGTTCAGTCAAGACGGAGGTTTGCCGTGATTACCTTAATTGGTGGTTCCATTTCAGTTGGATCGTCCAGCTTGGCTCGCACGTCCGGTGGAATCGCAAAGTACGTGACAAAGTTAAACCCGTCGCCATCCATCGTTTGGTCGCCCCACTATCACGAGTCGTTGGCCATGGGGGTGATGGCAATGCGAACGGCGTAGTACCAACGGGTTGGACGGGGGATAGCAAGGCACTTGGCAGTTGATGATCAAGAAGTCGCGCCTGCGGTAGCCAAGACGTTGGTCTAGCTGGTGAACGATCGAAGGACCGCACCGGTTGCCGTCTCGGGGGCTGGGCAGGTCAACGACGCTGCCGATGTTGTCGATTTTACCACACGACTAAGTCGGATGCCATGCAAGTGTTAGCTCGAGACGAAGAATGAGGTCGTGTACCCGGTAGGCATCTGTCGCCATCAACGTTAATAGAGCTGGAGCGGACGGCGCTTTGGTCTTTGTGCGGCGATAACTCGGCCCTGTGCCGCCTGTTGTTAGAGTGCAAGAGGCGCAAAGGGACTAACCTTTCCGCACGTTGAACCGCGACGCATGAAGCTGTGTCCAGCAGCCCGAAACGTGTGGCGCAGAGTCAGTGGGGCATTCTTTCATGGAGCATCCCGCCACAGCCTTAGAGCCTGCATTTCAGCCAGCCAACTTGAGATGTATCTTGGTGGATGGCATCGGATTGACGTACCATTCACCGTGCCAGACACGGGGGGTTTGACGGGAGAAGCCAGCGTGGTTGGTCGCGCGGTAGGAAACCCGCCTGCTGCTGCTGCGGAGCCCCCGATGGCTACATTCTTGTCGTGCGACGGGCGGCCATCTTTTGGCCGGATGTGACGCCATAAAAGAGCCACGTTAAGGACTATCACAGTGGCCAGCACGATGTGCCAACTGCCAAACCGCAGCATGGCTACGCATTGATTTCATACATATCCAGATAGCATCACGAGGAAAAAGTGGCGCATACACACGCCAGGAGCAGGAGAGGTGAAGGTTGAGACAACGTTTTCACTTACCCACGATAGCATTCACCACCGCCAACGACCCTAGCGCTGTGCCAACGTCACCTGCTTGAAGGGAGCTCCAGAACCCCCCCATTCCATGTGACGCTGCTATCGACGTTTTGACCTTTGTCGCCTATAGATGGAGGAAAACATAACAACTTGCACGGGCGACTGCGAGCGATTGTTACTTTGCTAGAGGACGCCACCGGAGACGCAGCAGTCGGCGAATCTTCGTCGTTGGAGGCTTCCAACTCTGTCCGCATTAACTCGTCGAATACCGTCGAGCTTGCCACCGCCTCCATAGCTCCACCCGTTGTGCCGGAGGGATCGATTGCATTCGAGAGCATGTTGGTCCAGTCGCGGAATTCGTGCTCCGAGTCTGCACACACCAGCAATGACGTGCCGCCAACCGTCACAGCAAAGCAAAACGGTGTCGGCGTGCCGCGCGGCAAGTCCACTTGGATGGTCAACCGAGCGCCGGTTTCGTGCAACGAGTATGACCCTTGTGGTGACGACGCCTGGCGACGCGCAGTCCGCTTGAACTTGAAGTACACAAGCTCTCCATTCGCGTTCAGTTCAAACCACCGCTGGCGCCACCTCCGCCGCTTCCACTTGCCCGTGCTCAGTTTGTTGAGGTATCCACACATGAGCGGTCCATCTTGCGTCATCAGGCTTGGCTGGGCATCCACATCAGTCATGTCTAGCGATGCATCCGTAATCGTCGCTGTCTCTGGCCCGCGGGTGCTTTGGTTCTTGGTGCTTGTCCGACCGTCGGCAAAACTATGTTGCGAGCAAAGCGTACGACACGATGGCCCACCTTGGTGTCGATGCGACGAGGTTCTGGAGCTCGGCGACGGGTCGAAAGTGGCGACTGAAGCCGCGAACGATGTGTCGGGGAGCGAGCTGTCCTGTACATCATCATTGGCCACCGATTTACGCGGTGACCTCGACAACGCTCGCCTCATGCGACGACCGGATGTAGTTTTCCAGTGCAGTTCAACCACTGCGAAACCCCCTAAGATAGCCAATGTTCATTGAAGCGTCGTTTCCGGTAAATACCCGGATCTCCCACAACAGACTGCAAAATCCCGGTCACTTCAAATTGTGGCAAAGGCATGACCGACGACATCGAGCCTTCGAGTTTCCACGCGAGTTGCTTGGCTTGCTCTCGTTGAACAATATCCAAGTGAAGTCCAGGGTCAAGACCTTTACAACCATCGTGTCCACTTGGCACAAGGCAACGCCCAACAGGACGGGGGCAATGATGGGAACGAGGTTGGCCATGGTGCACGCAGCGGCACGAACGGTCGACGAAGACCCAAGTATCAGCATGAGGAGTACACCCTTGAACAAGGGGGACGTGACAATATCGTGTCGGAGGCGAAAGAGAGGAGGCGAAAGATCCCAACCTAGCTCTCATCCCTCCAATTTTATCAGCACTTCGTTGGTGAAGTGCATCCATGTTGTTCAATGCATGACATCTCTCGTCTCGTAGCGGCAGCCGGCGTTGGCGATTCTGTGCCCGGAGTACGCTCTACTTCCAGGGGCGCATGGACTCAGAGGACACACCTGTTGCTGCGTTCGTACTAAGTACTACTAGTACTCTGCACGAAACCCGACGAATTACTACTAGTACTACTTGTAGTACCAAACGAAATCGTCGCGAAGAATGTCCCGAATGCACACAAACGGCTCGGCTCGTGCGAGTCTCGGCCCTTTCCATGCCCGTCTCGCTGCTTTTCAAAGAGTTCTTGCGTGCACGCGTTGTAAGAACGAACGACTTTGCTGCCCTGGGGGTGACATCGGCCAACGATAGGCGGAATGTTGGTATTGTCCGCCATGCCACCTGCGCTTGGGTTGACCAACATTCTCGATCGGTTTCCCGTCGACTTCGATTAAGATATTGGAATGGCAGCGCCACAGTTGAGGCTGCAGCCGTCGCACCGCGACATCGTCGGCGGTGTTTTGGCTGTGGCCGCGTCCGTCGTGTCCAACTTTGGGGTGAACGTCCAGAAGTATTCACACACACAAGAACAGAAGAGACCCGTGGCCGACCAACGACCGTACATCTTTCGCCCAGTGTGGTGGGTCGGGTTGATCATGGTGATTGTCGGCAGTATTGGCGATTTTGCCGCGTTCGGGTTTGCCACACAAGCACTTGTGGCGGCACTCGGCGGTGGTTCCACGCTCATCGCGAACGTCATCATTGCCAACCAGATGAACCAAGAAACGTTGTATCGGTCTGACTTGCTTGGCGTACTTCTCGTCATTGCAGGCGTTGTCGTCATCTCTGTGATCTCGGAGCCTGACATCACGTACCCCTTGCCCGTCCTCGAACAGTTCTTCGCTCGTCCAGGTACACCTTCGTCCATCCCCCTTCTCGGCGCGACCACGCCATTCTCATATCCCTTCGCAGAGTTCCTCGTGTACATATCATGTGTCGTGATTTGTGTGATCACGATCTTGGCCAAGATCAAGGGGTCCCTGGCGCACACGCTGAAGAGTCAGATCCGGTGGTCCCATCAGCGTCAAAAGGACATTGTCAAGGTGATTCTTCCATCAGCTACAACGATTCACGTGCTGACAAGTGAGTAGAGAAACGAGCTGCGGTTCCAAGACTTGGAACGCCGAATGGATGCTTTGGAGGAGAAGCTGCTGGCCGGACAAGAGGACGGCAGTCGCCACCTCCACTCGAACGTCGCCCATCACGAACCCCGCGGAATCCCAACCAAAGAGTCGCCGCGTAAGCCCGACGCGGTCCTCGACACGACTCAGTCGACTTCGGTCCCATTCTACTATGCAACGTGTTCTGGCATCGTCGGTGCGATATCCGTGCTCCTTGCCAAGTGCTCCGTCATGATGATTGCGCTCACGATCGAAGGGCAGAACCAGTTCAAGTACCCCGTTACGTACTTGTTTGTGGGCGGCATGATCACGTGCATTTTGATCCAGACGCACTTGCTTAACATGGCGACGTCGCTGGGGGACACCATGACGGTGTTTCCTGTGTTTCAGGCGTTTTGGATCACGTTCAGCGTGGTGGGAGGCATCGTATTTTACGACTCAGAGCGAGAGTTTACGCTGGAGAAGTGGGTCTTGTATCCGCTGGCGCTGTCGTTCATTTCTCTTGGCGTGTACTGCTTGATGCAACATCCATCCAAGAGCCTCGCCGCGTCGACGGGGCCGTCCAAGGAGGGAGTTGCAGCCCAAGACGACGATGGCGACCGGGCCTTTGCGTACGACGATAGAAGCGCTGCCTACACTGGAGACGATACCACGGACCGCGCGTCGCTGCTGGTGCAATTTGAACTGGATGCTGTGCCCCTCGCGAACGCCGACGATGTCGATGCGTGCTTGACGACGTCGCCGCTGCTGTCATCGGCAACGTCGAAGCCAACCAACATGAAAATGAAGAAACAAACCACCAACGATGGCTACGTGCGGTTGGACGTGTAAGGATCGCTTCGGCTTGCCTCGCCGTTTGCTAGCCGCGTGGTGCTGGACAAGCCATTCATTTTTGCAGCTACATGTACATCGACAACATGGCGTTTGACTTTGTCGTGAGGTGCATGACGTTATATTTCAAATTGCAGCCACGCCGCCAGCTCAACATCGTCTTCCTTCTCTCCATGAGAGAGCAACTCCATCCGTACATGCTGTGGGCTGTTGTCGTAGGGGAGAAGCAGCCTGGCCTTCAACGTTGAACTGTGCTGTGCATGCTGGCACGTCACGCCTCAGACCAACCCCCCCTCGGATGGTGCATTCGGCACACCGAACGAACGGAGTCTTTCGTACGATCTCTCCCCCAGGATGTGCTTGCCGTGTAAGGCGGTGACGTAATCCTGGGACGCCCAGAGCTCGCACTCTCGTTCAAACAACGTCGTCGCCCCATTTACGGCGCTGGCCACGGGGATCATGGCTTGTGCAGGTTGGTTTGGCGTCGATGACGCAGACCGAGTCGTTAACATGACATCGCGGCCGCAGAGATGATAAATACGAGTTCAAATTACACTGTGAAGGAGGACGTTTAATGGCGCATGAGCTGAGCGTCGATCTTGGCTTCCATGCGGGCCAAGTCGCACGTGAGCTTCTCGATCTGCTCCGAGTGGACGCCGAGAGTTTGCGACATGGAGATCTGCTGCGTTGCGAGCTGTTGCTGGGTCAGCGTCGTTTGACTGAGGAGGTTCATGAGGAGGCTCTCCAGGTTGTTGTTTTGGTTGTGCGTTCCAACCATGTCCATGGTGCTGTTGGTGTCTTGGTTGCTCTCGGCCAGCACCAACTGGTGATTTGATGGGTGGAGCGGTGCCTTGGGGGGCGGCGAGTTGGTGGACATTGCCGTGCGTACGCTGTCGGTGCTGATGCTGCTCCCGCGCGTGCTGCGCGTATCGTCGCTGCTGCTTCGTCGTGCCGCGTACTTTTCGACACGATCTTCTTTGATGATCAAGTGCTCCATCGCGACGTTGGCGAGCTTCTCCAGGACGGACGCATCGCAAGTCTCCCGTGGCGCCGTGTCGAGGACGAATACGGTGCCGACAACGAGACCGGTGCGAGCGTCACAGATGGGGGCCGACGCATAGAATCGGACGGACGCGGCACCGGTCACGAGCGGGTTGTGGCAGAAGCGAACGTCCACGGCGGTGTCCAGCACCACCAGTGGTTCCTTGGACACAATGGCGTGGGCGCAGAACGCGACATTGCGCGGGATCGACGTTTGCGCGAGACCAACGCTTGCTTTGAACCACTGGCGGTCGGTGTCAATAAAACTCACCGCCGCCATGGGGCAGTTGAGGCGCTTGCTAACGAGGTCGCAGATGTTGTCAAATACAGACGACGGGGGCGTGTCCAAGATGCGTAGGTTGGCCAGCGCACGTAAGCGGTCCGACTCGTCAAGGGGAATCGGCGCGCGAGGCCACGGGTTCTCCCAGCTGTAGTCGAGCTCGTAGTCGAGCTGGTTGGCCGACGCGTAATCGTAATACTCTGTTTCAGACCGAGCGGCGGGCGACGTGAGGTGGCTCGACAACCAGTTGCGCGACGCATCGTCCGTGATCATTGTACTGGCGTTTGTGGCGGACGCGAGGGGGGATCCAAGTTTCTGTGCGCTGCTGACCATGACAATGCACGACAGGCACACGCGGACTTTGGTCGTCCCGATCGAAATAATGTTGACGTTCTTGTGCAGCGTGCAGTTGCGGCACACGACTTCGCCGCACATGCGGCAGTGGTGCTTTCGGCGAAACGTGCTAAAGTTGCGCGTGCACACGTGGCACATGGACCGCTCGTAGTCGCAGACCCAGTCGTCGGCGTGAACGAGCTGATCTACGACGAGGACCTCTTGGCTAGACGATGCTGTGGCGGAGGTCGGCGACGGGCGCATCGTGTGGCTCTAGTCAGCCAAATTTCAAACTGCAGCCTTGCCGCGATCCTCGCCGCGACGTGGCTTGGTGGAGTCATGAGGTTGGATCCGCCATATCGGTTATTTGCTTTGCCATAAAATCGAACGCCACGACACGTTTTTTCTCAACTGGTAGCGTTTTGCCACTGCGTTAAACAATCTTGACCCGACGAGAACATACAAACATTAATGTTATGACGTGGCACCATTTCGTACGTACACGTTAAAACCACCCCATTTTGGATTTGAAACGGGTCTGCCGTGCCGTGCAAGAAGCCAGCGAACTATGCCGCGGGTCGCCACTTTTATGCGTGGGTCGTGAGAATGTGTGGCAGGCAGCTATGTCTCTGTGGTAAAGCGGGACCACGGCAAGGACTGTACTGGCGTGGGTGCAAGGAGCGGACACGGGGAGAGTGCTGCTCGTTGGCGGGCCCTGCAGCTTTATGCGCAGCACGAGGTCGTCGCGCCACGACAGGCGTCGGCGTGCGACTGAATATTCAAGCTCCGTTCGTGCTGGATTACTGCACATTTTTCAACACCGATAGGTTGGTAGGTACAAAGCTCGTCGGTGGTATGCAGGTGGTGGCGTGGTGCATGGAACCGAGGCGGTCTCAGGTCTCACCTCGTCAGGATGAGTTGGTTTCGCTCTGTGCAGTTTTCGGTGGTGGTGATGATATATACCTACCCGCATGTATGTACCGATCACAGCCACGGACTGGTTTCTTCTCGCACGGAGCACGGGGCTCCCCATCTCTCGTCTAGACCATCGTCTTGTTGAGAGAAGCATGGTGGTTGAATCTCTGCCGGATGAGATTTGGTACGCCACACCGGCTGGGCTTTGATCTGTCGCCAGACGCAGCGTCTCCAGCCGCGTCCGCCTGTATACACGCGAGCTCCGAAACGTTATGCACAGTGGAGTTTGGGACCAGCGTCGTGGACGCAACAAACACGCCAAGTCATGGTGACATAATGTCGTATCACTGGCCCAGGATTTTCACGAGCGCAGTCTTTTGTAGCGATGTCAGGTACTTGGGAAAAACGATGTGGAACTTGACGATAAGGTTGCCGCGCGCCGCGTCGCCGTCGTGTGGCGCCACATCCCCTGCCGCCACGGGCATGCCTTCGCCTTGAATCACCTTTTCCGACGTCGGGCTGAGCACTTCGTTGCAAGAGATCGCGAGCTTGCGCCCATCCAGTGTTGGAACATCGACCGTGCAGTCTGCGAGCGCATCGGCGAGCTTCACCTTGGCCAAGTACACCAGGTCGTTCTTGACGCGGGTGTACGTGGGGTGCTTGGCCTCGGCGATTGTAAACACGACGTCGCCAGCCCGAAGCTCCTTGGTTTCGACTCCTTCGTTCTCAAACGTAACCTTGGTCCCGGCCGACCATCCCTTCTGTACCTTGACTGAAAAGACCTTGGTGGCGTCGACGAGCTCGTTGTTTCCTGCGAACCGCGTGCGGACGATCGAGACCTTCTTGGTCACGCCGCCCACAAACAGCTCCTCTAGCGTGCACTCGATAGTCGCTTCGATCGGCGGGTTCTTCTCCGGCCCCTTCCTCTTCAACGCGCCCGCAAACGGCAGCGTGTCGCCAAAGCCAAAGTCACTAAACGGGTTGTTCGTCCCGAAAAATTTGTTGAAGATGTCTTCGCCCTGCCGGTCTTGAAATTGGTACCCTTCGCGGGCATCGCCGTCGGCGTTCGGCACACCGTTGTGCAGCCCTTCATACCCGTACTGATCAAAGATGGCGCGCTTGGCAGGGTCACTCAGCACGTCGTACGCTTCCGATATCTCGTGGAACTTGGCCTGCGCTTCGTCTCGATTAGCCTTGTTCTTGTCCGGGTGCCACTTCATCGCGAGTTTCCGGTACGCCTTCTTGATGTCCTGGTCAGTCGCGCCGCGCACGATGCCAAGGATCTCGTAGTAGTCCATGGGAAGGGAGTGCGTTGTGGCAAGTGCGTGCGCTGGGTGGGTGCGTATCGCCAGAGTCGTGAGCTAGCCAGCGACGCGGTCGGTGCTGTGGAGAGGCACCGCAAACTAGCGTTTCAACGCAGACATTTTTAGTCGCAGTCGTTTCGAGTTATTTTTGGACATTGAACAAGTGCACGTTGACGGATCGTCAACGTTGGCATTGCCTAGCGCGAGCTTGGCACATGCGGCACTCGAACGATGTCGTGCTTCATCCTGCATGCACGGCTTTGGATAGCTCGCAAGCTTTGGCTGCACGAGAAGTAGAGTGCCATTGCCTCATGAACACCGACGAACGGCTGCATGTGCACTTAGACATAATCGCTATTCTCGATGACTAGAGCGTCGAGCATGCAACGATGCCGTGCACGCTCTCGATGGCCTTGACAGCAGCCCGCCACATCTAGATTGCCTGCGGTGGGAACGATGGATTTCATGCACTCGAGCCGTGAGGGGGACTGCCACCTACTCCATGCGATACAGTACGTGACAGGGGATGGAATGGCCCGCTCGCGCTGCATGGCATCGCTACCTTCCGATGAAATCAAGCCCCCGGAATGTTGTCGCCGATGCGACAGAGTATATTGTTTGATATACTCTAAGGACGATCTTTAAAACTGGTCAAACAGCATGAGCATGTGATCGAGATGGAGTGTGGCACGGTCGAGGCGATCGAGGGATCGGCTGACGCGATCGAACTTGTCCAAGTCGTTTTGCTCGACGAGTTGGTCGGAGCGTGCGATCAGGTCCTTGTGGCTCTCGGCTTCACCTTTGCGTCGCGCGCGAAGCTTTACAATCGTGCTTTGCGCGCGCTCGAGGAGGCGGCGAGTGAGGCGGGCGTCGTCGATAGACCAGCAGTAGAGTGTGAACTGCGGGTTGTAATCGGTGCGCTTTGGGATTTCCTGCAAGTTGAGCAGCTTGTCGCGGTACATTTCAAAGAGCCGGCTGCGAGTTTCTGCGGCCGGGAGGAGTGCCATCTCTCCAAGCGTCTTTTGCTCGAGCTGGCGCTGCTCCGTGATGACACGGACGAGGCGGGCGCTGGCGGCGCCGTACTTTTCATGGACAAATGCTTGGATCGACTTGCGCTGAAGCGTTCGCACGATGTTCTGCATGTGCACCGAGTACGTGCCACCGTCGCCAGCGCGAACGGCATGCGTCGGGTCAAACACTTCAGGCGCTGTCTTTGTCAGCATGCCCGACGGGTGCTGGCACATGGCCGTGAGAAAGTTGAGGAGCATCTTCCATCGGTCGTGTTTGGACGGGACGGCGTCGTGCACTTCTGGAATCGCAAACAAGTCCCGCGCCGTCATCGGGAACGATGTCGCTTCGTTTGCGTCGCGCTCGTGGGGAGATGAGTGGGCGAGCATGGCCTTCACGATTGCTTGAGCCACAACATTGATGCTTTCGTGCGCAAACTGGATGCACGTGCGGTGTCGCAGTTCGCGCGTGAGCTGGACGCCACCGTACCGCCAAATCGTGTTTTCTTCCTTCAGCGACACATCTTCGACCAACGCTTGCGGGGTAAATACCAGTCCCGCAGATGGTTCGGCAGACGAAGCCGCGCCGACAGTGGGAAGCTTGGCGCGCTTGAGGCGTCGACGCTTCGTGCCGCTCTCGGACGTGACAGGCTCGACCGGGGTGTCGTCACCGTCCGCCAGAGATGCCAAGCTATTGCTCTCTGCTTGCATCATGAGTTGGACTTCTATAGGAACGGCGGGGTCTGCGGCCGTAGTCGACAGTCCCTTTCGCTTCTTGTGCTTGATCGTGGTGGTCGTGTCGGTTGAATTGGAAGAGGACGACGCTGTCGTGGTGACTGTAGTCTCGAACTCTGCTTCGCCAGAGTCGAAATCGTGGGCTTTCTTCTTGTTAAAATCAAGAGGATGCACGCGCAAGATGTAGCGATTCTTGGCCATGTTCAAGAACGTGTTTTTCAGCGATTCCTTGATGTCCTCGAGCTCGTCCTCGTCCGCTGTAGCATTAAAACGATGAGAAATGCCCAAGACAAGTACAAGCTGCAAAACCTGCAGGAGCATCCGGGTCGGTGCTGGCGGCGCGCCGTTGCTCGGCGAGGGTGGCGGCCATGCCGTCCAAAGACTGATCGAGGCGAATACGGCCGTTCACAAGCAGCTCTTCCATAATGACTTCACCCTGGACGCAAGCAGTGTTTGTTACAAGATGCAGCAATGCGTAGGCATTGCCGTACCTCCTCTCCAAAGACTTCGCGGGCCAGTTCAATGTATCGCGTGAAACGAAGACGAAGCAGCGCTTCCTCGTGGTTCAATTCGTACCGAATGATGTACGGCAGCTTCTTCGCTGAGTCTGCAGGAAGCCACGTTGCTTTAATCTCGAGCAGATTGTGTTGGAGGAGCTTTAGCAGCGCTGTCTTGATGTGTTGAGCTTTGGGTCGCGGCTGCAAGTGTGCTGGAGGTGACGACAACGAATGCTGAACGAGTTCGCGCAACGTGTATCCACCGTCGTCAGCTCGAAGGAGAACAGACGCCACATGCTCAACAACATCTCCAAAGTGTTCCTGCAGGAGGTTTAGAGCAAGGCGGCGCCGCGGCGGCGGCACAATCATGGCCTGTGGATCAATGCAAAGCTCAAACGGCGTTGATTGGCTGTTGCAAAGCAGAAAGGATGGGTCCCCCCGTCCATATATCGAAGAAGAGGGACGCTTGTCATACACAAATCAAGATTAAAATATTCAGTGCACCCCGCAATATATCTCCCAACTGCCCACGATTCAACGAAATTTAATGTATTCGGTTGCAGAAACATACTAAAATCAAATGATTTTTAAATATATCAAAAAGAATGCTTGCAACACGGACAGAACGAGTGGTTTCACGGTGTCGCGAATATAAAATACGTATGGTGGGATGTAAACTGAATTTTAGAATGTAATAAAATAGATTACTGCCGCCATTCAAATCCATCTCGTTGACCAAAGTCGCGTGACACACACCCATCATTGAAACCCACGCCGTAGGTCGCATGAAGGTACGCCGGAGGAGGCGCCACGTCGTCGTTGCTGCGCGACCTCGTCCTCACGACTTGGTTCATGAGCGTAGAAGTGCATTGTCCTCATCTCAAGGCAGAGTTTCTCTGCTGAAAACAAGAGCAACAGTGCGTCGCTCGACGCGATCTTTAACGCCAAGAAAATCAAACGCGTGGAAATCGATGGATCAGCCGAAGAAAACACACAACTGCGCAACGACCTGTTCGCGATCAGCGGTGTCCGCGGCACGTACCCGCAGGTGTTCTTCCAGGTCGAAGGGTCCGACAAACCTGAATTCGTCGGCCTCTTTGACACGATTCAGGTACGTCAACGCCAATATGCTGTGGGGGTTTGCGTGCTGTCTGAACTGAACGCTCGATTTCGTTTACACACGTCGATACGTCATGACATGGCCTTTCTACAGGAAATGAACGAGATGAACGACTTGCCGGCCGACTTTATTCAACAGAACAACATCGTTACCTTCGACGCTGTCTTTGCTGGTACCCTCTACACCCAACATGCTTGGTGATCCTCATGCTATTGTTGCCTGTAGACGTTGAGCGAATCTAAGTGTCGTTGGCCCACTCGATTCACATCCCTCCGTTGCCGTTCCCTGCGACCTTCGAACGGCGACGATGCCCTAGATCCACTCCTTCCTTGACGACATAACTATCATGCATTTAACACCCTTTCCGATCGCCATTGCGCGCACTACCCGGCAACTCTTTCCTTGCTGCGATACTCTTTCCTTGCTGCGATTTTTCTATACCAGTTCAAAACGCCATCGTCGCTGACGAAGGGCGTGTCTCATGCGGACCAGGAAGCAGTGCTACATCCTGAACGGAACACAAATGAACCCTTCAGCCAACCCACATCACGTACCCACCAGCATCACTGCTAGAGTCTCATCAGGAAGGATGGAAACATCTGCAAGAGTTGGCGACGGGTCTTCGCTCATGCATGCGATGGTGTCATCGCAAGATGGCCCGAGGGGTTCCTGCAGCTTAGATGGGGTTTGTGGCGCATGCAATGGGCGCCCCCCAATGTTCAAGAATGCAGAGGACTGTCGCGAAGTGAAAGGTGGAATTGCTCGACCATGCCGTGAAACCCACTGCCGCGTCAAATCGAGCGTTGCCGCGCGCTATGCGTATGAAGGACATGAAGGACGGAGAATGGTTCGGGAGGGCAAGCGAGGGGATGGTTTGGGGTTACGTCGACAACGCGTGCAACTTACTCGAGACATGGGCATCCAGCTCCTTGAAAAACGTTGTGTGGGTAAACGTGTCCGAGGAAATGCACCCTCCTGCAGGAAAAAGTCGTCAAGATTTTGAAACGGATCTGTTTGTCGCTACCATGGGTTTCACCAGGAACGCATGTGCAAGTGCCGCCGAGAAATGCCGGGAGGTGCGCGGCGTCGACGATATCGAGGAGGTGGCCGCGGTCGCAAAACTCGACTTTGTCGCGGACAGCCGCCGGTAGGAATGCCTGGATGATTCGATAGATCGCGTTGAAGAAGAACGGGGCGTGAACAATGAGCACTTTGAAGAGAGTCTCGGGGTAATGGTCTTGGTTCAACGACGTGATCGTCTTGACGACGGCAAACACTTCGGACCGAAACGTGTGCATGCCAATGCCGCTCAAATCGTAGATGATCACGAGCTTCGGCAAGTCCTACGATTCAAAGGCATGTAAATAAAGCAGAGCGGCACGAACGACACACCTGCGCGGCGAGGGAATGCACGTGGTACTCCACTTTTTGCGTGTGCGCGCGGACGACGTCGGCCTCCGTGCACACGCGCAGAATTTTCTGTACGTCCATGTACCCGGTGCGCTCAATGTAAACGTGATGGCCCATTTTGTCGGTTTTGTGGAACCCTTGAGGCTACACGGGTATGAGTGCACGCTGCGACACAGACGTACGTTGTAGCGACGGATGATCTCGAGCTTGTCGGCAGGTAGAGCGAGACCTGACATAAGTTTCGGCATGTCCACTTCAATACGCCACACAATGCTGTTGCGAAGCATCGTCAATGCGGCTTCCTCGTCGTGATTTCTTGCCACAAGGTATCGATTCAACACGGCGTCAAGTTGGCCAGGACGGCACAGGCCCAGCGTTTCAAGACGCTCTTCCGAGTAGTCGGTCAGGATTCGCTTGCGGATAGACGACAGGATCTCATCCGCTGATCGCTTCACCATCGACGATGCCAATCAAGTTTTGATGCATTTCCTTGGGGGCTGCATTCCATCGATATGGGTGCGGCCATCCCAACGTGGTTTCAAAAACCGGAAAAAATCGATTCCATTTGTTCAAATATTTGGCAATTTTTGTGTTTTTCGATATGAAAGGTATTGTTTCGAACGAGTCTCTAATTGAGTTCAAAATACTTCAAACACTCCGAAACATGTTCACACACTGTTTGAAATCGTCGGTGTAAACGCCCAATTGCATGTCGGCTGTTTCGAACGAATTGTAAACGACAAAGTGAACATTTTAATACTAGTTTTAATTTACATTTCCGAATAAAACCATTTCCTACTCCAGTCCGATATCCCCACAACCATGTCGGCATATACGAAGGCCGTTGGAGGCAAGCTTCAGCTGAAGGGAGGCATCGATCTGTCGCTCAAGTAAGATGGGAACGTGTACATGAATACACCTGCTATGTATTCTAATTGCTTATGTGCGTTTGGCTGCTAGGAAGAAGAAGACTAAGAAGAAGACGAGGAAAGCGGAGACGAATGCAAGTGCACGCAGCGACGACGAAGACGACTTCCAACTGATCAAGCTTCAGGGTACGGGGCGTATCCTCACGTCTGGAACGACTGTGATGGGCAAGATGGGCACGAAATTCTTCCACGAGTTGTCGATTGGAGACGCTTTGATCATCAATCACCCCACGTCGTTGAAAGAAGAAACCCGCATTGTGAAGATGGTACTAAGCGACGTTTCTGTCTCGATCAGGTACGAACCGCATCACCTCAAGCACAATAACTTATTGTTTTGTGTCTAGTTCGCCATTCAGTTCCGATTTAGTCTCCACGACCACCTTTTGGTACATCAAGGCCCCTCCAGAAGAAGTCGATAAGGACGCTGTCGAGGTATGTTGTCCTGATGATATTCTCATCGAAAATTGACATCAATCTTGCGTACATAGTCGAAGAAACGAAGCAAGAAGAACGATGAAGAGGCATCGGCGTTTGGCACGTACGCAGGCGGCACCACTGCCGGCACTGAGTTCACTTACCGCGTCAAGAAGGCCGGCGTATACGGCGGCTACGCAATCATCAAGGAGGTATTTGCACCCACCCGTCCATGGAACACAAAGGTTTCATGGCGCTGGTCATGTAGACGGCTGACGCGAACCGGTCACGGGAGGAGCTTCTCGACATTCGCAGCAAGCGAAAGGGTGATCGCCACTGCAATTAGGTCAACTTGGTTTTCAGCAAACAGTTGGTGTTTTGATCCAATTTTCGCTTTTCCCATACAATTGCAAGCGTCTGGGCTCAGAGTTTTGAGCAAAATTAGAGTTTTCGCTTCAGTAGCCCAGCAAAAAAATCAAACGAGTTGCCGTCGGGGTACAGCTCGTACTTTTGGCCGCTGTCGCTTGTCGCCAAGAGACACCCAGTGTCCGTCAGGCCTGCATCGCACGGTCATGAGGAACGATCCGAGAAGTTATGGAGTTCCAGGCAATGGATACCTTGGATGGTGGCCTTCATGGCTGGCTCGCCAGGTTTGTCGCCCTGGACCTGTACTACTTGGTTTGTGTGCAGCCAATTGGCCGTGTACTCTTCGACAAACGGAGCGAACCCTTGGGCCTTGAACTGCTCCTCCATCGGCTCGAACACGTTGCAAAACTCAACCAGAAACGCTTCCCTGCATATGTGTCAGGTAACGATGCGTGGAGATCAGCGTGGCTGGCAGCTCATTACTTCGTGATAGGGGACGGCAGCAGTTGGTTCAAGCAGATTGTTGGGTTGTTGTTGCTGACGTTGATGCCGATCCCTGCACACCATCACACGTTTGTGCTGACATGGCATCGTCGTTCGATATACCTGTCGTAACGTGGAATTGGCCTTGGAAGTACTCGGACTGGCACAAAATTCCACCAAGCTTGAGGTTGTTCGCATACAGGTCATTTGGCCACTTAATGTACACGCTCGTTGGAGTTGCTGCGGCAAACGACTTGACGGTGCGCACCAGGGCAAGGGAGACGAGATATTGGGCAAACGGCAAACTCGTGCCATCGCTGAGAGAGCTCTGGAAGGAAAAAGTCAAGCAACCTTGAGGGGACACCCACGTGTTAGAACCACGACCTTTACCACCATGTTGCGACGGTGTCCAACACACCAAACGAAAGTCGGGCTGCACATCAGCGGATCGCAGTTCGAGCGACACACGTTGCAACAAGGTTTGAGTCGACGGCAGACTTTCACCGTACAAGACGTGCCGGCCAAGGTGTTGGGTGCGCAACTTGGTCAGTGGCAGGATGGCATCATTGTTCGACGACGACGGAAGTTGAACATGGGAAGACATCGCCCACGACTGGATTGAAGCAGGTACACCCGAGGTAGAAAGAAGCAGCATTGGCACTGCGTTATTGTCGGTGGCACTCATGAAGGAAGCAGCAAGGTGAAGGGGTCGGACGATGAGACGGCACAGAGAACGACCAAGAAGCATTCGCCAATTTGCATCAACTCGAAAGCGCCTACGTACTTTACAGACACATACTTTGTCGGACCTAAGTGGACAAACATACAACTATTAATATTTTTGTTCAAGAAAATAGCTCGGTTGTCATTGCATCAGAAAATTTCTCGATTATTTATTTCTCTGGATGGAAATATATATTTCCTTTCGACAAATATTTTGAATACTTTGTGGCGAAGTTTTGCTAGTGGAAATATACAAGATACGCAGCTTCGGACGGTAAGCCTCGACGGACACATGGGTGGGACGAAGTTTGAGATGCGGCAGTGCCGCTTCGTCTTCTGTGGCGCTGAAGAAGATGAGCCCTTTAGTGTCCTGCTCCCGGTGGAGCCGTCTCCTACACTGAAGGTTGTGCGCAGCCACTTTCCCTTTGAAGGCCGTTTCCACTTCCGCGTCCAGGAGGTGACGTCTGGAGGAAACTACGTCTGGCGCGACCTCGTCGATGAGTCGGCAGTCGTACCTGACGACGCGCTTTTGAAAGTCTTGCAGGTGTCGTCGATGCCGGAACAGTACCCGGTGTATAGCTCGCAGGTGGACAACGCGAACGAACTCGAGGCGTATCAGGCAAGTTTCCGCGAGTCCAGTGGCGAGGACGCATCGGGAGACTATGAACGGTCGTCCAGATCCAAGCAATCTTCGATCTCGACAACACCGCAACTGAATGCTTTGTGGAAGAATACTAAGCACCACCTGAACAAGACGACGGCCAAGGTTTGGGAGACTGTCGAATTCACGGCTGGCCGGTACTTTGGCTCACAGTCGGGTGCCGAGAAGCCATCAGCAGCGGCACTGCAGCAGTTGGCCGCGGGGTCGTCGCTCTCCCGCATATATTTCTCCGACTCAAATCGCGAACACATGGATCAGTTGCGGCGGCTGTGGGGAGCGCTTGCAGGTGATGCTCCATTTGCAAGGACATCGCCGACTTGGATCAAAGAAGGCGGGTTTCCGTCAGAAGATCCCGGGGCAACGCTTAAATCTTGCGGAGTTCTAGGCCTTTATGCCCTCGCCTTCTTCACGGACGTCCATCGCAGTGCCTCGGAAGACATGCGCCACGGAGGGTACCCATACGCTATGGTTGGGCTGAATGTGGCGTCTATTCTGGTGGAAGTGCTGGATCTCGACTCGGGGCGCTTTCTCGAGCGCGACGAAGTGTACTGGAAAGTGTTTGAGGACCCCATCGGGCTCTACGAACTCTTCTCTGTCTCATTCCACGCGTACGACACGTTTTGGAAGCAGTCGAGGGGCGGCAGCACCGCTGCGCGCGACCGGACGTTCCAGCCAACACCCATCGACTTGACCAAGCAATTTGTATGCCGCCTGCTCATGCAAAGCCCCAAGACCGTCGAGGACGTTGTAACCCTGGCCAATATGATTTACTAGCTGCTCAACTGACCGCGATGGATCATTCGTTATGCATCGCTCTTTTTTTGACGGCTCGGCCCTTTCCCGCGCCCTCGGCGCCGCTGGTTTGTCGGTGTCGCGGGGGATTGTGTTGCTTGCGGATGGGCAGAAGATTCGTCACCTCTGCTGAACGGTAATGGTGAAGCCGCCGCCAGAGGCGAGGACGGGTGGTCGTGAACGATGCCGTTCACGGACTTGCCATAGGAGAAAGGGGTGTTGTCTGCCGCGGTAGGTATTGTCGCTGCTTCAATGGATTGTTCGAGCGCTGGATCGTGTGTGCCGTCATCGACTTCTGCAGCATAGTCTTTCTGTGGACTTTGCGGCGCGGATATGAGTGGTCTTTCTCCAGCTATTTCTTGCGATGGCACCAGGTCCTCACAGGCAGTGGCCGTGGTAGGTTGAATGGATGTGCTTGGTGCTTGTACGGAGTTATCGTCCTGGACAATGTCCCTTTCGTCGCCTCGTGTGAGTTCGTCATCTGCTGGATCCGTCGCGAGCTGCGCTGATTCAGTGCCATCGACAGTATCGCCCGCCACTTCAAGAGAGTTGCCGACACGGCATTCCTCTCCGCTGGATACGTCGTCGTCGGCGGCAGCCGGAATATCAGTGGGAATCGGGTCTGCAGCCGCCTCCACGACAGGGGCTACCGGTGTTGGTGGCTGGGAAAAGATTGAGTTACTCGCATAAACACACGCGCGAATGCATTGCTGCAGCGTCGGGGCAGTCGAGTCATCGTCGTCACTCAGTGCCTGGTGTGACAAGGCTCGGTACGCCGACGGCCATCGACGCTGGAGTGCCGCCAGCACGGACCGGCGCTTGAGTGGTGTATCGATCGAGCTGAACAGCGTCGAGTGCTTGATTTCGTCAAGCTATGGGCACAGAATCGTGGGAGAGATCGCGTCCATGTCCAGTCCAACGCACCACACTGTCATGTCGGATGTGGCGAATGGATTGGCCCATTCCAACATAATACAAAATTCCACCCGACGTCGTGGCGCAAAAGAGAACGTCGTCGCTGCCGCCGCCTCGGTCCGTCGCTGTTGCAAACGAGCCTACCACCATCACTAACGTAATTACTTGGCCAGGCGGTGGTCTCGTGTACCCGAGAAGAAAGCCGAGACGCTAAACGGGATGGTAAACTTGAGCTGGGACCCCGCCGCGTTAACAATGAACACGTCCCCGTTCCAGCAACACAACATGACTTCTTCATCTCCGTCCTGAAACAAATTAATCGTCGCCATGGCCAGCAGCGCGTCGGGCAACTACCGCAAGATGGTCTGGATGATTTCGTGAAATGGCAAGGACAAACCAAGCAAGTTGCATGACGCCATCGAATGACGCTGGGAAAACACACACCTGGATGCTCCACCGGAGCGCACCCGTTCCAGCATCTTTGAGTTTGACGTGGCCGTTAAAGTACCCGAAGGCGTCGCACGCAGACGCGCCTTTGGCCTGGACGCCGCTCAGCACGTACGCCCTCCCGCACTGCAGACTGTCTCCTTGCTCCAACACCGTCGACGTAGTTTGAGTCACATGAAGGACATCCCCCGTGTGCAACGACACGAGTAGCGACGGTTCGTCGTCGGGGTCATGTTCGAAGGACGATTGTGTGGATTCAGCGAGAGCAGAGCCATCAAGGGGGCTGCTTCGAAAGAATGATTCGACCTGGGTAGATGGAGATTAATCCAATGCCACCACCAGAGACGGCAGTGTACTTGGCCGGGAACGTGGTGCTTGAAAACTTCCTTCACTGCGTCCAGCTACACGGTTCAGTGAGAGATGAGAGACAAGCGACGGGTTGCATACGTGGGACACGTCCATAAAGTGAATCGAAGAGTCCCTTGTCCCCAAAACCAGCAACGACCGACTTAACATCTCGGCGGCGCTCACATTGAGAGGAATGGCCTAGACTGAGTTGCTCAGCAACGCGGCAATCGAGTCGAGCAACGCACGAATTGCGAGTGTTTGTGCAACGCCAACGCGCCCTGATCGACGGCGCGGCGCAAAACTTCACACGTGCCTTCCGCAGTCATGACGAGAATGAACAACTTTGTGGACGCTGGCAGTGCTTGCACAACCTTGGCAGGAATTTAGTGTCGTCCATGGATGCCAATTTACGGAAAAAGTAGATGCTGGAGAAACCCACCGGGAGAGTCACGATGGACGAGATGCAACCATCCACGGTCAAGGTGCACGCGCTGTCGCACGTCGATAGGCCCTGCCCACGCGAACAACACATCTCAGCCATTCGATCTCATGGTCACAGGTCCCAATATTCCACGAAAACGTGTGGAATCAATTGCATTCACCTTGAATATTGCGAGCTTTCCCGACATGGAACCCACAATGAGCTCGCGATCGCTGCCGGGAGAGTCCACATCGTCGACAATTGTATGGGCATTCGGCATGATCTTGCCTTCAAAATTGAGCAAGCCTGATGGGACGAGGCATACCTACGATGCAGTAGCAGTGCTCTTAGAGAAAAATGCCATCGCATGTGCTTGAAGCAGCAACAGACGGGCACAACCGAGGCGTACCGATCGAACTGCCGCGCTCATGTTTTGAGTTTCCAACGCTTTATCCGGATATGATCCGCATGTGAACCCCTTGAATCATCTCAAGTGTGGGGCCATGACGCGGCAGGTCAACGGACACAGCTTGCCGTAAGACAGCTCACGCACTGCGCAGCATCGTTATTCCGTTATAATCGTTCATTCTTCGAGAACGTATTCCACGGGAACACGTTCCGCGAGCTTCTGTCGGCTGTTCAGGTTCGTCATGTGTGTGAATTCGGGTTTCGAAATGCCTCTCCAGGGAGCCGCGACGATCAGAGTAAATCGACATCCGCACGCCACTACGCACGCAATAACAGACCTTGATCAAACGGCTGGAAGCGTCAAGTGAAGTTGTGTACCGGACGTCACAGGGCCGTACCCCCAGGATTTGACGGTGGCCACCACGTCGGGCTCGCACGAGTCAGCGTCTGGGGTGAATCGGCCCAAGCAACCTGACGAATTCCGGCCCCATGTGAAGACGGACCCATCTTCCGCCAGGGCGCAGGAATGATACGACGATGCTTTCACATCGATGCACTTCATCTTACGCTTGATCAGCTCAGGAATCTTCGCTACACAGGGAGCATGTCCTTCAACACCTTCGACAAATACGACGAAGTGGTCATACTCGGTAGCTTGGCTTGCTTTTGCTTGCCTAGACCCAGCTACATAACCATGCCGATGAAAAGAGATTTCCCAAGGCTTGACGAGCCACCTGGCCATTCAGACCACTGCCAAATGCGTACACCCAGCCGGCTGCGGGACCGGTGCTTCCGCCGGAGCCATGACTCGCAACTTGTCGTGGCGCGGCAATACAAAGCGTGTGCCAGTTGCTGCAGCACACCTGTAGCACTCGTTCGTTCTCGAACGCGTGCACTAAGGTTGGATTGAGCATATCTGCGTTGGACCCGGTGCCCAACCGGCCACCATCGCCACACCCAAACATATAGAGCTGCCCTGTAGCAGCTATGAGACCAGAGTGCGCTGCACCGCACGACACTTGCGCCACGCGCACTGGCACCTCGAGCAACGTCGGGGACGGGAAGCACATTTGGAGCCTCCGCTCGGCAAATTCCCCTTCACGCTTGGTGATACCAAGCCCGAGCTGGCCCCTGTCATTGCCAATGCACTAGCGTCATGATTGCACAAAGCCCACAAGTGGACTTACCCCCAAGCCGCGCCCCATGCATAGCACTTGCCAGCGTTCGTGATGGCAATTGTGTGGGAATTGCCGACCCCGACGGCCACTACCATCGCTTGTGCGAGCGCCTCGACCTGTCGCGGCTGGGCATTCTACAAATCGCTAAGGACGTGCCGCAAGGAGGACACGATTCGAGTCGTCACCTCGTTGCTGTTAGCCACGTGCCCCACACCCAATTCCCCGTAGTCGTTTTTTCCCCACGTGTAGCACCGTCCAGCAGTTGTAATTGCCGCCACGTGGCCTTGCACACTGGCGCAAGCGAACGCTTCCACGCTCTCCATGCGTAAGTAGCGCACGACGGAAGGGTACAGAAAAGTCGTGTCGCCGTGAGGTGGAAGCGACGGCGGGGGAGCCGGAAGGTGAGCTGGTGGCAGCGGCACTGGAATCGTCTTGATCACGTCTGGTTTCGCATGTTTGGGAGTACAGGCAGTTGGCCCAACGCCGTTTCCGCCCCACGAGTATACTTCGCCCGTCGAGGATAAGGCGAATGCGTAGTCGGCGTCAAAGCCCTGGTGACGATGTGTCCCATCAAGGACCAGAAGTGGACAAAGGGGAGCTTACCGTGAATACCTTGGTGATGCACCGCCCCTTGAGGCCCATGATTTCAGTAGGCTCGTTGCATGCGTTGCGGTGGCCGAGCCCAAGTTGCCCCGAGAAATTGTTGCCAAAGCCAAACACGCCTCCCGACGCTTCAATTGCAAGTCGTCAATGACTGAACCTTATGGCAGACAAATACCTTCGACTCTTTCGCGCTTTCGATTCTCCCTCTCGATTCGGCGCCGGTGGGCGAGAATCGCTGGCTCGTTCACCCAATCCTGTAGCCTAGCCACGAGCGCGACCTTCTTCCCGTCGAGATCGACCCCCAATAAGTCTGCCACAGCCTGCAGTTGCCTCGTTGACATCTTTGTGAAGTCGGCACCCGACCAAAACTCTCGCGTCTTTGGGTACGACGCAATGGGCTGGCCCTACACCAAGGAAATGCCGTTGAAGATGCGAGCTCACATTTGCAACTCGCTACAAAACAAAAAGGGACCGTACGTTGTACGTTGGTGGAGCAAGCCGAATCCAGTCGTCGTCGGTCGTCAGGGCTTTCTGCTGCGATCGTTTCCTTGGCATGTCCAGCGGCTTGCGCTTGTGCTCGCCTTCCATGCGCATCTGCGATCGAATCGCATCTTGTAATTGCTCCAGTACCTTTTCAGCTTTCTGCAGTCGAATTCGCTCCAGCAGCGACGCCATCGCGTCTCAATGTCCGTGGCAGTTACAGCGTTACATGGACGGTTTCGTTTTTGAACGAAGTACATAATGCACATGGCAATCGTTCTCTTCATCTCCCCAGCTGTGCCATCCTTCCTCGAGTGGCTCTCGAACATAATGGTGCGCCAAGGATGTCTCGACCCCCATCCAAGGTGACCAATGATCGATTTTGCGACATCAATCGGAGTGCTCGTGATGCCGCTCGTCATCCTGGCCGTCGAAGGTGCCTGAATTAGCCCAGCGGGACGTTCAACACGAACAAGTGCCTGCGGTACTTGCCCAACAACCTCCTCTACAGGTATGCCGTGACGGCAAACGTGGTTCATCTGTATGCCATGAAGTGGAATGGAGTCTTGGAAACAGTGTCACATTAGAGTGATTTTGCTATTGAAAAGTTTCCAGTGAAAGTCGCCAGTGAGCAAAACAGATGTTCTCACTGGCAAATTCATTCAAACAAATTTCCAGTGAAGGTGCTCTCACTGGAAACAGGTTTTCATACTCACCAGTCGTTGATTTTGCCGATGGCTGAGCAGCACGTGGTGCACCCAAGCACCAAGAAGAAACCAGCACGCAGATTCACTCTCCAACAGGACGTAGATATCATAAAGGAGGTGATTGCAGTCTCACCACACGATACTCCATACGGCCAAATGAGTTCTCGATGGTTCGAGGTTGGGAGCAACATGCATGCCATTCACGGCAGTGGTCTGACTGCCAATGGGTGCCGAAAGCGTTGTGACGACCTGCTCGCTGCATTTCACAAAGACTGCATTGCATCACTCCGTGCATCGGGAACCGACGAGCAATACAACGAGCGAGAGCAGCTACTTCAAGACCTGTCAGTAGGCTTCGGACATGATATATCCTGACGATAATAATCTAGATAAGAAGCCAAAGATAATCTATCCCTGGCCGCCATTGCATCTTACTAGTATCATCTATTCCTGGAGCGATTCAAACGCTGATAATCTATCTTTGGACTGGCCCACAATATTGTCATTCTCTAACTCACTTCGACCTGACCATGTCATCCAAGCAACTCTGCGCCTACTTCTTTGTCCGATCGGGCGAGAACAAGTTCACTTGCAAAATCTGCGGGACCCAGCGTATTAAGCCAAGCAAGGCGGGATACGCCAACCTGCTGAGCCACCTGGACACAAAGCATCTGAACTACCCCGAGCTCTTCCATGCAGCATACAATGCTGGATTGACTGGCACGTTACAGCAGCACGGATTCGTGGATGCCAAGGCTTCCAACCTCCATGACTGGGTCGAGTGGGTGGTGGAACGCAATCAGCCGTTTTCGGAAGTGGAGAACCCGTTGACGCGGAAAATGTCCAAACTCGTCCCGATTTGCGTCAAGACGCTGAAGGGCGGCATGGAGAAAGTGACGCGTCTCGTCGAGGCGTGCATCGCAGCAGAAATGCCGAAGTTGTTCGGCCTTTGTTTGGACGGGTGGACGGATGGCTCGAACCACTTTTGTGGCATTTTTGCAACGTACATGGTAGGTGACGATGTTGTCTGTCCTTTGCTGGCCATGTCGCCTCTTTTGGAGGTGGATCGTTTGGACGCTGATGCCCACATTGACTTTATCGATGCAACATTGGAGATCTACGGCAAACAAAAGTCGGACATTGCGTTTCTGACGGCAGACAATTGCACGACGAATGCATCCATCGCCTCCAAGTTGGGCGTTCCTTTGGTGGGATGTTACTCTCACAAGTTCAACTTAGCAATGAAGGCATATTTGCTTGATTTCGAGGTCGATCTGGATTCAGTTCATGCCATTATGCTTCGACTTGGCCGCCTCCGCTGCTCTGGCGAACTCCAACGTTTTACAGACTTGAAACCGGTTACTCGAAACGTTCCTCGATGGTCCTCGGTTTACACAATGTTGAAGCGCTATTTTGAACTGCTGCCAATGTTACCCAAATGTTCATCGTTGCGGGATATTTTGCTCACGCGCGGACAAAATATTCGTTTAGAAAAGCTTTTTGCGTCTCTGGAGCAGCTTGAAGCTGTGACCAAGCGCCTGCAGGCGAAAGATTTGGACATGGCTGATGCTCGCATAATGTTTGATGGGTTGCACTCGCTCCATCCCTCTCTGCCGCATCTCGCCCAAGATGCACCAATCACGCGCAACCCTGATTTTGACTCGGGTGTTTCCAAAGTTTTGGCCTTGCGTGAGGACGAACTCACGGAAAAAGAAAAGAGAGCGATCGAGAAGTTTCTCCTGCAGCCGGGGGCTCCAGCTCGTCCGTTGGACGAGGAAGTCTCGTTTGTGGACGAGCTTTTGGCGCCCAAGCGAAGACGCATGGAGAACTACGCAAGCAACTACTGCTGCTTGAAGTTTGTCTTGCCGACGAGCAACATTGTCGAGCGGCTTTTCAGCTTGGCCAAGTTCATTCTGACTGACTCAAGGAAGCACATGCATCCAGTGAACTTCGAGATGATCGTCTTTCTCAAAGTCAACTCCTCGTACTGGGGGGTGAACAGCTTCAGTAGTTATGGTACTTGAATCAATATATCGCAATACATTGGTCTGGCTTCAATAATCTATTATCTTGTCGGTCGAGTATCGTGCTATTTATCATCGAGCAGGACGTCGTCGATAGATGCAATAGATGTATTATTTCGGGAGCCTGCCTGTCAGACATAGTGTGTCTACATGGCTGAATCGTGACTAACACTGCCTTTGTAGATTGACTCAATAGCCGACAAGAAGCGACAATTCAAGGAAGAGAAGGGAAAGAAAGAGGACAAGCGGGAGGTGGACGGCAACATGATCCGTGAGGCTGCTATGGTCGCTCTGACACGAATCTTGGCTGATGCGGACCACGACAGCAGCGATACCGATGGCTCCTCAACGACTTCAGTAAAACGAGCAAAGAAAGCCTCAGTAGACGGAACAGCAAACGCCATTCTTGCGATATCATCGTTTTTGGAAAGTGCGAACGAGTGCAAGTTTCAAGAAATTACCCTGCAAAGAGAAGCCAACGCCATTGCCGCTGGAAAGTTGGACTTGGAAGAAAAACGGTACCTCTAAGTCAAGTCCGAGCGAAAAGCACGGTTCTCCTTGGAACAACAGGAACGTCTAGCACAGCTAGAATTCTTAAAGGGCACGCTGGAAATGATTCGCACTATCCCAAACAAGAACCAGTAGATAATAAACTGCATTGCGCTAACTCAAAATTTGTTGACTACATGCATGGTAGTTATAGAGTGCAAATACTCCTTGGCTGTTGGACGATTAATTCCAAAGAAGCTTGAAACCTGGTTGCCTTGTTTCATGCATGTGTGCAAGTTAGTTAAAATAACAGCAACACTGTAATGCACTCCAACTAACTGCAACCACAATTTTTGCCCCCCTTTGTAATCAACAAATGTCCACAAATTGCGAACAATACCAAATCCCCACTCGACGCTGACGCGCACAGCACTCATGCGCCGGTTAAATTCCGCTTCGGCCTCGCTCAGCTTGGCTCCTTTATATCCCGACACGATGACGTCGTTGATGCCATAGGCTGGATCGCCATAGATAACAAATCGAGTGTCACCAGTGACAAGCTTGTCAACAAGCTTGTTCACAAGATCACTTCGCGCTAGAACGTAGGCATCATGTCTTGACCCCGCTTCTGGTCCATGAAGATGGACAATGATGCCATCAGGTGTTGTGACAGCTTGGTATTTTACAGCATGCTTTCGCTAACATAGTATCCTCTCAGCAGTCGATAGAAAGTACTGTTCTTACCTTGTGGCCATTGAACGCGGCTTTTTGAACACCTTTTCCAGGGCGGCAGATTTCACGCACAGTGCCATCAATAAAGCCAATACAAGTCGAAAGAGGAGCGCCATGTTTATGTATCGCGTTTGCACATTTGCGCAACCACTCTTCGTCCAGGCGCGCGCAGTCCCATTCGAGTAGATGGCGAAATCGCTGATATACATGCAGCATTATTTCGTTGGCAATTGACGACAGCGCTTCACGGCTGCGACCAAAAGTCTGCACCATGGTGCCGAGTCGATGGGGCCATGCAAGTCGGTTCAGCATGATACAGACTGCTTCAATAGCGGTGGATCGGTAGCGTGCTTTTGTGATGAATGGGTCGGGGACCTCTAGCAGCTCTGCAAGCTCCTGTATTTGCTGCTTGCCAAATCGAAACTTGAAGCGACAGTCTGACTCGGTTTGGCTAGCCAAGTCAAATCGGTTGGTAGGTATGCTGATCGCACGTGAGCTCAACGCTCTGTCATTGACGACTGCTACAGTGCGCGAAAAAATGATAGATACACATATACTATTGGCCGAAAGTTTCGTCTCAGCAACGAATGACAGGAACAATTGCAAGAAAACGAAGGGTTTTTATT